ACCGATCCACTTTTTTAGGTTGGAATGATATTTATGAACAAGAATCAGTTTACTCATGTAGTGATTAAGCAAGCTTTAAAGCATGTGAGGGATGTAAAGCTTGATAAAAATGATAAGAAAAAAGGTTAGAGTTGTCTACAAAGATGAGGAATGTGATTAAAAAATTTTATGTTCTTCACATAAAAAAAATATAGAAATTGGATGGTAAAGACATGTCATGTAAAGCACGATTACGATACTATGTACAAGAACAATAGGTTGACTTATAAAGTTCTAAGTAAGCATTTAATTCATAAATTTAGTAGGGTTTATTTGAAAATGAATTTGAAAGAAATTATTGAGGTAGCTAAAAAGAATTTTGGTTTGGGAATCTCCTACCCACTTACTCATCACACTAAAAAATTGATACAAACTAGAGATTGAAGATAATGCGTGGTCTAAATTTAGTACACTTAAGGATTATACTCGTAGAATTAAGAACTAGTAATGAGGGAAACTATATTATCCTTCAAGATGATGAGGATTCTAGAAGGTTCTAGAAGGTTTTAAATTATATATGTTGGCTTTAAATTATTAAGAGTTGGTTTTTTAAAGGGTTATAAGGGGTTGATAGGTTTGGATGGTTGTTTTCTCAAAAGACCTCTTAAGGGGGCTTTTAATAGTTATAGGAAGAAATGTAAACAACCAAATATTTCCTCTTTCTTGAGCTGTTGTAATGAAGAAAACAAAGAAAATATGGAAGCGATTCTTACTTCAAGTTATGACATATTTGAAAATTCTAATGGATCTTAAATGAGTGGACCTTTATGTTAGATTCCCATGAGGTGATGTATTACTTTAAATTTTAATTTTATGTAACCATTAAATAAAATATGTTTGGTCCTTTGAGTTTTAAATATGTTAGGTTATCATCATTATTAAATTGTTTTTGGCTAAGTTTCTTTGATTGTCATATTTATTGATATAGGGCCTTTTAGTGTTGCAACGAGTTGCTTCCAGTGCGAGAACATAGAAAATTTTTTTTAACACATCTTTGCTAATAAGAGAAAGACCCATAAAAAAGAAGACCTTCATAAGTTGGTTTGGAAATGATGTAAAGACACAACACCCAAGGACTTAGAAAAAGATTTGAAAATATTAGAGAGGATCAGGTCTAATACAAATTAGGATTTTGGAAATATTCCATTTGATTAATGGAGTAAGGATTATTCTAAACCTAATGTCAAATGTGATGTGGTAAATAATAATATGTGTGAGATATTTAATGAGGTTATAACTAAAACTAGGTTTAAGAGAATTGTGAGACGATAGAAGAAAGTAAAATATATGTTATGGGTATGATGATTTTGAGAAGATTGTTTGCTGAGAAGATGTTTAATGATCCATTTGGAGCTAAAATTTAGGAATTAATTGCAAAAAATAAAAAATCGAGTGATGATTTTAGAATGTTTTGAAATGGTAGTAAAGGTTGAGAGGTAATCTAGATATATGATGATGACATATTTATTGTGAACATGAAGAATAAGATGTGCGTTTATAGGAGGTGAGATATATTGTGTATCCTTTGTGAGCATGCATTTGTTATAATTAAGTTGAAAAGATAGACATTTGAAGACTATGTCTAAGAGTGGTATTAAAAAAAGATTTGTAAAGTCTTATTAGTATTTTATTGAACTTATTAATGGAAAAAAATTCTGGCCAAAAACTGGATTGTCAATTAACCCTTCAAATATTGTTAAGATGCCCGAAAGATAAAAAAACATAGGAGAAGAGAAGAATAGGGAGAATAGAGTGGCATTAATTTGTCTAAAAAATAGAGGAAAATGAGATACCAAATGTGTTTTAAACATGGTCATAAAAATAAGACATGCCCTAAAAATCCCAAGCGAAAGGTACAAAATTTTATGATTAGATAGTTTTTAGTTATGATTAACATTGTGTAATCTAATTACTTGATAATAATGACTAATTGTCTCGTTTGATTTTAGGATATTTCAATTGTAAATACAAAATCAAAATGAAAAAGTTAGGATGCACGAATAAAGAGTGGAAAAGAAAAGGTAAATGTTTCCTCTATACTAATTTAATGTCTTTTAAGATTACAATTATATATTAATGTTATGTTATATCAAGAGATACAAACACCTAAGGTTGTCGTCAATATGTCAAACAAGACATCTATTGACCAAAGAGGAACAAGTTTGATTATTGATGAAGTTCCTCAAGTTAAACCCAAAATCAAATCTCCTATTACTAGATCTACTCGTCGAAGATATAAGAATGCTAATGTAGGTACTTCTAGTAATAGAAATCTTAAGACCTAAGCAAGTAATAAAAAGGTCAAAAAACCTCAAGTTGGAAAAGGTTGTTTTGTTATTGAGTTAGTTTGCATGATTCTTAATGTTGGTGTTGGGCTATCATTTACCTCAATCAATTTAGTATTATTAATTTTTTTTAAGTTGACATTGAATGATTTGTGTTTGCAATATGGACATTTTACAACTAAATTAATATCAATACCAAAAACTAAAGATCCAAAAATACTAAAAAGTTTTAACCGAAGGGGTAGAAATAAGAAATTTGAAATTGAAACTCAAGAAAGTCATGTTATTCATCTAAGTGATTGATGTGGAAAAATGTGATGTATATGAACAATTGTTGTGAATTTTATTAACAATGTCATGTTTGGAAGTTGTAAAAGAAGGAGTAGAACGAATTAATGTTTTATGTATTTTGGAACTCAAGTAGAAACAAGGTAAAATTCATATCTAATGAGTAGTGTATTTTCTAAATTATCCCTAGATGGTTCTTCTAATTTGGTAATATTGATTTACTCAAATTATATGGTTCTTGTTTACTTGTGTTTTGGTTTCAAATTTTTACTCAATACTTAATGTCTAATCTGTGAAGACAAGCCAAACTAGAGATTTCGTGTAATTGGTCAAAACATTAAGGCAAAATAATGATTTGGTAAACAAGTTTTGCTCAAAATATCTCAACACAAAATTCAATAGAATTGGTTAAATACAACCTAAATTCAATTTAAGACCAATACCATAGTAAAATTCAATAGAATTTTAAGACCATTCGAGCAGACAAGTTGTTCCAAACAACTTTTAAGGCATATTTTAGGCAATTACAAATTCAAGACCATTCTCGTAGTAAAATCCAACGAAATTCAAGACCATTCATGCAAACGAGGCTTAAGGCCTAATTTGGCCATTGACAAAATTGAACCCAAATTCAATGGTAAATTCAAGAAGAACCAATTCAACATAAATATAAAAATAACATAATTAATTAAACGTCATTTCATAAAAATAATTACAATTTATAAATAAACAACACAATTAAAATTAAATCAATCATCTTTTAGAGAAATTCAACAACTTCTCACCGTATAGACTTTTCATCGATAAAATCATATGTTCTTTTTCTACCTTTTATGTTGCTATCTCAATCAACTACTCTTCTTTTTCCATCAAAACAAAATCCAACTCATTCTTCAACTTTCTAGCCTTCATAAGTAATTCATTGTTTTCGTACAACAATAAGTTTTTCTCTTTACGAATTTGTCTTTATCTATTTCTCATCCCCAAAAAAATCATCCTAACTTTGCCTTCTATGAAATCATCCTTCCCCATCCAATAATCACAACCAAAATTTTTATTATCTTTGTGGACAAAGCCGTATAAAACAAGGATGGAACTTGGAACTTGGATGCTTATCACTCCAAGACATCTACCTTATAGTCTTCGAGCCATAATGACATACCATAATGGACTTTTCATAATTCAATTTAGGGGTTTATGGTGAGGCTCGCACAAATGAAACGTAATCTGTCTTTTCTCAAATTTGTTGATTACGGTAGAGGATTGAAAATTTATTCTATCACCTAATTTTCTACACGTTGATAAAGATGACAAACTCATCTAATTTAGGATTTTCACGAAATGACAAAGTCAATTTGGGGGTTTTAGGGTTAAAACAAATGGAGGATTTTTTAGTATATAAGAGACAAGAAGAAGAAGAAGTTAGCTACAATTAGTTATAATTCGTTTTTTGAAGGAGATTTTCAAATACAAAGACAATCGAAGAAGATGAAGAGAAGAAAAGGATAGAATGGATAAGAGAAAAGGAGTTTCCTTTTTAGTTTCTTCAGCTCTTTATCGACCGAAAGAAAAGAGAAATTAATTGATTTTTATACACAAGTAATTTTTTTTGTCCAAATATAATTTATTAATTTTGGAGGTTTTGGGTTTTTTTGCCACGCGTATAAACCTAGCACGCCACAGGAATTTTTTTTTTTTTTTACCATCTGAATTTCGAATGAAAAATTTGTCAGATTTCAATGAGAGGAGCATAATAAAAAAAATTAAAAAGTAAATGAAGTCGATTGAATAAAAAAAAAAAACAACAAGACACGCATTAAAAAAAATATCAGAAGAGTAGAAAAGCGTTTGATGGAGCTATCCCTTCTATTTGTAACGAATAACTGTGAATGCTTGAAAGTAAATAATGATGAATTAGCTGATAATATTTTTTAACCTAATTTTTAATTTGAAAACGATTCCATTATTATTATTTTTTAAAAACAAAGAACAAAATAACTGAAAAGTGCTAATCAATAAAGTTAGAGGACACGTGTCATGTAATTAGACGAATACTGTTTATCTTGACGGAGTTATTGACGGAGGGTTGACATTAAATAGGTAGAGGACCGGACTAAATAAGTCGTTATGATACGGAAACGGTACGGATCTTTAGCCCCTTCTAATCTTCCTTGATAACAAAGTTTGCTTTCAGTAATTCAGCAGTCCATAATTCAAATCCCACAAGAACAACAAGATGACTGCCTCATCAAATCCGAGTCCCATTCGGACTAGAGTAACGGTTTTGTTGCCGCATAAATACGCACCTCTCCCTCATTTCTCATCCAATCTTTAAAGAAAGCTTCTCTTCTTTTAGTTCTGTACAGTTTTGTTGACAAGAGAAGAAATATGATGGAGGAGGAGCAAGATCAAATGTCAATGACTGTTGATCATAAAGAAGATAATGTGGAGGATGCTAGTTCCGAAACCGACGAGTCACCTGATCCAAGACCTCAATTCGAGAATTTCACTCGAAATGGGATGATCAAGATTGGAGAAGAAACCAGCGAATATGTAGTAGTGAAGACGAGGTTTCTTACTGGCATGAAAGAATATGCGAAGAACACAGAGATTGCTGCCTTAAACAAGATTTCGGGTTCTAATTTGGCAGTGCAGGCTCGGTTTGCTGCGTTTAGGTTTTATGAAGGGGCTGTTTTAAAGAGGAGTGGAGGGAAAGGGCAAGGAGAAGGAGATGCCAATATTATGTATGGTTGGTATGGTGGTTCAAAGGAGGAAATGACACAAATCATCTCTTACGGGTTTAGTCGGTGTAATGGTCAATCACATGGACTTGGTGTTTATTTGTCTCCTACCAAGTTTCTTCTTGACGGGTATGTTTGTTTTCTTTTTTAATTATCTACTACTTACTTTTCATATTGGGTGCTGTTATTTAGTGCTAATTATTGACTGTTGGGCTTAGTTATAGTACTAATTATTGATTGAGATTTTGATTTTGAGAGGTAGAATGAAATTATGAAGTAATATGGAAATATCGTGTATTGGGTTGTCTTAATATTTTGGATACAAATGCGTGTGTTTAACGTAGGAAACGATTTATTAAACTCGTGTGTGTAACATTGGTTCTATTGGAAGAGTGATGGTTATGGTCTTGTCCAAAAGGGTGAAAAAAGGGGGTAAAGGAATTGATATCCGAGCTTGGAAGTTGGCATTCAGTGTTGAACAGTTCAGTGTAGAAAGTAAATTTTCATGCTAATGAAATTATATGGATACTAATTGGTGGTAGTATCTGGAGCAGTTTAGTTGATCAATTTATTCATTTCACTGCAGATTGGCATCTTCAAGTGCTGATAAAAATGGGATAAGGCATATGTTGTTATGTAATGTGTTAATGGGGAAGATGGAAGTGATTCCTGCTGGTTCCAAGCAAATATATCCAATTTCAGTGGAGTTTGACTCCGGTGTGGACAATCTTGAAGAACCGAGAAGATTGGTTGTGTGGAGTGCTTTCATGAATTCTCACATTTTCCCTACTCACATCATAAGTTTTAAAGTCCCTATTAAAGTTTTGCTAAGAAATCAGATCATTGAACTAAGAAAACACGGTCTTATTAGTGTTGCCGCTCTATTTCTTGAACTGGAAAAGTTTTTGTGTCCTGTCAAGAGAGTTTTGATTGACAAAATCTTTGATGACTTTCGCAAACATAAGATTAACGGACTGCAACTGATCCAGAGTACGAGACAAGTTGTTGGGGATGAGCAGCTGTTGATTGCAATGATTAATGCGTACCAAGACAAGCTTGTGGTAAGAGCATGAAGCAGAACGTGTGGGGCACAGGCAACAGCATATAGAGGGATCATGTACTGATAAGCAAGATGGTGCAAAGTGTAAAAATCAGAGTTCATGATTCGATGATTTTACAGGTGGCATCCAATTGTCCAGTTTTTTGCAGGAACTAGAAGTTTGCTTGTTATCTCTTACTTTTTTGTTCTTTTGTTTGCATAGCTGTATTGTATTCAGTTGTTTTTGTCTTGTTGTTGGGAATTTTCCCTACTTTGTAGCAGGATAATCCTGTTGTGGTTGATTTTTGACTAATGAAATGAAATCATTCATCAGAAAGAAAAAGGATGGAAAATGGCATAGCTGACAGATGGTGTTCTTCTAGAATATGACATTAGGATTTATTATCACTTCATTCTGAAACCAGAAAGCGAAACATAAAGTGTGAAAGAGTATTTGTTTCTTTGTATTTTTGTTCAATTGGCAATTAGTCTAACTCTATTTGTCATTCTCCCAATTTATTGATGGCCAGTTCAACATTAATCTTAAAGCGATTCAAGTCTATTGGATATTTAGTTCTAATGGTTGAGTAACCAGGAACTAGCATTCTTTGTGGAGATTGTTTCAAGTAGCTTCTGGCAGATGCTGTTATTATGACTCTGAGTATGTTATCTATTGTTGACGCATTCAGTTTTGCTAATTTTTTTTCTTGAAAAGCGATTTAGCTTGAAATGAAAGATGGCAGCAGTTCCTGTGGAAATTCATGCAGGTATTTGGTGAGCAAATGACTGTTCGTTATATTGTAAAATTGGTTCCCTGTTAAGTTTAAACTGTGTACAGTGCAAAGTGTTCAATTCAGATTGAATGATACTAGGCATCCGAGAAGTTTTATGCAGGGACTAGAACCTTACTTGTTAGCTCTTACTTCTGCATTGTTTTGTCTGTACAGTTGTAATTGTATTCAGTTGTTTTTACCTTGTTGTTTGGGCTCGTTCGTACTTTCTAGCATGATATTCCTGTAGTAGTTGAATTTTGATTAATTAATGAATGACATTATTGTATGAAAAAAGAAGGGAAATGGCGTGGCAGACTAACGGAGTCCTTCTAGAATATGATACAGGATTTATTATCACTTCATTCTGAAGCCAGAAAGCAAAATATGAAGTGTGAAGAGTGTTTTTTTTTTTTTTTTTTTTTTGCCCCTTGGGATTTATGTTCAAGTGCCATTTAGTCTGTCAAAATTTTCTTTCTCCCATTTATAGATCGCCATTTCAACATTAATCTAATGGATTCAAGGGTAATAGATATTTGGTTCTAATGGTTGATTATCAGAAACTAGCTTTCTTAGTAGAGATAATTTCAAGTCATTGATGGCTTATGCCTAATGCCTAATGCCTAATGCTACGATCGTGAGTGTTCATTTATGTTTATATGCCACATAATGCATCATAATGGATTGGACAACGCCAGTCCAAGCTCAATGAATCAATTTGTCTTGCATCGCCTAGCTAGTATCTACTTCAGAAAATGAATTCCATGCTTCAATTCAAATTCAAATTCCAATTCCTGTCTCATTATTGTAGCCAAGCCACAACTTCATAGCAGGGCTTGTGTTGGCTAAGATTGTGAATTCTACGTGTAAGCTAAACAGATCCCGAGTTTCTTTATAATTTTGTTTGGATGAAATTCCCTAACTTATTAGAAATTATATAATAGTTTTTGTCATCCAGATATATCAGATAATATTTTTTAGGTTAGATTGTTTATGTCAAGAAGCTAGTAATTTAACATGCTAATAGAAAATATAATATGTAAGTTAATCATCTAAGTTTCATTTTTAGAAAAGGATTATAAAATTGTCTTCCTTCTTCTTCTTCTTTTCCCCTTGATCATGTTGCTTGGTAGAACTGTTATACTCCTGAAATTTCAGAGAAGTAGATTGGGACATTCAACATTCAGATTTCAGAAGATGTAGTTGAATCATTAGAATTTCAAGATTTTTTTTTTTTTTTTTAACAGACTACGTGAAATACACAATTTAACAGCCCATCTATGGTATTGCTTCAATAGAAACTCAAATATCTCCAACGACAACTGGCAGGTGTTTGGCAATATTAAACGACATATTTAGAAGGACAGATTGGTGTGGAGCTGTTCTAAGCCTGCTGCTTCCTCATGATACAACTCTTACAATCAAAGAAGCTCCGACAAATGTAGAAGACTTTATGCAATTCATTCTGACATATCCACACGATCAGGTTAGAAATAGTCACCTTGATCATACAGTAAACGATAGGTTGATTTTTACTCTGACAAATTCAAGAAAATTTGAGATCAAGGCTTTTTGGAGGTATATCAGACAACATAACGCCTTATATTTCCCCAAATGTAGGAAAATTTATTTGGAATTGGTTGCATCAGACCGTGTTGGTTAACTCCAGGATTTGAGATATTAGGATCCCTGTGATTTCTCTGTGTCATTATTGCAGGAATCACCAAGAGGAGTCTCTTAATCACTTATTTTTATGGTCAGAGACTGCTACACTAGTCTGGACTGTTATAATTTTTGGCAAAAATAACCTCTGATCTTCTACAGCCATGGATGTGTTCCACTACCTCATAGACAAGTATGTGCCTAAGTAGCAACTTTATTCTTTCTTTGCTTTATGTGAAACATGTTTTGAGGATGAAATTATGTTGTGGGGTTAGTGATTCTGGCAGATATGTGTTTAATTTATAGGCCTAAAAAGCCAATGAATTATTTGCATCAAATCTTCCTATAATTCCAGTAAAGATTACCAGAAGATTGTGGCTGAAATAAAATCCCCTGTCCTATGGTACCTGTAAGTTAAATGCAAATGGTTGGGCTATAGACGGGAGATGTATTAGTTGGGGTATCAGAAGAGGTAGCATTTGTCATTTTATTGCTGGTTTTTCTGACTGTTCTGGAGCAAGTTCTAACATGAAACGGGAGATCCTTGCCTTAAGGGATGGGTCGAATTTATGTAAGGATTTGTCCTAATAAAATATGATTCTTTACTGACCATTCAGGCTATTCAAGATATAGCCAATACTCCATGACAAATTTTTTTGCAGGAACGGTATGACCTTTCTTTCTTAGCACAAAATTTTATGGATTATATTATAAATTAGTCCATCTAGTTTTGATAAATGTGCTAATTAGTAATTATATAGTAATTTTTTTCATTTTATATTCTTTATAATTTTTTTTTTGCTTTAAATAATAGAAAAAACAAATATTATGAAAAGATTGATGAAAAAAGAAAATATTTTTATATTAAGAGTAGTCACTACTAGTCAAAAAAACTAAATAATTAGTTTTTGTAGTTAAAAAAACACAATTTATTCTTTTTTATGCATTTATTCTTAAATAAAAATCCATAATAATCTAAATATAAAATTAAAAAACTATATTTTAATATTTTTTCATAACATTGTATCGAAGAAATAAAACAACGTAAAAAATTGAATAAAAATTAACAAATATATTTTTATTATTGTTTAATACTAATGAGAAGAATATTTTTTTTTGAAAGTATATATTTATATATACAGAATAATGAATAATATTAGTATAAAAAAATTATATTTGAATTATTAGATGATACTTCTAAAACATTATTTCAATTATTTTATTTTAAAAAATATTTTTAAAATATGAAAAATAATAACACTAGTCGGTGTTATGAATGTAGATACACGGTTAATTTTTAATAAAATTAATAACTCTAATATATATTTTTTATTGATCATGACCGTACTTATTGGGTCAAAATGTGCAGCATAAACTATTTTTTTTTTTTTAAAAAATAAGTTGTAAAAAATTTATTGAAGTTAGTAGGGTGCAATAAAAACTAACAAAGTTGATTTCGACGAAATTTGATATATATATATATATATATATATATAAAGCAAATAAAAACAACTAAAAAAATTAATGAATTCTATTTCATAATTTTTACACCTAATTCAATTTTAAAAAACGAAAATTGATGGGGAAAAACAAAGAAGAAAACCATAAAAAAAATCAATAACTCTAATATATATATATATATATATATATATATATATATATATCATGATCCTATTTATTGGGTCGAGTGTGTAGCATAAAGTGATTTTTTTCTAATAAAAAAATTAAGTTGGAAAAAATATATTGAAGTTGGTAGCGTGCAATAAAAAAAGACAACAAAGTTGATTTCGAAAAAATTTAATTATATAAAAAATAAATACATAAAACACGTGAATTTTATTTCTAAAATTTGATTGTATAAAAAATAAGTAACTAAAAAACTTATTCAAAAATCCATACATAAAAGAAAATAAATCATATTTATTAACAAATAAAATTACATAAAAAAAGAATAAAAAATTAATCTGATGAGAATTTTTATAAGAAATGACAAATTGAAGATATCAATTTTAAACAAAAAGAGTAACATATATATAATCGTCGATTTATATTGAAAAAAATTGATTTTTCATAATCTTCACATCCTATTCAATAATTAAAAAAAACATAAAGTATTGAAAAAAAAAAGAGAATAAAAATAGCATTTTTCATAATTTTTCACATTTAATTCAATTTAAAAAAAAACATAAATCGATAAAAAAAGAAGAAGAAGAAAAAAGATAGGCCCGTGTGCCTGCCTTGGGCCTACTGCAGGCCCAATGCAGCAACCTAATGCAGTAGGCCAAGAGACCAAACAGCTAAGGGGACTAAATTTTCCTTTTAAACCTTTAAGGATCAAAATAAAATATTGTGTAAACTTCAAATATAAATGTCAAACAGCAGCTGAAAATCACAAAAATGCCATCTTAATCTACAGTCAATGAACAATGAATCGTGAAAGGAAGAATAGTGATTCTTCATGTTGAAAATCCCTATTTGTAATTTGCGAGGAAAGTTAATGGTACTATTCACTCTCTCTCTAATTTCCAGATTGTGATTTTCCAAAAAATCAATCTTGTTATACTAATCTATGATTTTTTTTTTTTAAATGTTGTGTCACTCGTATTCAGGTATGGCAATGGACGAATACTTAATCCTTTAATTAAATTTTTTATTCTACCAATAAAAAGAATATTTTACTTATTATTCATTAAGAATGTTTTTTTATGTTTTTACATTTTGGTCATTTTTCAATAAGTTTTTTGGTTCTCAAAGTTTGTTGAAAAACTATTTTAATTCTTAATTTTTAAAATTTATGCAATTAGATCCCTATATATTAAAAAAATCAAATTAAATTAGTGGGTACTAATATGATAAAAAATTGGACATCCATAACCTTAAACCATATTAATAGATATGTTTTTTTTTTATTCTTATCTATTTTAATATTCATTAGATATTTTTAATAGCTATTTATTGGATCAAATAAAGCTAATATTCATTTCATATCGTACTCATTACCATCCTTGCTCACATTTGAAGATAATTATTGTCTTTTTTCGTTTCTAGTCACAAAACCTGAAGCAAAAATTTCGGTAGTATTCTTAGAAGATCTAACTCATGATAAAATTGGTATTCAAGAAACTAAGATTCGTATCTATAATTATTTTGTATTAAAAAAAGTAATTTTAAAAAATAAATAAATAAAAACAGAAATTTTCGCTTCCAAAAACCAAAAATCAAATAATATTTCCGTTGAGTTCAATTTTGATTTTTGTGGGTTTGGTTAATAGAAAACAAAACCAGATAATTGAATCCTCACCCCTTCCAGTACTGAATTAATTTGTTTGGTATGACCCTCCATTAGCGATATCACAGGAATGTTAAGAAAATTTTATAGTCAAGTAAGATGTATTCTTTGATCACGTTGAACTATTAATTATTTTCCTTCATATTTTTTATTATAGAGATTTTTTATTAAAATTAGAAGAAAAAAAAGACATTAAATTCCTCTTCTCTGATGACGGAAATATTTCTCAATCTTACGGGGGATAGAATAGACTTTACCTTATAAACTTGAATTAGAAGAAAAGCCAACACACAATACATACACGGGAAATTTCTATAGTTATTTAAAGGACATTATGATTATACAGTGCTTCCAAATTACAGATTACTAAATATTTTTATTTATTGCATCATGATAAATTATTTTATCATTCAATAATTTAATCAATTATCTCGTGATTAAGCTCATTACTAATAATATTGTACAATTACGACTTAAAAAAAAACATTGTTAACTACAAAACAGAAAATAAATATCATTTACTCTGTAACAAATAAATGATTAAATAAGTTTACTTAATTAACTATAAAAAATATCTTATCTTTACGTAATTTAGGTAATTACTTCGTCATTATGATAGTTACAAATAATTAAGTATAATTTCAATACAAAAAGTTTTTTTTACCTCAAAGCAATAAATAAATAAATAAATCCTAATGAAATTATTTTTAAATAATTATGGATCAATATGTGTTTATATTTATTGTATGATAAATATTATCTTATTACTTTGGAAATTTGAAACTGCTTTGTAGTAATTATTAAGGGTGAACATATATTTAAACGGTTCATTTTTATACAAATTCGGTTTGGTTTTCGGTTAATCAAATTAAGAAAAACCAAAACCAAAATCAAAACCAAACCGAAATAAGTTTGGTAAGTTTGGTTTCGTAAAAATTTGGTTTTAACCAAAATATTTTTTTCAAATAAATAAAAAGGCATAATATAAATTACATGGGAATTAAATCGCTATGAATTAAGTTTGGAATGTTTTTTTGAGAATGGACAAAATTACTTATAGACAATTTATAAATCTAAATAGGAAATATAATCATAATTTTATGGATTGGGTAGCTAAAATAAATCTCATAATTATTAAATAACTATGAAATATGCCAACTTAAATATAAAACTAGATAATTTATGATGGTATATGTAAAAAAGTGATAATAAAAAATCATCAAAAATAATAAAATATACTTCATATGCCAGATATGATTAGCATATGACTAACATGCAATGACATAGAAATATAGAATGAGTCATGAAAGTGGTAAAACAATTGGCAAGTGAAAAAAAAAACCATATTCGGTGGAAATTGTTTTTTTTTTTTTTTTTTTCAAAAACTAAACCTAATTGAAATAATTTCGATATTTCGATTTAATTTATAATTTTACAAAGTTAAGTTTAAAATCAAATCAAAATATTTGATTCGGTTTGATTTGATTTTTGGGTTAATTGGAATTATGCTCATACCTAATAACCATAGCAAGCCTTTACATACAGACTCTAGTCACCAATTGTAATGACTATAGTACCTTTTATTTTTCGAATTGATATTGATAGGCAATTTCATAAGAGGGTCATATCAGTAATTTTTCAGTTCAGAATCCTTATCCCACACGGAGATGATGACCGCCTCTTGGCAATCCGAGTCCCATTCGGATTAGAATAATTGCCAATATAAATATCCGCCTCTCTTTCTCATTAAATTTTTAAAGAAAGCATTTCTTCTTTTACATAAAGAATCTTTGTTTTGTCAATACTTGTTGACGAGAGAAGAAAATGATGGAGGGGGAGCAAGATCAGTTGTATAATGTGACAGTAGATCATCAAGAAGTGGAGGATGCGAGTTCCGAAACCGACGAGTCGTCTGATCCAAGACCTGGTGATGATCATTTCAAGAATTTCACTCGAAATGGAATGATCAAGGTTGGAGAAGAAACCAGCGACTATGAAGCAGCGAAGACGAGGTTTCTTACTGGCATGAAACAACATGCCAAGGACACAGAGGTTGTTGCCTTACACAAGATTTCGGGTTCTAGTTTGGCTGTGAAGGCTCGGTACGCTGCGTTTAGGATTTATGAAGGGGCCGTTTTAAAGAAGAGCGGAGGGCAAGGGCAAGGGCAAGGGCAAGGAGACGGAGTTGCAAATATTAGGTATGGTTGGTACGGTGGTTCAAAGGAGGAAATTACTGGAATAATTTCTCACGGGTTCAGTCGGTGTAATGGGCAATCGCATGGTGTTGGTGTTTATTTGTCTCCTACCGAGTTTCTCCTTGATGGGTATGCTTCTTTTCTTTTCTTTCCTTTTATTTTGCTTCTTTACCAAGTTTTTTTTTTTTGAAAAATATGTATGAATTTAGCACTACTTTACTTTTACTATAAGAAAATGCTAATTAAGGACAGAAATGTTTTTACTGTTCTTTATGGTTATTTGTGTTGTTAATTTTTCGAATGTATTTAGCTATTATATTTTGACATTGAATGGTGGAATGAAATTATCAATTAATGTGGAAACATTGTGAATTGGTATCTTCATATTTTGGATATACTTGTGTGTGTTCTGTTTTAATTACTAATCATTTTACTACTGCTTTCACTTTTAACATAGGAAAGTGCTTATTACGCACGTTTCTTTTATGATAACGGGAAATGTTAATTTCTTGCTAGTAAGGGGAAAAAGGGTTAGAAGGGATTGATGGAGGTAGGCAATCGGTGTTGAACAGTTCAGTACTGGAAGTAAATTTTCATGCTAATGAAAATATATTGGTGGAAGAATCTGGAGCGAATGTAGATGGTTCCCCCTTGTTAATTAGTGCGTGCAGCATGCTTCTTCCCTTTACATTTTATGTATATTTCTGATTCATAAATCTCTAAAAGTTGCTCGATTCATTTATTTCACTGCAGCTTGGCATCTTCAGGTGCTGATGAAAATGGGATAAGGCATATGTTGTTATGTAACGTGTTAATGGGGAAGATGGAAGTAATCCCTGCTGGTTCCAAGCAAATCTATCCAAGTTCAATGGAGTTTGACTCTGGCGTTGATAATCTTGAAGCACCGAGAAGATTAGTTGTGTGGGGTGCTTTCATGAATTCTCACGTATTCCCCACTCATATCATAAGTTTTAAGGCCCCTTCTTTCAATTGTTCGCTAAGAAGTCAGGCCAGTGAACTAATAAAATACGGTCCTTTTAGTATTCCTGCTCTACTTGTTATACTGGCAAAGCTTTTGGGTCCTGCCAAGAGGGTTTTGATTGCCAAAATCTTTGATGAGTTTTGCAAGTGTAAGATAACTCGACTGCAACTGGTCCAAAGTGTGAGGCGGCTTGTTGGGGATGACCAGCTGTTGATTGATATTATTAAATCCAATCGAGAGAAGCTTGCAGTAAGATCATCAAGCAGAACGTGCGGGGCACAGGCAGCAGCTAATAGCGGAGGGAAAATGTAACGTGTGGAGCACAGGCAGCAGCATATAGCAGAGGGAAAATGTTCTGACAAGCAAGATGGTGCATAGTGCACAATTCAGATTGCATTATACCTTGATTTTACGGGAGGCATCCAATTGTTCAGTTTTATGTGTTAGCTCTGATTACTTCTGCATTGTTTTGTTTTCATAGTTGTATCTGTCTTCTTGTTGGGAATTTTTCCTTACTCTGTACAGCATATTCGTATTCATGTTGTAGTTGATTTTTGACAAATGAAAGGAAACCCTTCACCATTGAGGGGAAAAGAAAAGAAAAGAAAAGAATATGATATTAGGATTTACTATCACTTAATTCGAAAAATGTGAAGAGTATTTGTTTCCTTGGATTTATGCATGAAGTGTCAATTACTCCCTGTCAAATTTATCACACTCCGAATTTATTGATGACCAGTTCAAAATTAAGCTGAAGAGATTAAAGTCCAATGGATATTTAGTTCTATTTGTTGATAAACCAGGAACTAGCATTCTTAGTGAGTGAAGATTATTTCAAGTTGCTGATGCCTGATGCTGTGATCTATTGTTAAAAACATGCGCTAATCTGACAAACTAAGTTGCAACAGTGTGGAACTAGCATTCTTAGTGAAGAGATTGAATACGCCATGAGAAAAGAAATAAAAATTTGAGGGCAAAATGAACAATGTTTTTTCTTTTTTGGGTTAAATTGAGTTTTTTGAAAAAAGAAGGGATTAAATGCATCATATTCCAAGCCCGCCATCTTTACCTAACTTTTAGAATATTGTTGTACATTACTAAAAGTTGGTCCTCAGCAAAAAACTTGCAGATGATTTTGCCGCCAAAGCTAATTTCCTTATCCCAAACAAAGCAAGCCCATGCTCGCATCATTGTCTCAGGCTTCGCAGGCAGTGTGTCTCTTACAAGTCACCTCCTTGCTTTCCTTGCTATATCCCCATCCAGCCCATTTGATTATTCCCTCTCAATTTACCGCAAAATCAAAAACCCAAATGCTTTCGCCTCTAATAATATGATCCGGTGCTTTGGCAAGAGCGACTGGCCTCTTAAATCACTTGTTCTTTACTCTAGTATGTTGAGAAGTTGTGTAAGACCCAATAACTATACTTTTACTTTTCTCTTGCAAGCTTGTAGTAAGGGTTTGGGTTTGAATGAAGGGGTTCAGGTTCATGACCATGTGCTAAAACTTGGGTTTGGTGAGGATGTTTATGTAAGAAATGCATTGATTCATTTATATTCTGCTTGTTGTAGAATTGAGAGTTCAAAACAAGTGTTTGATGATAGTCCACTTCATTGTGATGTTGTTTCTTGGAATGTAATGTTGGCTGGTTTTGCAAGAGATGGGCGAGTTGATGTTGTAGAGAAAATGTTTGATGAAATGCCTGATAGAGATGTCATCTCATGGAATACGATGATTATGGCTTATGTTCATAATGGGAAGCTTGAAGAAGCCATAGAGTGTTTTAGGAGGATGAGAGAGAATGGGTTTGTACCAGATGAGGCCACATTGGTGATAATGCTCTCGGCATCAGCACAATTAAGTTTGCTTGAACATGGTCGGTTGGTTCATTCGATTATTGATTCATTGAATCTTCCTATGACGGTTAGCATTGGTACTGCGCTTCTGGACATGTATGCAAAATGTGGATGCATTGAACAGTCTAAGGTTTTGTTTGAAAAAATGCCTCAAAGAGATGTGTCTACATGGAATGTTATGATATGTGGATTGGCTTTGCATGGACTTGGAAAGGATGCTCTTGCACTCTTTGAGAGGTTCTTAAATGAAGGACTTCATCCGATGAATGTAACCTTTGTGGGGGTTCTGAATGCTTGTAGTCGAGCAGGTTTGGTAAATGAGGGCAGACATTATTTTCAGATGATGACAGATAGCTATGGCATTGAGCCGGAGATGGAGCATTACGGCTGCATGGTTGATCTCTTGGGACGAGCTGGTTTAGTCTTTGAGGCTATCAAAGTAATTGAGAGCATGGTTATCTTGCCAGACCCAGTGTTGTGGGCAATGGTTCTTTGTGCTTGTAGGATTCATGGATTAGTAGAATTGGGTGAAAAAATTGGGAATAGACTAATAGAATTAGACCCAAACTATGATGGACATTATGTGCAATTAGCAAGTATTTATGCCAAGTCTAGGAAATGGGAAGATGTAGTTAAAGTTCGAAGATTGATGGCTGAGAGAAACACTATTAAAGTTGCAGGTTGGAGCTTGATTGAAGCCCAAGGAAGAGTACATCGATTTGTTGCAGGCGACAGAGAGCATGAGCAGTCACTAGAAATACAAAAGATGCTTGAAACAATTGAAACTCGGTTAGCAGCAGCTGGCTATATTCCCAACATTTCACCAGTCTTACATGATATTGGAGAAGAAGAAAAAGAGAATGCAATTAAGGTGCACAGTGAGAGGTTAGCTATTGCATTTGGTCTTTTGGTTACAGGGCCAAGAAGTTGCATTCGGATTGTGAAGAACCTGAGGGTTTGTTGGGATTGTCATGAGGTGACCAAGATGATAACAACAGTTTTTGAAAGGGAAATAATTGTAAGGGATGGGAGCAGATTTCATCATTTTAAGGAAGGGAAATGCTCATGTCTGGATTATTGGTAGAGTAGAAGTATTCATCTTCAGTTTGTGTTCTTTCTTTAGGTCTTTGCTGGAAGTTTCCAGCATTATTCTTTTCGTGTCAGGTAATCATGATGAACGAGTCTTGCTTCTGTGCGCTTTTTATTGTCACGTCCATTTTGCTATGCAAGTCACTGTTAGCAGTATCAATAAATCTGCCTATGTTTGATTTGACTATTGCTAGGTGCAGCGTAGCCAGACCCAAGTCTGGGAAATTGTGACGCTGCAAACACATTAACTTCCAGCATAAAAGTAGCTACCTTATGTATAGCATGGAATGAAAGGAGTTGTGTTGTTAGCAGCGTGAAGGTTAGGGTTTCAAGGTTGGTGTACCATCCAGTCTCTTTCATCAGTTATCTTGGCTATCTTGTTGACAAGCCATCTGATTTATACTTTCGTAGAGACATTTCATTTGGATTGTTAGCAGCATAATTTTTTGCTATGTTTGTTCCTATGCATGATACTCATTACATGATGACAGGGCAGGAAATTTTCCAGTTTTACCAGTCAGTGCCATACGCCACCTAGCACTTTATGCATATTGCAGTTGTAAGGTTGACTAACTCTGGAGTGGGATATTTTGATGTAAGGGTGCGAAATTTTTATTCTCAAGTAGCATATATTATAAATAGAACAAGTGTGTTCCTTTTCATTTTTTTTTCCCTTTTTTAATGTCAAAAGAGAGGAAACCTATGAAAAGAGTTTTGTCATTTGCATTGAAGATCAATGATAATTTTGACTTTCGTATTCTTTTTGGTGCTAGAGTGGTCAGCACTAGATCATGCAGCAAAGTATCTTTAGAAGTTTCTTTTACTTAGTTGCAATTATCTCTTAGCTTGTATTTTAAACAGCGCTATAATTATTGCAGTTTAGAATCCAATTAGATTAGCCCATAGCTGTTTGTATGCAAAATAATGTTTACTGGCTTGAATTTGATTTAAGTGGATTGGCAAGTTGTTTGATCAGATATTTCCATAAGGTAATGATTGAAGATAATCTATGCTATTTTAGATTCATTAGCTATTTTCATTCCTTCTGGGTTCTGAGTTAAAAAAAAAAGTACTAATAATTTTTTGACAGAGAGCGCTATTGGAACAACTTAATCGAATTCTTTTGTGCATTAAATGACTAAATACCCTCTATCTTTTTCAGCTGATTTGTTAATTGCTATGATTCTGGTTAGATATTAATCATCGTCCATTTCTGTCCGAATTCCAGTCAGATACCTTACAGTTTGCAATACAGATATATGAGATGCAGATTTTGGCTTTTCTGCACAATTAAGAAGGTACTGCATCTCATTCAGCTAAGCTTTGTTCTTCAACCAGTAAAGAGTGCATCAGTTAGTGGAACATGCCTTGAGGATTTTCTGTTTATCATTTATATGGTTAGGTTTCCTGTTTTAGAACCTATTCCTTGCTAAACACATTAGTATGTGCATGTTTTTTCTCTTTTAAACTGTTTTGAAGCAAGAGCAAATCATTTGCTACTGCACAATAGTAGATCAGCAGAAACTATTGTTGGCATTAATAGAAAATGATAATAGATCGCAGTTCATTTGTTAAATGATGCTATGTATCAGGTTTCAGATTTGCATGACAGAGGTAATGTAGTGTTGTCATTTTGCAAATTATAAATTAATTTCCAAGGTGCATTAGTCAGTTATGAAGTTCCTCTCTCTCAACAAAATGAATTTTTAACAATAGAGACAGGAGGACGAATTTCTCATAAATTCATATAACTGCTTTGGATTCTGAGAAACCATTGCAAAGAACGTGGTACTGGCTATGCAGCAATATGGGCCTTCAGATAATTTCTTATATCTGCCGAGGAGTGTATGAAACATGGAAGATTTTGGTTTGATTTTCTTCAATTAAAAATTGTTAATAATCTAAACTTAAAAAGTGTTTATTGTTTTGGCAATATTTAAATCATTTCTGCTCTTTATTAAATGTTTCTCGAATGGAGATTAAATAACTTTGGAATATGATTCTCCCTTTGATGTATCCAGTTGGTTCAAATTCTTGCTGTTAGTGTAAATATTGAAATCCAAATTCAAGACCACAGTATGTTGAGGCAAGCTGTGAAATTGGTGGACATAATGTAACTTTTGCTGATGCAACTTTTTTTTTTCTTGAGGAATTTCTAAATATTTTTCAAATACGAGAAAGATTCAAAATGGAATTCGAACTGCATCAAAAGCAGAAATCACATTTTCTTTGAATGTGATTATGTTGGTACAAATCCTGGAAAAAATGCAACATACAAGGAGAAATTGAAAACTGGGAATCTGAAGTCGACTGGCTAAGAAAAATCTACAGAAAATATCTTTTTCATCTGTAAGTTTCAGGCTTCATGGTGTGCTTGCTTATGCTTTATTTGGAATGGAAGGAACTCCAGGCATTCGAACAACCTTTCCTCTCCTGATAGCATTGTACAGTGTATAATCTTCACTGTAAAAATAGAATTCAGCATACTGATATTTGTAAATCTGCAATCAGACACTTCACTTTGTTTAATGTATGTTACTAGGGTTTAGTTTGATCCATTAAATCTAGCTTTGTATTAGGGGTTGGCTCCTACATTTTTTTATCCTAGATGTACAGTACGAGAGGCCATGTCCTGCAAGAGCCTTGCTGTTGGGATCACTTGCTAGTTTATTGTTCAAGACTTGGAGACCTCCCCTCCCCCTCTTTTTTCATTTAAATTATAAACAGTGCTGAGAGTGGTTTGTTTGTTTAGTGATTGTAACAGCATATATTATTTATGTTTAAAACAGTCATCCATGTTGTAATAATTGTTGAAAATGACGACTTAAATTTGTTGGCTGCAATATGTAAATTTCTCTTCTAATAATTTCTTTTTGGTGAAGATTCCTAATTAGAATGATCAGTTGCTTCAGTATCGCGTGAACGCGTGGGGAAAATAAGCCAAGGAAATCTGATGAGGGGAAACTGTCTTTGTATTATCCTAATTGGCGAGGCAGAATATCCGAGAAGAGAGAAAATGTCTATGATTTGGATAGTAAGTTCTATTGATTAGGCATAAACAAGCTCTATTACGCAGATAATTGATACTCAGGCATTCAAGTACGTAGTCATCACCTCAGTTTGAAAACAACCAACTGAAAAAGTGAACAGAGAAAGAATCAATCCCTGAAAAAGTCCACCACTAATCGTCACATAAGTGTATGTTGGGTGGAAAATAACCAACTGAAAGGACCAGCAATAAGTGCGACATGAGCAAAAGTAAACAGAAACCACAACTATAACAGCAAGAACAACAGTGAGGAATACAAATAGGACAATATTCCTCTTGACCTGCTGTTGATGTCCTTCAATCATAGACAGAAGTACAATCTAATAAATCTCAGAATTTACTTGAGCCTCTGTTTAAGGTCATCCTATCGATTAAACTTCTACTGTCACTTACATTATCATTAACATAATCAGAAATTACCAGCTGCAAACATGAATTAATAAATTGACAAGTTCACTAAATAAATGGAAAAATCTCCAAGTGCGGATGTCACCCGCTAGCCCTCCTCTTGAGGAAGAGAAAAGAGAAAATTAACGGTCCATGTGGAAAGGATTTGAGATCATCTGAATCCCATTTTCTTGAATCAGGCTTGTAGGATTTGCTTCTAGCAGCATTTGGGAATATGACTCTGACGAATTGGTAAGGCTGGAATCGGAAAAACCATGTTCAAGATGACAATCAACAGGATCAGGAGTGAAGGATTCATCCAGTGTTGGTGTAGCCTGAATCCGAAAAGCACTCGCCTCTGCTGTTGCATGAGTTGCTGGAACCCCATCTGCCTCGTCATAGCAAACACTCAAACCTAGCAGCCCAAAAAGCCCTTGATGGAAATCATCATCCTCTGTTGCAGCAGCATCCCCATCATTGCCAGTTGGCTGCAACTTCTCTGCTGGATTTAATGCAGATACAGCTGGTAGTGCAGCATTGCTAGTGGATGTAATATTATCTGAATCGGCAACCATCAGATTATTTTCGAAGTCTTGCACAGTTGAGGGTTCAAAATAAAAAGTCTCAAGATTGTCGGATTGCACGCCATTATCAAAGACTGGTTCAAGCTCCAAGCGGTGCTGTTGGTTTTCCAATTGAGATACATTTTCTGCCGCCCCATTGAAACAAATGATTTGTTGCTGCCGATGGTCTTCTTCAACCCTGGGCTTTTGAAGTATCGTATTTGTTGCATCATCAACACTGTCAGCATCCCTCTTCCTCTTTTTTGCGGTTGCGGTTGTTGTTATTGTTGTTTGTACTGTCTCGGTGGTGTGGACCTCTTTCTTTCTCAATTGGCACAAGACAGTTTGTTGGGAGAGTGATGGCAGACTGTACTCAAACATGAACCAGGAGCCATCTTGGTCAGATTTAGGATTACGATAAGTGAATAGCTTTTTGATGGCTTCGACTTCGGTGTTGTGGTCGATAGAGACATTGAAAGGAGGGTCTTTGTACTCTTGGTGCCATGTTCCAGGACCGCGGCTGATTTTGCGGACAAAGTTCTTGCCTTTCTTGGTGAGTTGAGTGAAGAAGAAGAGATCCTCTCCATCGCGTTTGGGGAAGGAGTCCCAAATTTGCCAAGGTTCTCTGGCTTGGCTGCCAAAGAGATGACAATCTCTAACAGGAATGCTGATGGCGGAGAAGAGATCAGGGCTGGTGATTTTTTCATAAAGATAGAAGCGAATCAGTTCTTGGTCATCGGGACGGAATCGATAACAATGAAGTATTTGTGGGGTTAGTGTTTCTGGTGTTTGTGATAGAGGAGACTGTACTGTGTTTTGTAACATGGACATAGCCATTATGTCAATTGAAAGCTAAGATGGATGTTTAATGGTTTTTATTTATCGTGCATCCGAATCAGATGAAAAAAGGGAACGGATGAGGATCAAATTCAAACGAAAGAAAGCAACTTTATCGATGAATTGATGGATGGACAAAACGGGAAAACTAACCTATTTGAAGATTTGAAAGACAGAGAGAGTTATTTTCTTTCTTTCTTGATGATTGATAAGAAAGAAAGAAAGCAGGCAAATATATATAGTAACTGAGAGGGAGAGAAGAGATTAAAAAACCCTAACTTGTTGCCGAAATAAAATAGGAAACAACAAATCCGCGTAATAGTAAAGCTTCCCAAAAATATCTACATAACAGGGTTTGTTTGTTGAGGCGGTGGCGGTTCCAACGGTCATTAAAAATTTTGAAATATTTCTTTGGTTTTTTTTCTTTACTAATCTTATGCTGACGTGGCAAAGTCAAGCACTGTACGGTACCGTACTAAAGGCACACGTTCACGTACACATGCTAGAGGAAACATAATGACTGAAGAGGGTCGGATTGGACGATAATGGATAATGGATGATGGATGGGCATGGCTGGGGTCTTTTGGTTTAATTATTTTGTGGGCCCCAGTAAGTGGAACTCCATTTGTTTTGCCTTCAATGGTATAAGTGTTGTTGCGTTGATTGAATAGAGCAGGGTCGCAGTTAATAAATTTAAAAAATAAAGAAGAAGTTGAACATATAGATTTTATGTGGAAACCCTTAAACAAATTAAGGAAAAAAATCACGGACAAGATAGAAGAATTTCACTATGAAAAATAATAGGAGTTACACCCTCTCTTTATACTATAAGGAGAAAACAATAAATTTCTCTCTTGAAATAGGAAAAAAAAAAAACACTCTCTATATTTTCTCTCTCTCTTCTTTGAGATGGGATGGTGGGATGGATGCAAACTAAGGTGGAAAGACCTATTTATAGACCTCTCCCTTTGCTTGCACCGCCTCAATTTAGGTGGTGCGATGTTGGTCACGACTTGCATTTTGCAAGTTGTGATTCTGTGGACAAGTTATCCACGGAAAGCCTTTTTATTATTTTTTTCAACAATCTCCCACTTGAAGATTTGATTAAGAGTCAATTAGATCTTCCCACTATTCTTTTTATCTTGTCTTCCCATGTTGCTTATGTCTTCATCGAGTCACGGGAGGATCGACACCAAATAAACTTATCGGCATTGATTGCTTTTGTCATAAAATGCGCAGAGTTGTTTTTGGTGTGAATTTTCTACATATCCACAGTTCCTTCTTTCACTTTCTCATGGATGAAGTGATACTTGTACTCGTATATGCTTTGTCTTTGAATGAAAGGATGGATTTCTTGTAAGATGCGAGGCACTTCGATCGTTGCAAAACAAAGAAATCTTTTCTTGTTTAGTGCTCGAGTTCTTCCAATACCATTTTCAACCAAGCTCGCCTCTTTCTTGGCTTGTGTAGGCTGCTACATATTCTAGCTTCGTTGTTGGCGTAGCCACAATCGATCGTAGTTTAGAAACCCAACTTACGGCTCCACTAGTAAGTGTAAACACATAACTCGTAATTGATTTGCTTTTATCCATATCACTCGCATAATCGAAATCAACATAGCTGTCGACGATAAATTCGATCCTCCATAACATAATGCAACATCCGAGGTTTCTGAATGTATCTCGGGATCCTCTTTATCGCATTCCAATGCTCTCTAACAGGATTCCCCATGTACCCACTAACCACTCCCATTGCATGCGTAATGTTTGGCCTTGTACAAATCATAGCCAACATTAAACTTTCCACTTGTTGATGCATACGGTACTCGAGACATCTCCATCCTCTATTCTTCACCACTAGGACTCATATTGGATGATAACTTGAAATTAATAGGAAGTGGGGTAGAAATTAGCTTACAATCTTGCATGTTGAAATGTCGCAAGACCTTCTTCAAATAAGTATTTTGAGAAAGCTAAATCTTCCTATTATTTCGTCTCGGTGAATTTGCATCCCTAGAATCTTGTTTCGTTGGTCCTAAGTCCTTCATTTCAAATTCCCTAGCCAACTGTGCCTTCGATTCTTTGACATGATCTTTGTTGGGGCATGCTACCAACATGTCGTCGACATACAATAACAAGATAATAAAATTACTTTCACCAAACCTCTTGAAATATGCACAAAGGTACGCATTAAGTCCGTTGTATCCAAGGCTCATGATGAATGAATCAAATCTCTTATACCAACACATTGGCGTCTATTTTAGACCGTACGGAGATTTGGTCAACACTGCAAACCAAGTTCTCTTTTCCTATTTCTTCAAAACCTTCGGTTGGAGCATATAAATCTCTTCTTTAAGATCTCTATGAAGAAAAACCATTTTCACATCTAACTACTCTAGATGTAAGTCAAACATAGCACATATTGCCGGGACTACTCGGATCGTTGTCGGTTGAACCACATGAGAAAATATCTCATTAAAGTCAATCCCTTCTTTACGAGCATAACCTTTCGCCACCAACCTTGCACGATATCGCTCCACTTGATCATCGGCATTTCGTTTGATCTTATAAACCCATTTATTACCAATGGGCTTTCTTCCTTGTGGTAATGTCACAAGTTCCCAAGTTTTGTTCTTGTGAAAAGCTTCAATTTCTTCCTGTATTCTTGTCATCCACGGAGATGCATCCGAGTTGTTCATTGCTTCTTGGAGAGTTGATGGCTCTCCTTCCTTCGTTAAAAGACGGTATGCAACATTGCTCTCCATAATATAGTCCGAATGCCAATCGAGTCGCCTTCTTGTGCGATCGGTCCATCGGGGTTACGAAACTTCGGACTCAGCTGGTTCCTCTCCCTCGTACTCTAGTCGTTGCTTTAGAAGGATCCTTTTGTTCGGGATCTTTTTCCACTCGTACCTTTGTAATTTCGAAGTGCTATTACCTTGTTCTTTCCTTTGTAGATCTGTTTCTACAAAGATAACCTCCCTGCTAACAATAACCTTGTGGGCGGTGGGATCTCACAAGCAATACCCCTTGACTCCATCAACATATCATAAGAATAAACATTTCCTAGATTTTGGATCTAGCTTTGTGATTTCTTGGGCATTGTACATCACGTACACGGGACTTCCAAATATATGAAAATTTAAATAATCAAGCTGACTTACCGATCTACATCTCCATCAATGTCTTCAACTCAATTACGGTTGATGGGGATCGATTCACAATATAATAGGCGGTATTAACTGCTACGCCTGAATGCTTTTCCTAAGCTGCAGGTCCTCGACATAGCTCTTGTCCTTTCTAACAAGGTTCTATTCATCCACTTCTGTCACTCCATTTTATTGAGGAGTGTATGCAATCGTGAACTATCTTTTGATACCTTCTTGTTTGCGGAATGTATCAAATTCATCACCGAGTGTATTCTCCTCCATTATCCAGTCTCCGAACACTTAATCTTTTTTCCGGACTCAAGTTCAACCCGCGCTTTGTAAACTTTGAAGAGTGAAAACACATCTCCTTTCCTCTTGATAGGATAAACCCGGCATCTCCTAGAATAATCATCAATGAAGGACATAAAGTACTTCGTTCCTCCTATGGATGGAGCCGGTGCTTGCCACACATTAGAGTGAACCAATTCTAGAATAGTCTTGCTTCTAGAATTTGATGTGCTAAACTTCAATCGATGTCGCTTGCTGATAACACAATGCTCACAAAAGGGTAAAGATACTTTTATGAGTCCGGAAGTAGTTTTTGCTCGGCAAGGATTTTCATTCCTTGTTCGGACATATGCCCAAGTTTCTAATGCCACATTATTGTAGATCTTTTACCTAAACTATTTAAAGCAACTAATGCTTCGTTTCTTGTAAAGTCTCTCCCTTCGACATATATAAGTTTGCGGTTATCTTTTCTTCCTTCATAAGTACAAGCGCTCCTTTGATTATCTTCGGGATCCCTTCTCGGTATCGATCTTGTATCCAAGATCATCCGGTTGTCCTATAGACAACAAGTTCTTCTTCGAGCCCTCCACATGTCGCACTTATTGAATAGTACGAATTGTACCATCATATATCTTCGACTTGATGGTTCCAATGCCAATGATCTTTAGAGCATGATCATTGCAATTGTACATAGATCCTCCTAAGATAGATTCATAATGATAGAACAATTCCTTCCTAGAGGTCATGTGAAACGTAGCTCCCGAGTTAAATAGCCACACATCGGCAAATCTTTTTCTATCACTATGTAACGTTATCGCTTCACAACACGAGCATTTCCATCATCCGAAGTGCTTGCCACATTTCCTTGAGGATTGAAATTTTTCAAACTACGACAATCCTTCTTGAGGTGACCTTTCTTGCCACGGTTGTAGCATTTAAAACTCTTCTTACTTCTTGATTTTGACATACCATGATTATAGCTCCTACTCGAGCCACGATCCGTTGATCTCCCTCTCATCACCGTCGAGGCTTCGCTTGTTGAGAAGTCATCCGCTCGTCTTTCTTGTTCTTGCGTCGATTTTCTTCTTCTAGAATAGCGAGCTACAACATCATCGAAGACTAGATAATCCGTAAGGATATTATTTGTTAAGTTGATGATGAGTTGATCATAAGAATCCGGTAAACTTTAAAGTAGAAGTTCGAGCACGTTCACTTTGATCTATTTTATAACCCAACAATGTGAGTTGAGAAAATAAAGTATTCAAAGTATTGACATGCTCTGTCACCGAAGTAGATTCTCGCTATACGATGAGTATAAAGTTTCCTCTTAAGAAAATTTTTATTGTAGAGTGACTTGGCCTCATACGACTTAGTGAGATGATCCCGGATCTCCTTTGCTATCTTCTCCTCCTCTATGCTTGACAACACTCCATCTGCTAATACTAGATGAAGATTTGCAATAGCATTTCCATCCATCTCATTCCACTTATTGTCATCTTTGTATTCTCTCGGCCTTTCATCGATAGCCGCTAGGCAATTATCTTTTCTCAAGATAGCCTTTATCTTCGACTTCCACGATGAGAAATTGCTCCCGTTGAATTTTTTGATTTCAAACTTTGCTACCATTGCTTCTATCACGAACTCTGTAGGATCTACAACTAGGCTCGATACCACTTGTTGTGTTGATTGAATAGAGCGAGGTCGCGGCTAATAAATTTGAGAAATAAAGAAGAAGTTGAACACATAGATTTTACGTGGAAACCCTTAAACAAATTAAGGAAAAAAACCAAAGACAAGATAGAAGAATTTCACTATGAAAAATAATAGGAGTTACACCCTCTCTCTATACTATAAGGAGAAAACAATAAATTTCTCTCTTGAAATAGGAAAAAAAAAACACTTTTTATATTTTTCTCTCTCTCTTCTTGATGAGATGGTTGGATGGATACAAACTAAGGTGGAGAGGCCTATTTATAGACCTCTCCCCTTGCTTGCACCGCCTCAATTTAGGCGGTGCAATGCTGGTCACAGCTTGCATTTTGCAAGCTGTGATCTAGCTTGCATGCAAAGCTATGATTCCGTGGACAAATTGTCCACGGAAAGCCTTTTATTATTATTTTTCAACAATAAGAAGAATTAATTTGTCAGTTGTGGGCAACAAATATGAATTTGGGACCAGTTGCTAGCTTCCAGGTTCATGAATATCGTAGACCTAATGTGATATACTCTTCTGAAATTCCTGTGTAATTTAGTTGGTTTATTATAATGGAGATCATGTTGTGTTAATACCTTGCTATACGATTTTGCTCTTTGGTATTGATCAACCAGTTATGCTTTTTTTTTCTTACCAACAATTCTGCTTAGGCCATTGCTACTAGGAATAGCATAAAGATCTCGATCAGTGATGGTTAATTGACAAAATTCTGGGGTAATGTTTGGATGGGATATTCCTCTTTGAAATCTAAGTTTTCCAGGCTCTTTCAAATTTAAATTGACCAGGAAAGTGTTATAACCTCCATTGGCTCTTCGGGATGGGTTTACTTGGAGATGGATCGTAGATGGAGGGGACCCTTTTGTTTGGGAGGTTCTGCATAGAAATCAACTTGGAGATTTACTGAATTTCTTTATCCTATGCTGACAATTTTCTCACGAATTTGATAGAGACCCCAATCAGCCCTTTGATTTGCTATTTGCTATGGATCAACCAGTTATGCTTTTTTAACAAAGTTCTTGCCTTTCTTGGAGAGTTGAGTGAAAAAGAAGAGATCCTCTCCATCGCGTTTGGGGAAGGAGTCCCAAATTTGCCAAGGTTCTCTTGCTTCGCTGCCAAAGAGATGATAATCTCTAACAGGAATGCTGATGGCGGAGAAGAGATGAGGGTTAGTTATTTTTTCGTAAAGATAGAAGCGAACCAGTTCTTGGTCATCGGGATGGAATCGATAACGGCGAGGTATTTGTGGGGTTAGTGTTTCTGGTGTTTGTGATAGAGGAGAGTGTACGGTGTTTTGTAACGTGGACATAGCCATTCACTCAATTGAAAGCTAAGATGGATGTTTAATGGTTTTATGTATCGTGTATCCGGATCAGATGAAAAAAGGGAGTGGATGAGGATCAAATTTAAACGAAAGACAGCAACTTCATCGATGAATTGATGATGGACGAAAAGGGAAAACTAACCAACTTGAAGATTTGAAAGAGAGAGAGAGAGAGTTATTTTCTTTCTTTCTTTCTTGATGATTGATAAGAAAGAAAGAAAGCAATCAAATTTGGTAGTAATTGAGAGGGAGAGAATGAGATTAGTAAACCCTAACTTGTTGCAGTAAGAAAATCAGAAACAACAATTGCGCGTAATAGTAAAGCTTTCCATGATACATAGGTTGTTTGCCGAGGCGGTGGCGGTTCCAACGGTCACTAAAAATTTTGAAATCTTTCTTTGTTTTTTTTTTTAATTGATCTGCTGCTGCTGACGTGGCAAAGTTCTAGCATTGTACGGTTTCGTACAAAAGGCACAAGTGCGCGTACACATGGCAGTGGAAGCTTAATCAATAAAGAAGGTCAGATTGGATGATGATGATGATTGATGGATGGCTGGGGTTTTTTGGGTCAATTACTTTGTGGGCCCCAACAAGTGGAAGTCCTTTTGTTTTGCCTTTGATGGTATAAGATGAATTAATCTGTTACTGTTTTGCTGTGATTACTAGCTATGGTTTGTTGCTTTGCAAAATGGGTTGTGATTTGTTGAAGATTTCATCAGTCTCGAATTTGGATTTGGTGCTGTGGAGAGGTTTAAATTCTGCTGGTTTAGCTTATTTATACTGGAACTGTTTGATGAAATGTCAGAGAGAGAAAGAGATGAGAGTGGATTTTGATTTCCCTTCACAATTTTACACCCTACTCCTTTTCTTTCTTTCTTTCTTTCTTTCGGCTTTTTGAATTTTGAATTGCAAGAAAGAATTTCTGAAGTGGTATTCTTCATCTCCTCATTGGCGCCTATCTTCAAATTTTTGGTGGCATTCGTGTGTTGTTCTGTTTATTACCTCCTCTGGACAGACAGCTTCAAAGTTCTACCGTCCTAATCTTTGCAACTTGTTCCAGGTGATTATCTCATAGTTTGGCAGCGGGTAATTGTCAAAAACTATTTCATGATATCGAATTGGCTGCAAAATCTGTTATCTCATACTCTAAACTTTGAGACTAAAAAATGCCAGAATTTTCATCTCTTTCCATAGGACTGCATCGACCCACTGCCGTAAAGGTATTCGAGATTGAAGATTGTGGCGCATTAGTTGGAATGCAAACCAGGGAACGGAATACCATTGCCAAATTTGCTCAGTTTCAAGAAATCATGACTTCAAAATTCCATTAACTGATTATTAGGTATTATTCGATCTTCTTTCTATGTGTCTGGATTTTCTCAATGTAATAAAATGTTCCCGTCAAACTAGTTAATCTGACAGTGTGGTCCTTAGGAAAAATGTTAATAATCTAAACTTAAAGCGCTTATTGTTTTGACAGGATTTGAAATCATGTCTACTCTTCACTAAATGTCTCACATGGAAATTAAATTACTTTGGAATATGATTCTCCCTAAGATCTAGACTGTAAGTTCAAATACTATAATATCAAATCCCAAATTCAAGGTGCTACCACAGTACACCAAGCTGGGAAATAGTATTGCTTGGTGTCTTTTGGGCGACTTCAATGTAGAGCTGAATCCGAATGATAGAAGAGGGTGCAAAATATGGTTTTGTGGATGAGATTTTTTGCTGATTGTATCAGAGTGACACATTAGTGAAGTGTGTATAGCACTGCTAGTTTCTTTTTGTTTGGTGTCCTTGCATTCAAATGCCTTGAGACTTACAAGGATTGGTTTACTTGCTTTGTGCGCTAACCCAAGCCAACCCAATGAGATGAGTTTTGCTTTTATGTCATAATTTAATTAGCTTAAAAATTTTACTCAATTCACTAACAAAATAGAGATTTTTCGGGATCAATTTGATGCTATTTTGTGATTAAGATTCTTGTTTTTCCTTTTTTCTCCGAAGACATTTGAAGCTGATACTTGGCCTTCTTGAAGTCATATAGATGAAGTTTATCTTCTCTTTCTGTTTTCTTTTATTTATCCCCGTTTCTGAATGTTCTGATATGTGTTAGTAGATATAGTGATGTGAATTTAATACTTCTGCTGTTGGCTTAACTATTATTTGTTTTCTTGTATTTTAAATTTCCATTTATTAAATTTCAAAGGCCAAGTGCTAAGGATCTTCTAAAGCACTGGTTTATCAGAAATACTAGAAAGAGCCCGATGTTTTTGGAAAGAATAAGGTGCAATACTTTGCTTTTGTTCATTGAGTTAGTATGTTGCACTCCAACTAAAACAAATATGGTTGCTAAAGGGTGGTTCCTTTTTACCATCTTCTCTCTCTCTCTCTCTCTCCCTGTTTTGTTTTATTTACTCATGTTAGCATTAAGGATACTGACATGGTGCCCCTTTGGATACATGAGGTGTCATAAGGGAACTTGAAACGTGCTTAATCTTGTCTTAGACATTATTTCCTCTAACAATTCCTGATGTGTATTTTTGTTGAAGAAAATGCTAAAGTGGATGCCTATTTGTACATAAGTAAGCATAATGTTTACATTCTTATTATCATCTTTGTAGAGAATGCCCGAAGGACCAAATAAAGGATGCAGAAACCCCCAGAAATGGTCCTAAAGGAATAGGTGAGGGTTCTGATACTGTGAAGGTCGGAAGAGACATAAAGGCAATGGAACTGTTTGAGCTAGGTGGATTTCATTTCTTTATTGTTTGTCGTCTGCGTAGTTTGTGTTTTTATTCTAATGGACTGGTTTAATTTGCAGTGTTCAGGGAAAACCCTTCAAAAATGCTGAAAGGGACTTCAGCATTGGTCGATCACAGACTACAAGAACTCCTGCAAGACCACCTCAGGTTAGAGAAAAGAAAGCAGGTATGTCATACAATAAGGATTCCCAAAGAGCTTCAGAGAGTGGTAATCACTTGCTGTTTGCATCTGGAAATGCACTACCGGAACCACTAGAATTATTGTTTGGTAAAGATGCTAGCGATCCATATCATGATGATCGTGAGGATAATTCCCATGATGAAGTGTCTCTTTCTCAAGTGATACATTGTATCAAGAATGACGCCTTTACCTTTGTTGTGGGCTAAGAATAGAGACCATGGTAGCTTTCTAAAATTAGAAAAAAATAAAAAGAGAAAAAGAAAAAGAAAGCAATGATGAAATCAGCATGCTAAATATTCTGATGTTAGCGGCCACCATCAACATGATTGGGAAAAGTGATATGCCTACGAACAAGCCATGACATTCTCCTGGCACGTTTCCCCCAGCGAATCACGCTATAATTTTATAGAAGTAAATGCCTACATGTTATCCAGTGTTTGTTCGAACCTACTGCTGACTGGATAGGAATGCGAATAGCATGCTTAATTGCTTGGCAACTATAACCACAGAAACTGAATAAGCTGGAACTCTCTAGATCAAACTTCTAAAACCCATTTTCCAGGATGATTTGTTCGTGAGTGAATCAGGAACTATTGTCATGCGGACTTCTAAAGGATCTCAGTCATCTGCCTTGTTTTGAGATCAAAGCAATGCTGTGCGACTTCTGTCCAGGTGTTAGGAAATTAAGTTGTGCAATACCTTTTGCTTTGTATATTCAACCCATTTATTTTATCTGAAGATGCTTCTACCAGTGGAACGGTTGCTTTCCACGGTCAACATGATGAATCTGATTCTCCTCGAATTCCTAAATCTAGATTAGGAATGCAAGAGAGAACTTCAAGTGCCTCACTGGAAGACAGTGTTCTAAATCTTGCTGAGGTTATATCTGTTTTAGTTTTACGTGCTAATTTCATTAGGCAGCTTGTAAATATGGCTCATTAATCATCATTGGTGTTTCTCAACTGTACTCACTTTCATTCCTCAATCAATCTTAGAACTTGCTCTTCATGTTGCTTGTTTTTATTTTGTTTTATTTTCCCTTCGTATAAAGTTGTATTGTCTGCCCCAACCCATCTTGAAGATTTTGTCCCTGGATCTTCCTGAAGCTTTTGCTGAAATCATGTTTTCTTTCTTTTTTTTGTCAGATTTTTTACCTTTCCACCTTTTGACAGTTTCTTGTTCGTGTAGAGATTCTGAGTAGGAATGTATTAGTGTGCTAGTATTGAGAAGCTTATTTGACCAAGTAGGAATATACAAACAAGTTAAGCACATCATTGAAAAACCAACAACTCAGGCTACACTTTTTATAATTCTAATGGAGATCCAAACATAGTCTCCACTGAAAACGAACCAACTAATGTATCAGTACATACGCAAGAAAGTACAAATATAATGGGAGTGGAGTACTTCCATAGTGATTTTTGTTTTTCTGGTCCCAAATTCTCAGCGCACTTTCACGCAAGCTTTCTTCCTAGCTTGAACGGCTTCTGGATCATCTAATGCAGCGGTCACCAACCAGGTGGGGGTCACGGAAAGCCTCATGGGAAAGCAATTTTGGGAAACCCTGTTCAATCTTCATCATATCAAAGCGCCATTATTTTCCATCAGCATCTGCATACATTCACATATTGCTCAAATTCATTCAATTTGGCATACTAATTGTATTTATAGATTTAGACAGTACTTGATCTTGGCAGCTGAACAAATAAAGTCATTGAGAAATGTAAAAATTAAATGCAAGTGAATGAGATTAAGTGAAGAAAAGCTACCTTGCATAAATAAATATCTGTCACGGATTGTATCAAACACAAAAAAACCGACTTTAACATTGACTTTCCATCCAAGAGAAACACTATTTGGCTCTGCAATTGCCAAGGATAAATATATTTGATGATTTCCATCTTCCTTAGTACTTCCCTTAGAAAAATCTTAGTACTTCCCTTAGAAAAATATAAATTTCTCAAACCAGTAAGCATGCAACAATATCAATTTCTCCCTAATAACTAATCATTATGCACATAATGACTCAAAAACTCACCAACATTCCTTCAAGTCGCACTTTTAGAGCTAAATGCACACCAACTCTAATACTAATCAACAAAATATAGACCGATTCTAATTAACTGAACCCCACACAACCCCTCAAATTTATCATGATTTCTTCTATTTGGACTGAAATCTAATTTAGAACAAAATAAAAACTGTTATCAGGAAACAACTGCATACCTGTGCACTTCACGGGCTGTTCGCTCCCCAAATAACTGTGCAAACTTTCAGTCCAGCAGCAGCAGTATCCCCATCAGATCTATTTCCGTGGCTTCCCTGCTGATGCCACCATTCATTTCACGAAAACAACAATAATAAACAAAAAAAATTGATGCACCAATGATCTACTCAGATTTATAATAATAGCATCAGTGATTTGAAAGAATCTCAATTAAGAAAGCTAGTTTAAGTTTTTTTCCCCCTTAATATACACCGAGCTGACAAATGATACACAGATACAGCTAGGTGGAAAGATGTTACAAACAAGCAATAAGGATTTGAGAGTGTTACAGGCAATGAAACCACATTAATGAAGAAGCCAAAGTGATCACAAGCTAAGAAAAATTGCAGGTAACAGGTACAGCCCTCATAAACTGACATCAGGCACAGAAATCATGTCGAGGAGAATATCAGCTCCTCAAAATAATTGGTGGGTGCAAAAGAAGCTAAATCAAGCAAAAGACGAAATTGAAATAGCAGAACAGTGATAGAAAGCGAAAGATGAAGTTGAATAAGCAGAACAATGACAGAAAGGAGTGGTAACAGCACTATAAAGTATATGAGTAACATAAGGCCATCTGCAGAAATAAGTCATCAAGCAGCTAGAAGAATCAAATGCCAGAGACAGCAGCAAGTTCGTGCGTGCAGAAAGTTAGATAGAATTCAAGGCAACAAAATCCTTAACAGCGAGAAAAACTTCGTTATCAAGAGAAAATGGAAGTCATATAATATAACTACTAGAGCTATTAGAACTAGAAATACAGTAAACCTGATACTGGCCATCAGTAAATGGAAGAGCAATACACTTGACATGGAGTAATTGGCACTTGGCCATCAGTAAATGGAAGAGCAATACACTTGACATGGAGTAATTGGCACTTGAACAACAACACAAAGAAACAAATCATCTTTCGTTTTCAAAGAAAATAGCTACAGACTTTCTGTTTCGTCGTCTGGCTTAACACAGTGATGATAAAAGCCAACCCAACGAAACAAATCCTCTTTCTTCTTTTGGGGAAAAAAAAAAGAAACTGTACTCTTGCACTAACAAGCCTAATAATCATATCCTAGAATAATTCCATCAGTCCCATTCTTTGTATCAGTTGTTGCCTCTGAACCGGCCCTCCCTGTTTTGTGCTCTCACCGGCAGCTTGCCTCTACTGGCTTTAATGATTGATATCAACATCCGGTCATTCCCAATGATCTGCTTCAAACTTTGGATCATTTGGTGTTGGTTAACCTCACCTTTTCGATACTCACCAAGGCTTTTCAAAATCAAATCCGCCCTGGCCGGACCAAAAACCTTGACCAGTATAGGAAACAAAACATCAGAACTCAACTTCTGTCCACGGTTTCTTACTTCATTAATCTGACTTCTTAACATACAAATACTGAATGAAGGTGCCTTAAAACTTATAATGTAAACAGGAAAGATATGAGAATTCATGTAAGGACTCCACACAACCAATCTACTCGGCTCTTCAAGATTGTCAACACCCGAATCAAACTCCATTGAACTCGGATATATCTGCTTCGAACCCGGCGGAATCAATTCCATTTTCCCCATTATCACACGACATAACAACATATGCCTTAACCCATTTTCATCCTCAATCGTAGACGGAAACCTGTAAATAATAAAATATATGTAAATTTTGATTTCCAATTAAAACAGAAAAAAAGAAAAAAGAAAAGAAAAGAAAAGGATCTTACGCTTCAAGAATAAATTTTGAAGTACTCAAATAAACACCAATTCCATGCGATTGACCATTGCAACGACCAATTCCATAAGAAATGATATGACGAATCTCCTGTTTCGAAGCACCATACCAACCATTCTTACTATTTGTATCTCCACGGCGTTCACGAACTGCATCTACACAGCCCTTAAAAGCTTTGAACCGAGCTTCCATATTCAAATTATTAGAGCCGATATTCTTATGTATAGCCATAACACTTGTGTCCTTAGAAAGCTCGCCCAATCCTGCAAGAAACTGAGTCTTTATCGTTCTGTATTCGTTGCTTTCTTCTCCGATCTTAATCATTCCATTTCGTGTGAATGCATCATAGTGATCAGGCTTTGAAGCAGAAGAAGAAGACGACGACGACGACGACGACGACTCGTCGGTTAACGAACCAGCGTCTAAAATTTCTTCGCCATCGTCTATGACAAACGACACTTGATCTTCCTGCCTCATCTCTTAAATTAATTTCTAAAGTAAATTAGTATAATTAAAATGAATAAATTAGAGTAAAGGAGAGAGGAAAAAAAAAGAGAGGAGAGAAATCTGTCGAAGGAAGAGCTTTGTACTGGGATGAGAGATTGGAATTCGAGGATCAATAGTTATATTTTTTATGCCTATTTATATAGGGTCTCATGACCGTTACTGGGTCATGAAAATTGAAATCCAAATTTGTGCCGGAACGGGAAAGAGGCGGTCATGCCTTTCCCTAGGCCGAGCGGGATTGGATTTTTCAGTGGGCAGAAAATTTCTCAAATGACCCCTTAAATTCTAGACATTCTGGTCATTGTGCGCGTTTTTCGGGAAAGGTATCGAAGGGTAGCTTAGTCATTTAAATAAACAATGATGATAAGTGTATGTGTCATTGGGTTTGTTTGCTGGCTTACCTTCAAAGCAAGTTAAATTCCTGAAGTGGATTTATTTTGTCTTTTTCTTTATTATATATCCATGAAGTGCACGTGATGTGTATTGTGATCCTGTAGACGTCGCCAAATTGTTTTTCCCTTTCTGTGTAGCCAAACGTTTCCATTGCCGCCTTAGCGTATTAAATTATAGCGTAGTTAATACGGATAAAACGTGTGTTGGGAACGTCTTTCCCTGTGGAGAGTAGCATAAGAGCATATCTCCACTTATGCTCTCTATTTTTTACTTTTTTAATATAAATAAAAAACATCATTAATAATATAAATCGAAGTTTAAGAGCATCTTCAATGGTACTTTTTACTTTTAGTTAGTATTTTTAATATAAATAGAGAGCACCATTAATTATATAGATTGAAGATCAATATCCTTTCTAACGCTACTCTTTATTTAATTTTTTATTTTGACAAAATCTATAAAACCTGAGAGATTATTGGTGAAGAGGTTAATTGGCATAGGAAATAGTAATTTTCATTAATGAAATATAAAATAAAGAGTCATTTGGACTCTTTAGTATTGGGGAGCTAAATACACTCTTTATATCAATTTTAAAGATAAAGATTATGATAAAAAGAGTATTGGAGATGAAATTTGGATCAAGCCTCTTTATTATAAAGAAAAATCTTAATATAAAGAGAGCATTGGAGATGCTTTAATGCTACTATCTACTTTAACTCTTTATTTTGACAAAATCCATAAAACTTAAAGACACTATTAGTAAAGAAGTTGAGTGACATAAGAAATAATAATTTTTATTAATAAAATATAAGATAAAGAGTCATTTGAACTTTCTAGTATTGGAAAGCCAAATACACTCTCTATCTCAATTTTAAAAATAAAAATTATGATAAAAAGAGCATTGGCGATGGAATTTAAGTCAAACCTCTTTATTATAAAGAAAAATCTTAATATAAAGAGAGCATTGGAGATGCTTTAATGCTACTATCTACTTTAACTCTTTATTTTGACAAAATCCATAAAACTTAAAGACACTATTAGTAAAGAGGTCGAGTGACATAAGAAATAATAATTTTTATTAATAAAATATAAGATAAAGAGTCATTTGAACTTTCTAGTATTGGAAAGCCAAATACACTCTCTATCTCAATTTTAAAAATAAAAATTATGATAAAAAGAGCATTGGCGATGGAATTTAAGTCAAACCTCTTTATTATAAAGAAAAATCTTAATATAAAGAGAGCATTGGAGATGCTTTAATGCTACTATCTACTTTAACTCTTTATTTTGACAAAATCCATAAAACTTAAAGACACTATTAGTAAAGAGGCTGAGTGACATAAGAAATAATAATTTTTATTAATAAAATATAAGATAAAGAGTCATTTGAACTTTCTAGTATTGGAAAGCCAAATACACTCTCTATCTCAATTTTAAAAATAAAAATTATGATAAAAAGAGCATTGGCAATGGAATTTAAGTCAAACCTCTTTATTATAAAGAAAAATCTTAATATAAAGAGAGCATTAGAGATGCTCTAAGCAAGCATAAGAATTTATGATGTGTCTGTCCGGACTCTTCTGCGACTTTTGCTTTACCTATTAATATTATTATACTAGTTTAAATGTAAATTTTACTTTCATTCTATTGTTATCTATAATTTTAAATTATAATATTAAATCGTATAATTTAAATTTAAAAATTAAACAAATATAATTCAAATTGCTCAATTTTTATTATGTTTAACGGTTAATCTAATTCACCGTTGCTTGAAATGTCAAAATAACGCCGTTTTAACATTTTATTATTAATTATGTTTTTTAAAAATATTTTTAACCTCTTAATCTTGAATTTTTTAAAAAAAATTATTATAAAATATTATATTTTATAAATTATATAAAAAAATATTTTTAACCACGCTAATTTTGAATTTTTTTTATAATTTATAAAATTAAGAAGGTCAACCTTTAAATATGCTCATTTTAATTTATAAAATATTAGTTTTTAAGGCCCGAAATTATGTATTGTTAATTATATTTTTTTACAATAACATTTCATTAAAAAATTTTCAAAATTAAAAAGTTAAAAATATTTATAAAATATATTTTTATATAATTTATAAAATGTTTATAGTATTTTATAAAAAAAGAAGCTTTTTTTTTTTAAAAAAAAACAAGGTCGGAAAGTTATAAATATTTTTAAAATGCTTTTTTTAAAAAAATATATAATTAATAGTAGAATGCCAAAACGACTTTTTTTTGACATTCCAAGCAATCAATCCAGCTTGATTGTCACACATAACGAAAATTCAACAATTTAGATCACATTTATCCAATCTTTAATATTTAGGGTTCAAATTATGTAATCTGGTACTATGGATCCGAAATTCTCAAATCAGAATAGAATGGGAACAAAAATTTTCCATTACACCTATTATACCAACCAAGTTTGCTGGCTTCCAGGATTGTTGCTTTCCTTCTTTAGAACATCAAAAGTAAATCATCAAGCTGTGTTAACCGTGCATTAACCTGCAGGATGATGACAAGGAATAAGGATAATTCAAAAAAAAAAAAAAATTAAGGCACCGGCAAAACCAAAGTGCATCAGAATAGAATGTCACCAGGACATCAGACGGTGATATCAGTCAAATCCAAGCTATAATAAAATCTTCAGATTATAAATGTGACCTCATGAAAAAGTTTTCTTAGCAGCTTAGAATTGATTTCAGTCCGGAAGAACCATGGCCAGGCATTACATTTGGCAAGCCATTTGACTGCATTAAGATAATCAGATTTCAGAAGAAGACTTTAATTTCACATAGATGGATTGGAGAGACCAAATTCTAGAGCTCTTCAATACAGCTCCAAATTCTGCTCTGTTTGACTCCATCAAACCAACAGGGAAAGAGAAGAGGTAGAGTAATCCACCTTGACCATTCCTTACAGCACCATCCGCACCAATAATAACCCACCTATACCAAGAAGATAGCAGCAGAAGCTAAACAGAAAGAGGGCCAGATGCTTTGATATTGGATGAAGATTTTATTCATTTGAGCTTTTAATGAGCTCTTTACCAGTGCAGGGGGTCTATATATTATCATAGATTTTATTTAAAAAGACCTCGAAAAGAATAAGATAAAAGATTTCCTCCCAACCTTTCCTTGAATAGCACATTATTCCAGTCTATTCAGATCGGCTGTGCAGTCACAACTAGAACTTGATCTCAAAATATCCACTCACAACTATTCCACTGTTCAACAATTCTGCAATAGACTTAGGATCAGACCATATCAGTGTCCCCCACTATACAGAGATCATACGGAAAAGCTTCCAAGAATTTGGGCAGAAGAGAGAGATGACAAACAGGCTCGTCAGGATAGTTACATAGCGAGCCGAAGTTTGGTTGGATGAAATGGTGTTCCTTTGAGCAAGTAGGTTGTCCATGCTAATTCTTTCCATTAGGCTCATCCAAACCAAAATTTCCACTTCACGAGTAGCATGAGACATCCACACACCATCCCAGGCCTTAGAAATCAAAGGGCTGATAGGGGTCTTTATCAAATTCCTGAAAAATTGACAGCATAGGATAAAGAAATTCATTAAATCTTCAAGTTGATTTCTATGCAGAACCTCCCAAACAGAAGGGTCGGTCCCCTCCATCAAAGATCCATCTCCAAGTAAACCCATCCCGAAGAGACAATAGAGGTTATAACACTTTCCTGGTCAATTTTAATTTGAAAGAGCCTAGAAAACTTAGATTTCGAAGAGGAATATCCCATCCAAACATTACCCCAGAATTTTGTCAATCAACCATTACCCATCGAGATCTTTATGCTATTCCTAGTAGCAATGGCCTAAGCAGAATTGTTGGTGAAAAAAAGCGTAACTGGTTGATCAATAGCAAAGAGCAAAATCGTATAGCAAGGTATTAACACAACATGATCTCCATTATAACAACCAACTAAATTACACAGGAATTTCAGAAGAGTATATCACATTAGGTCTAAGATATTCATGAACCTGGAAACTAGCAACTATTCATGAACCTGGAAACTAGCAACTAGTCCCAAGTTGCCCACAACTGACTACCAAGAAATTCAGATGATAAGTATAATTTATACATATATTTTATGTAGACATGGAGCTTGAATTCGTTAATTATGCATGTGATTTATGTTTTATTTGATATAAATTAATCCCCATATGCTTTGAATTTGTAGGTATAAAGATTAAAGAGAAGACTAAGAAGTAAGGCAAAAATAAAGACTAAAATGAAAGTAAAAATTAAAAGTAAGGATTAAAGAGTAAAGAAGCTAGACACCTTAAAAAAATCAATTCACCACATTCTGGAGGAGACTTACGTGCATGACAAAAAAAGAAGGAGATTGTAGTACAAAGGAAAAGGTGATAAGCATGATAAGGTTCACTTAAGGCATGACAATGTAAAACTAAAAGGAAAGTGACGTGGTGGACTAGAAAAAGGAGTCTAATGGCTTTAAAAGAAAGAGTTACAGGCATAGTGAAGGACTGGAGGACGACAGAGAGAGAAAAATAAGCAAAGAAAGCAGAGTTGCACGGCACTAAAAACAAAAAAGAGTTTTGCACGGCAGTAACAAAATTTGGTATATAAGGCTTGGCACTTGCACTGTTGTGAGGGGATTTTGCACGGCCAGAGAAAAGAAGGAAATTCGAGCGACGGCTAGAAGAAAAAAATACAGATTCATTAGACAAGTAATTAAACTTTCTTTAATTATTACTTTGATGATTGTCGATGTGATATTTTATTTTTAAATTTAATAAATTTTTTGATGGAGAAATAAACTGTTAAGTTAGGGATGAAGGATTTTAATTCTTATTGATTAATTATTTTTTTCATCTCCAAACCTGATTCTTGATGTATGATGAATTTATATTGCTGCATTTAATGTTTTAAAAGAGCGATCACCTCTTATTGATTTAATGACATATGCTTGAGCACGAGAAGGAAATTATATGTATTAGATCAAAACAATATAAATTACTAGTTTATTATTAATCGAAAGACAACTAGTTCTAGAGCGATAATGGAAAAGAAAAGTACGTGATGACATGCTTATTTTACATTAGAGTATTCCATTAATTGTAATGCATTTGGATCTTAATTTAAGTCACATAGAAATATGGATGATTTGTTAGGTGAAGAATAGGGTTAATCTTACTAGAGATAGCTTATTAACTTGTTTAGGGAATTCCATCGTCAAATATATTAAGATAGACCTCAAAGTAGTTTGTGAGTTGAGTTAATATAGTTAATTGCATAAGTGAAAATTAAATGAATCTATCCCTAGCTATTTTCATATCATCTTATTAGTAATTTTCAATCCTACAACTTTAGAATAGAGTTTTAATTTAATTCTTTTAATTATTTTGATTAATTCAACTTATTTTAAGTTAGATAATTTTAGTAGTGTAATTTAATTCCTCGTGGAAACTATATTTTCTTACCCTTTATTGCACAGTTAGATTGGATTTATTGCTTTTTTTTATTGTGTTAAAAAAATAGTAACGCCAGACTTTGTAAGAACAGATGTTACATAGCCCAGATGGTTTGGAAAGTCATCCAGCATAAGGCAGTTTCATATATAATAAAAAAGAACTGCAAAGTACAATAGAAATATGGTAAATAAATTTAGAATACAATACTAAATTGTAAACCTTGAGAGCTCACCAGCAATTATATGTTTTTCATCCTTGACAAGGTTAATAACTGAGATTGAGACAAAAATATCTCTGTGAAAAACGACCTTGAACCAGGCACCTCTTGTCCTTCAAAACTTGGGCCAATAGGGAGCTTTAATGTATATATTCATAGAAAAAGAAACAGAAAAAAGTAAAGCGGCACAATAGAGGGGGAAAAAATGACATTCATAGCTCCAGAGCCGTTTGCAAATACAAGAAAAAATTCTAGAAAACAGAGGCCCATGTGGGAAGAAAACCAAAAATCGCTTATGCATAAAAAGGAGTCAGAAGAGAACTGAATGACAGCATGTGAACACTCAGAAAGACCGTATGCCAAGCTCAAAAACACTATAAAATGAATCTTTATTGATCTATGTAACCAGAATTATCACTTGTTAAACCCTCAGACAGCAATCAAAACCAAAACATCATAAAATCCACTCAGATGTGTGATTTCCATGCAAAATGCCAGGAATCTCACCAGGCTGGCCTTCCAAGTTCGCAGGCTTCACATCAAAAAATTTTGAAACTGAGCAATTTGCAGCCCAAAGTTTAGAGTATGAGATAAGAGATTTGGCAGCCAATTTGAAATCATGATAAAATAGTTTTTGGCAATTACCTGCTGCCAAACAATGAAATAATCACCTGCAACAAGTAGCATAGATTTGGACGATAGAACTTTGATGCTGTCTGTCTAGAGAAGGTAATAAACAGAACAGCACACATATGCCTCCGAAAAACTTGAAAATAAGCGCCGTTGAGAAGATGAAGAATAGCACATTAGAAATTCTTTCTTGCAATTCAAAATTCAAAAAACCAAAACGAAGAAAGAAAGAAAAGGAGTAAGGTGTACTATTGGGAAGGGAAATCAGAATCCACTCTCTCTCTCTCTCTATCTGACATTGCATCAAACAGCTACAGTATAAATAAGCTAAACCAGCAGAATTTAACACGACCTCCGTCCACGATTACAGAGCTCTTCATTTTCTAAACCTCTCTGGTTCATAATTAACCCTCTACAGCATTGAATCCAAATTCGGGACTGATGAATTGCTCTACGTCAAAACCAAAACAAAAAGTCCATGAAAAATTCTTACGCCACACGACGTACGCCTCTGCAAACAACAGTAGTAGGATCCACAAACAAGTACGCAACATTATTACTCCTAATTAAGGCAGACTGACAGACACACTCGGCCACTCGCATCTTCAACAAATCACTACCCATTTTGCAAAGCAACAAACCCTGAGCTTGAGAATAACAAACTAACTCTTCTTATACCATCAAAGGGAAAACAAATAGAGTTCCACTTGTCGGGGCCCACAAAATGATTAACCCAAAAGACCCCAGCCATGCCCATCCATCATCCATTATCCATTATCGTCCAATCCGACCCTCTTCATTCATTATGTTTCCTCTAGCATGGGTACGTGAACGTGTGCCCTTAGTACGGTACCGTACAGTGCTTGACTTTGCCACGTCAGCATAAGATTAGTAAAGAAAAAAAAACCAAAGAAATATTTCAAAATTTTTAATGACCGTTGGAACCGCCACCGCCTCAACAAACAAACCCTGTTATGTAGATATTTTTGGGAAGCTTTACTATTACGCGGATTTGTTGTTTCCTATTTTATTTCGGCAACAAGTTAGGGTTTTTTAATCTCTCCTCTCCCTCTCAGTTACTATATATATTTGCCTGCTTTCTTTCTCTCTTATCAATCATCAATAAAGAAAGAAAATAACTTTCTCTGTGTCTTTCAAATCTCCAAATTGGTTAGTTTTCCCGTTTCATCCATCCATCAATTCATCGATAAAGCTGCTTTCTTTCGTTTGAATTTGATCCTCATCCATTCCCTTTTTTCATCTGATTCGGATACACGATACATAAAAACCATTAAACATCCATCTTAGCTTTCAATTGACAGAGTGGCTATGTCCACGTTACAAAACACAGTACGGTCACCTCTATCACGAACTCCAGAAACGCTAACCCCACAAATACTTCATTGTTATCGATTCCGTCCCGATGACCAAGAACTGATTCGCTTCTATCTTTACGAAAAAATCACTAACCCTGATCTCTTCTCCGCCATGAGCATTCCTGTTAGAGATTGTCATCTGTTTGGCAGCCAAGCCAGAGAACCTTGGCAAATTTGGGAGTCCTTCCCCAAACGCGATGGAGAGGATCTCTTCTTCTTCACTCAACTCACCAAGAAAGGCAAGAACTTTGTCCGCAAAATCAGCCGCGGCCCTGGAACATGGCACCAAGAGTACAAAGACCCTCCTTTCAATGTCTCTGTCGACCACAACACCGAAGTCGAAGCCATCAAAAAGCTATTCACTTATCGTAATCCTAAATCTGACCAAAATGGCTCCTGGTTCATGTTTGAGTACAGTCTACCATCACTCTCCCAACAAACTGTCTTGTGCCAATTGAGAAAGAAAGAAGTCCACACCACCGAGACAGTACAAACAACAACAACCACAACCACAAAAAAGAGGAAGAGGGATGCTGACAGTGTTGATGATGCAACAAATACGATACTTCAAAAGCCCAGGGTTGAAGAAGACCATCAGCAGCAACAAATCATTTGTTTCGATGGGGGGCAGAAAATGTATCTCAATTGGAAAACCAACAGTACAACTTGGAGGCTGAACCAGTCTTTGATAATGGCGTGCAATCCGACAATTTTGAGACTTTTTATTTTGAACCCCCAACTGTGCAAGACTTCGAAAATAATCTGATGGTTGCCGATTCAGATAATATTACATCCACTAGCAATGCTGCACTACCAGCTGTATCTGCATTAAATCCAGCAGAGAAGTTGCAGCCAACTGGCAATGATGGGGATGCTGCTGCAACAGAGGATGATGATTTCCATCAAGAGCTTTCATGGCTGCTAGATTCGAGTAGTTGCTATGACGAGGCAGATGGGGTTCCAGCAACTCATGCAACAGCAGAGGCGAGTGCTTTTCGGATTCAAGCTACACCAACACTGGATGAATCCTTCACTCCTGATCCTGTTGATTGTCATCTTGAACATGGATTTTCCGATTCCAGCCTTACCAATTTGTCAGAGTCATATTCCCAAATGCTGCTGGAAGCAAATCCTACATGACTGATTCAAGAAAATGAGATTCAGATGATCTCAAATCCTTTCCACATGGAGCGTTAATTTTCTCTCTTCTTTTCCTCAAGAGGAGGGCTAGCTGGTGACATCCGCACTTGGAGATTTCCTGTGGTCTTTTTCCATTTATTTAGTGAACTTGTCAATTTATTAATTCATGTTTGTAGCTGGTAATTTCTGATTATGTTAATAATAATGTAGGTGACGGTAGAAGTTTAATCGATAAAATGGCCCTAAACAGAGGCTCAAGTAAATTCTGAGAGTTATTAGATTGTACTTCTGTCTATGGTTGAAGGACATCAACAGCAGGTCAAGAGGAATATTGTCCTATTTTTATTGCTTGCTGTTGTTCTTGCTGTCATAGTTATGGTTTCTTTTCACTTTTGCTCATGTCTCACTTATTGCTGGTCCTTTCAGTTGGTTATTTTCCACCCAACATACGCTGATGTGACGATTAGGGGTGGACTTTTTCAGGGATTGATTCGTTTTCTCTGTTCTTGAAGGAAAAGTGTCTTTATATTATCCTAGATTCTTTCTCTGTTTACTTTTTCAGTTGGTTGTTTGCAAATTGAGGTGATGACTATGTACTTGATTGCTTGAGTATCAATTATCTGCCTAGTAGAGCTTGTTTATGCCTATTCCATTGAACTTACTATCCAAATCATAGCCAGATTCTCTCTTTTTACATATTCTGCCTCGCCAATTAGGATAATATAAAGACACTTTCCCTTCGATAGTTTTTCTAGATTTACTTGGCTTTTTTCCACACACATCCACATGATACTGAAGCAATTGATCATTCTAATTAGGAATCTTCACAAATTTTTGTTATTAAATATTGCCAAAAATAAACACTTTAAGTCTAGATTATCAACAATTTTTAATTGAAGAAAAGCAAACCAAAATCTTCCATGTTTCATATTCTCCTCGGTGGATGTAAGAAATAATATGAAGGCCCATATTTTCTGCATAGCCAATACCACGTTCTTTGCAATGGTTCGTCAGAATCTAAAGCAGTTATATAAATTGATGAGAAATCCTTCCTCCCGTCTCTATTGTTAAAAATTCATTTTGTTGAGTGAAAGGAACTTCATAACTGACTAACACACCTTGGAAATTAATTTATAATTTGCAAATGACAACACTACGTACTTTACCTCTGTCATGCAAATCTGAAACCTGATACGTAGCATCATTAGGCAGCTCACCTCTTTTAAGGAAGGGAGAGGCCAAAGATGCTTATGATGAAGCTATTCTTACACTTTCTTCATCATCTCTTGCTTGCCATGATCTTGAAAAAGCTTTGTGCATCTAAGTATTCACGAGAACTTCTGAGATAGAAGTGTTGTCCTTCAGAAATTTGGAAAAAAAAAATTTCCCTTTTTGGCAGGCAAAATGATTATCCACGTGTTCAAGTATAATGTACCTGGAACTATCAGAGCTGTTTGACGGTTGCTCTCTTCTTCTGTTTCCAGGCCATCAATATTAACCTTGCTGGGTGCAAACCTTTCTCTAGCAACGCAGCCCTTGCCTGCATATAGACACATCAGTAAAAGAAGCTTTTCCAAGATCACTCCAATAGGATTCAAGGGTCATTGATGTGTTTTAAGCAAATTACTTCATGTCTGGTATTAAAGCATTTGCCTTTTTTAGCTTTCTCTTTGTTATTGCTTTTCTCTTTTGATTAACGTAGGATTGTTTTTTTCTTTTTTATCTTTTAGTTACTCGAACCTGGAAAACATCTTTTCTAGTTCAGTGACGACCCTAATTAGGTCTACTTACTTTGAACCTGATATATTAAGAACCTATCCTGGTACGTAAAAGAGCTGTCTCTGAAGAGTTATCTACTTAACATGCATAAAACTGCTGTTTTTATTATTAATTTGGCAATCATGATTGTAATTAACCAATGCCCATTTTAACATTGTAGCCCCTCCTTTACATTAAAAGTGTTTTTTTCTATCTGTCTACCTCTTATAATCATTGATCGGCGCTGTCAAAATATTCATTAATTACATATGTAAACTGCTTGAAGAGGCTGAGACAAGTTAATTAGTTGACATAATTAACTGCATGAAATTAAAAAAGCAGTCAACAAAAGTTCAATTTCAATTCGTATGACAGAGGAAGCAATCATCTTGTTTTGTATATTTAGAGTACTATATATGCAATAAAAAGTTGTTGTAGTCATTCATTTCATGCCATTGCTTTGGAATGAATAAATTAGAGAAGAAATGTCAAGGAAGAAAGATTTTAAGGGGTGTCAAAAAATAGTTAGGGGTGAATTGCCAAAATATTTGTTAGGAGTTAGAAAAATTATGGATAATATTGGATCCAATTAAATATAGCGATAAAAAATAAATAACATAAATTGAAAAAAAAAAACTAAAAGCAAATATTAGTTTATTATTGTTTTTTCAGTTTGTAAATTTTCACTTAGACTCATATGCACTATTTATTTTATAATGTAATGGGTTTTTTTGTCATTTTCAAATATTTTAAAATCATTTATTATGAAAATTTTTATGATATTATACTTTGCTTCCTTTTTTAAAAAAAAAACATTGTTTTTTCGGTTTGTAAATTTTTTTTTTATTTTGGTCTCTTTTTTTTTTTTTTGTTTCATTTTGGTCTTTGCTGCTTTTTTTCTTTGATTTTTTTTAATTAAAAGAAAGCAAAAAGATGTTTAGAAAAACTAATTTACAAAATACGTTTTTAGTTAAGAATCCATTAATTTTGATATTTTTTTCTTACATTATTATAATTATTTTAGTTAAAAATGTGGACAAAGCTAAATAAATAATATTTTTTAATAAAAAAAATTACGAAAATATGAATAATAATTAGTCAAATATAAAATTTTGATTAAAAAATTATAAAATTGAATAAATTTTTATTCAGTTTTGATTTAATATATTTTGATAGAGGTATAATATAATACGAGACGTCAAACTGAAATATTTTTTAAAAATAATTTTATGTGTTATGTATGACTCGCAATATAACTTGAGTCAAAAAAACTAGTTTGTGATCTAAAACAAAAATGGATGAAAAATGAAAAGAATAAAATAAGATTACATTAAAAAAAAAAAAAAAATTGACCCAAAATTTTCCCTCCTTAAAATTTCTTTATCCCTCCACCCAAAGCAGGGTTAAATGTTAACCTTCCTGAAATTTCCTCTCTTCTCCAATTTTGTATCAAACATAAATAAAAGGATGGAAAATTACCTTCTTGTACTCCTTTTACCGCTTGCCCAACTCAAAATTGATATATTGTGGAAATCATTCTTTATACAGACGATCTCCTCGGAGTCCACTTTCACCACAATACTTGACCAACTTAGGAGTACTAGTAATAGAAATGAGGTCATTTGGGTAATTTAATAACTGGAAAAAATCCGAATCGCACAAGGACAAGAAAAAGGCATGAGCGCCTCTTGGCTCTTGCAATTCCGACTCCCATTTGGATTCCTGTAAAAAGAAAGAAAGAAACGGTGGCAAAAAAAAGCATACCTTTAAAACGGTCCAGCTGCCGTTATAAATACCCTCCTGTCTCTCTCTCCCACTCATTTCATCTCTACTCACAGGGAAAAACCCTTCTCTCCCAAAATCCCAAAAGAAAGATATTGATTTTGTCAATTCTGGTTGACAATCTTAAGAGAATTACGATGGAGCAAGATCAAGTGTCAATGACTGTAGAAGGTTACGACGGAGAAGAAGCTATTATGGAGGATGCAGCTGGTTCTGAAACTGACGAGCACTTCGCGCGTTTCACTGGAATGGTCAATATTGGAGAAGAAAGCAGGGAGTATGAAGGACTGAAGAAGGCTTTCCTTGCTGGCATGAAAGAACATGCTAGAGACACACAGGTTATTGCCATTTACAAGAACTCTCTTTCTACTTTGCCGATGAAGGCTAGGTTTGCTACGTTTAAAGCTTTTAAAGACGTCATTTCGCATAAGAATGGAGGCCAAGGAAATGCAAATATTATGTGTGCCTGGTATGGTGGGTCAAAAGAGGAAATTACTCAAATCGTTTCTCATGGTTTTGGTCGGTATAATGGTCAATCACATGGAGTTGGTATTTATTTGTCTCCTACTAATTTTCTCCTTGACGGGTATGTTTCCTTTTTCTTTTTTAATTACTAATGATTCTTCATTAAATGGTAATCAGTTAGACATAAAATATATTTGCTTTACTGTTCTTTTTAATGAATAGTGTTAATTTATTGCTAATTGGTTTGTTTAAGAATGGATCTTGGTGGGTTGGGGAGTTTTAAAATCTTCTGGTTATATGTATTGTATTGGATGGAAAAATTTTGAAATATAGTGAAAATACATGGTAATCAATATGGAAAAGTGATATTTCTTGATTTTGTTTCATTAAAATGATGTACAATTCCGGCATATGAGATGGTTATGATATTGTCCACAGGAAAAACAAAAGGTCAAAGAAGGAATTGATCTCGAAAAATTCTTCGAGCAATTTAGAATAGAACGCATATATTCATGCTAATGAAATTATATGGATGCGACGGTGTTGGTGGATGTGGATCATTATGCTCTATTAGTGTATGCAGCTTGCATCTTCCCTTTACATTTCCTTGTATTTTTCTGATCTGTAAAGTCTTGTACCTTAGCAAATATGTTTAGGATAAATCGTTTTGGCTTAAGAGTCACTGAATTACTTTATTCCACTGCAGGTTGGAAGCTTCAAGGGCTGATGAAAATGGAATGAGGCATATTTTGCTATGTAAAGTGATAATGGGGAAGATGGAAGTCATTCCTGCTGGTTCCAAGCAAAGATATCCAAGTTCAGAGGAGTTCGACTCTGGTGTTGACAACCTTGAAGCACCAAGAAGATTGGTTGTCTGGAGTACTTTCATGAATTCTCACACTCTTCCTACTCACATCCTAAGTTTCAGGGCACCTTCTTCCACCACTTTGCTAATGAATCGGATCGGTGAAATAAGAAACTTGGGTTTTGTGAGTGTCACCGCTCTACATCTCACAATGGTAAAGTTCTTGGGTCCTGCCAAGGGGGCTTTGATTTCCAGAACCTATGACGACTTCGTCAAACGTAGGGTTACCGTAGTGCAACTTCTCCAGACTGTGAGGCAGATCGCTGGAGACGACCAGCTGTTGCTTGAGATCTTTAAATCAAGCATGGACAAGCGTGTGGCAAGATCATCAAGGAGAACCTGCACGGCACAGGCAGCAGCTGAGCTAAGAAGGAGATAAGCAAACTCTTCAGATTGCATGCTATCAAGATTTTATTGATGCATCCAAGATGTTTAGTTTTATGCAGGAACTACAAGTTCGCTTGTTAGCTCTTACTTCTGTATTTTTTTTTTTTTCTGTAGATGTAATCGTGTTCAGTTGTTTTTGCCTTGTTGCTTGGGCTGAATTCTGAGTAAAGAAGTAACTCCATTCATATAACAAAAAAAAAAGGTTGCTTTGCTGACATATGGCGTTGTTATAGTTACTGAAGTTATAATAAGGGTGCAACTAGACTTTTATCATCTCTTCATTCCGGATCAAGAAACCGAAAATGAAGCGTGCAAGAGGATTTGTGTTCAAGCGCCGATTAGTCTGTGCCAAAAATGTTTCTCCCGTACTTATTGCCAGTTCAAAATTAAGCTAAAGAGATGCAAGTCTAATGGATTTTTCTTTCTCATGGTTGATTATGCAAAGAACTGGCTTTTTTAATTGCGATTAATTCCCTCACATTGCTGTCTCCGTTTTGGTCAATCTGAGAAGCAGATTGATTCTCGATGCATTGAATTCTGTTGCTCTTTTAAAAGAAAGGTGGCAGCAGCGAGGGAGTCGTGTTGGCAGCTGGACTATAAGTACCAAATGCGGTTAGATATGTAGCTTGGTGATCTGGCTCAAAACCCATGCAAGTTTGTTATACAGCGCACAAGGCCACCTGGACTATGGCTATGGTAGCCAGCATAGAAGAATGGCAAGGAACTGGTAGAGAGGAGAGGGATTTTGGGTTCAATTAAGAGCATTTGGCTCTGGGCGCTTGTCCACGCTCTTTGGTAGAAAACTGAAATGGTCATATAATAGAAAGACTATGAATGTTGTGGGCTTGTCATGTTCTACGCTAAGACTCCCAGTGATGAGCAGTCGTGTTAGTGGCTCGCTATTTTGATTAATGAGGTGGTGCCTGGGCTTCCAGAATTTCAATGAGCATGACCTGAACCAAACCCTGAGCTGAGGATGAAACAAGTTAATTCAGGAAATGTGTCTTGCCAAAAAGATGAAACAAGCACTATCATCATTTCTATGCCATATAACGCATAGTGGCATAGAACGCATAGTGGACTGGACGTTGCAGTTCTAGCACAGGACGATTAATTTGTCTTGACTCCCTGGTACCTGTTCCAGGAAATAAATTATATCTTTTTTTATTTTTTTGGTTTCACCCAGATATATCGAGATAACCTCATTGCACATTAGGCGGGTGACGGAAATGACAAGGGGTAAGATGGACATGACAAGGTTTGACAAGGTTTAACCCTCCTAACCAATGCGACTGTGCGACTCCAAAATTCAAACTCAATACAGAAAATTCGTTTTCTGTCTCGTTTTTTGTATTCTAAGCAATGCGAGTGTGCAATTTCGTTTGTTGGTAAATTAATTATATCTTTCATTAAGCCAATTCCAATTTCCTTCCCATTATTATAGTAAAGTCACCATTGTATAGCAACATTGGTGCATTTTTCCGAAGATGATACAAGGTTTGACGTTCGCTTCCTTTCTTGAAGAAGAAGGAGCTATGTTTTTGGCTTCGGAAATATAGTGACAAAAAGTCTAATTACAGCACTAACAAGTAACAACTCTTAACATGTTCTAGAAAAGTGCCGTCAATAAGCTATGCCATTCCCTTCTTGCATCATTTGTAGCCTCTGCCGCCATCCTTGCTGCTACATGCTCCCACTTCAATCTGTTCCAGAATAAGGTGGTCAATATTTGCTTCGATAATCTCAGTTCATGTTAGTTCTAAGCTGTATACAATAACACAGACACAAAAATGAACTTCGAATGTATTTTATGCTTTCCCATGAAGTCCTATGTTGATTGAAACCCATGCTTGTCTTGATAAAGGCTTGCACAGCAGCAGGCCAAAATCTTAAGAATAATTAGATCAGCTAAGGAAAAACATTGAAGATTTAAAGAAATGACGGAAAGTACGCACCTTGTCAATGTTGGATTTGATTACTGCAAGCAACAGCTGGTCATTCTCGATGATCCGCCTCACATTCTGGATCAATTGCAGTCGGGTAATCTTGCATTTTTTATACTCGTCAAGGCTTTGGGAAATCAAATCTCCCTTGGCAGGACCAAAAACCTTTATCAGTATAGAAAACAAAGCAGGGAAACTCAAGATACGTCCTTGGAAACACAAGGTAGGTCCGTGGAGTTTCCTGGTTTGATTTCTCAATGAACAAGTACCGAAAGACGGGAACTTAAAAGTTATGATGTAAGCAGGACAGATGTGAGAATTCATGAAAGCCCTCCACACTATCAATCTTCTTGGTGCTTCAAGATTGTCAACACCAGTGTCAAATTCCACTGAACTCGGATATATTTGCTTCGAACCAGCTGGAATCACTTCCATATTCCCCATTGTCAAATGACATAACAGCATATACCTCATGCCATTTTCATCAGCACTTGTAAATTCCACCCTGCAGTCAAGTAAATTAATTTGTCCAAAACAATGAGTCACCGTTCCATACACATACATCTCCAAAATATTAAAAGCTAACCCAATTCACAATTTTTCCAAGTAAAATTCAATACAAAAACCAAATTAGCAATGAATTAACATTACCCATTATCGAAACAAACCATTTTCCAATGATAATAAACTGCTAGCAGTTAAATAAGTAGTAATAAAAAAGAAAAGGAAAGAAAAGAATTAAAGAAACATACCCATCAAGGAGAAACTCGATAGGAGACAAATAAACACCAAGGCCATGTGATTGACCATTACACCTACTGAACCCATAAGAAATTATCTGAATAATTTCCTCCTTTGAAGCACCAAACCAACCATGGTTAACCTTTGCATGTCCACGGCCTCCACTCTTTTGCAAAATCGCCCGTTCAAAACTTGTAAACGCAGCAAACCTAGCTAGCATAGCCGGAGTAAAACCCATGTTCTTGTGTACGGCAACAACCTGAGTGTCGCTGGCATATTGTTTCATGCCCATAAGGAATTCAGCCTCCATTGATTTGTATTCCCCTGCTTCTTTACCAATCCTGATCATTCCATTTCGACTGAAATGCGCGAATATACCATGATCAGACGACTCTTTGGCTTGGGAAGTAGCAGCATCGTCCAAAATATCTTCTTTGTCGTCATAATCTTCTATGGTCATTGACACTTGCTCTTGCTCCTCCATCCTTCCTTCTCTTGAGCTCAATTAACAAAATCAAGATTTTAGTGTAAAAGGAGAGATTTTTCTTTAAAAATCTCAAGTTTTTTTAATTGGTAGGAGAGGTTGAAAGAAAGACAGAAAAATGAGAGAAAGGGCCGTTACAAGTAGAAGTGTTGTTTCCGCGTTGCAGTTTCTAATCCAGATTGGATGGTAGTTGAATTTCTGAAGGGCAGTAATGCCATTTTATATATATAAAAACTATGGGTTAATCTAACCCGGTATCATTTGCTTTTACTTGAAATTAAAACCTGTTACGATTGATGATTTACCCTACTAACACCTGTATATAAATACACTAACAACATCGACACCTATGCATAGAATCCAATCGATGGTAGCATCACGGCAGAAGGAAAAGCCAACGCATTTTCATAATATCATTCACTTTGAATGCATCGAATGATACACATATAAACAAAATAAACGATTTTGAATTCCTTACTCAATCAGAAATATATATATATATATATACACACTCCCTCATTATAATTTGTTTTTCCTCTTTGATTCAAAAAAAAAACACACACACACACAATAAGTAGTATAGTGCCACCTTATTTAAACTCACTCCAATCTTTTAATAATGTCATTTTTTTTCCTTTGTGACTTTTCAAAAAAATAAATAAGAAACATAAGAAATATGGTTTCAATATAGAATATAATAGAAAATCTAAATATTTCATAATGTGTCTAATAAACATTTATGATTGGAAAGTTCTTGAAAACAATTAACTAATGTGTGAGTATCAAAATAGAATTAATCACATCAAACGTACATCTATTTTACTGATTTTTTTAATGTGACCCTTCTAATTTTTTTTATTCAATCATTTTCTATACTCTTCAATTTTTCTTAATGGAAAAAAAAAAAGAAACATAAGAAATATGGTTTCAATAAAAGATATAATAGAAAATCTAAACACTTCATAATGTATCTAATAAACATTTTGCGTGGAAAGTTCTTGAAAACAATTCAATAACACGTGAGTATCAAAATAGAATTAATCACATCAAACGTCCATCTATTCTACTGATTTTCTTAATGTGACCCTTCTAATTTTTTTTATTCATTCATTTTCTATAATCTTCAATTTTTCTTAATGTGACATTTTCGACTAAAATCCGATCAATTTTTCGTTTGCAAGTGACGGATGGCAAAAAAAATGTCACGCAAGATTACGAGTCGGTATTTTTTATACACCTAACATTTAATAATAAAAAAAAATCCTAAAACTCCTAGATAAATTCATTTTGAACTAATAAAAATTACCATAGTATAAAATTGGAAGACAATTTTCTCTCTCCTCTTAGTCGCGATTAACCCAAAATCCTTTCATCTTCATTCTTAGATTTTATCTATTGGTGAGATTATCTTCTCAATGTTGAAGCACAACCAATATCAGCCAAAAATCTTATAGATTTTATGTGTTATTGCTATCTAATCATTATTTGAAAACCCAAAAACCCTTAAATCCGAAAGCACCCAATTCAAAACCTTAAAAACCACCATCCAGAAATTGAACTTAAATGGTGATGAATGATGAGTTTTTATTGTCTTCTCTTAATCTTGTCAATTGATTATGCATTTCTCTATTTGAATCGTGATAAAGTGGGCAATAGTAAAGTCAAGCATCCTTTCAACAAAAAAAGGTTAGTTGTCGTTATCCTCATCCCTATCCTCCATCATTAATTTATTCTGTATTTTGTGATGACTTTTGATTGAGTTGTGGTCCCTGATGAGGTAGAGGACAAATTTTTAGGCAAAATGATAGTAAAAAACCCTAAAATAAAACTCTAAAAACCACCATACATCCACTAGTTTGATTTAAACGTGATAAATGATGCATTATGTTTGTCTTCTCTTACCAATGTCAATTTCTTTTTAATTTTTCTTCATTCGAATCATGATAAAGTGGGGAAAAGTAAAGTGAACGAAACTTTTAATTTCTGCCAAAAATGTTAGATGCATATCTATCATCTATTGTCAATTTATTGTTTGTATGATAGGTTTTGATTAAGTAGTAGCTCCTAACATGGAAAAAGACATCTTTATTACGAAAAAATATAGATTATTGTTTTGGGAGCCAACTCGTTTAATGTTTGGTTGTTTACTTGCTAATAGGGTGACATTTATTGTCTACGTTTGTTGTTTTTTGTGCAATATTTTTTATTTAAGGGTATATCTCAATGTCAATGCATGTAACTAAACCTTTGTTTATTATTTGTGTTTGATAGGTGAAGAAATTTAGTTTTTATTTAGGTGGGTCTATGAAAAGGTCAGTGGATCCAATGGGTTTATATGTTAAACATATTGGTGGGTCTATGGTTAAAAAAGAAAATATTGATTCAGAGTTGTTGTGTTTTAGGACCCTCTTAAAACTAGGTGAAGAATTTGGTAGAAAAGACATAGTATTTGTATTACAATGACCTTTTTGCTATACCACAGATCCGAAAGTTTGTTTCTTAGATTAGTTCATGATGACAAAAGTCTAATAAGGTTGTTGAATTTGGTTGAGAAAGTTGATAAGGTTAATATTTATTACAAACATAGAGGTAAAGACCACCCTTCACTCAGATGAGGGTAATCCATCTAGGGTATGTAAAAAGCTAAGGATTACGTACCATAGTATAAGATTGGATTCTAAGGATAAGAGAGAGGAGCATGTCGAGGAATTAGTTGAGCTTAGGGCGGTAATCCATCATGACTTAGGAGAGGATGGTTATCTAAATAGAGAAGACCATGAAGTTGAAGATTTAACTAATGTGGGGTTTGTTGCTAGTGAAGAAGCGAGTTGAGGTTGATTTAGTTAATATTTTAATAGGTAAAGATGATGGTAATATGGGTGATGAAGGGGTTATAGGTAATGAGGTTGGTGAGAAAGAGTCTAATAAGTTTGAGATAAAACGTATTGGAATTTATGGTAAGGAGGTTTTTGATTGTCAATGGTTATTTAATGATACGGATGAGGAGTTACAAGATACAAGAAATCAGAGTTAGAAAAGTACAAGATAAAAAGAATGGTTTAGATTTGGAGGGAAACAAGGGGAGAAATTTGAAGGAAAACGAGGGTGAAAATTTAGAGGGAAATGAGGCTAGAAATGATGATTTCATGAATGTGTTTATAAAAGAGATTAAAATCGTAAAAGCAAAATACGAATATGACTCGAATTTAAGAGTTAGTATAGATAGTAGTGATGAAGATAATGACAATCATAGGAGAAGAAAGAAATCTAGGAAAGTGTTTTGTGATACCACCACACTTGATCCATATTTTCGAGTTAGAATGATCTTTAAGAATAAAAAACAGTTTATCGATATAGTGATTAAGCATGCTTTGAAGCATAAGAGGGATGTGAAGCTTGAGAAAAATGATATATATATAAAAAAAAGGTTCGAGCAATATATAAAGATGAGGAATGTGGTTGGAAGATTTTATGCTCTCCATATAGCAGATCCGGAAACTAGATGGTGAAAATATGTTTGGTATAACATAGTTGCGAGTATAGTGTAAAAGAACAATAGGTTAAGTTATAAAGTTCTAGGTAAGCATTTAATTCATAAATTTAATAGAGTTTGTTTGAAAATGATTTTGAAGGAAATTATTAAGGTAGCTAAAAAGAATTTTGGTTCGGGGATATCCTTACCTTGCTCAACAAACTAAAAATTGGTGTAAAGTAGAGATTGAAGGGAATGTGAAGTCAAAATTTAATAGAATTGAGGATTATGCTACGGAATTAAGGGCGAGTAATGAGGGAAACATTATTATCCTTTAATGTGATGATGATTCCGGAAGGTTTAAGAAGATATATTTTGGGTTTAAAACATTGAAATAGGGTTTTTTTTAAAGGGTTGTACGAGGATTATACGTTTAGATGGTTGTTTCCTCAAAGGTGCTCTTAAGGAGGAGCTTTCGGTGGCTCTGGGATGGGATGCAAACAAGCAAATGTTTTTTCTTTCTTGGGTCGTTATAATGAAAGAAACAAAATAAACATGGAAGTCAAAGATAGGATAGGGCCACATTTGAGAACATTGCATGGAGAAAAGTTGTAGAAACAATCAAAGAGATAATTATACTATAAATAAGTTAACTTTCAATATTTTCTCAATTGAGTACATTAATTTTATTTTATTTTTTTTAGTATATCAATTTTTTTAAAACTATTAATTAAATACTTTCATCAATTTCTTTGTTAATTAATGATGTGTTCGAATATGAATTATAATTTTATCCTCTTTTTGTTGAGGAAAACTTTGTCCCTAAATTATTTTACCATTTTTAAAATTGACAAATAATTAAAAAATATTATTTTTTTATCCATAAAATTTCAAATTAAACTCAATTAGGTTGTTGTTAAAAAAACAACAACTCAATTAGATTTAAGAGTGAAAATTAAAAAAAAAAAAAACACAAATGAATCTTCTCGATAAAAAAAACTCACTTTGTGTTTTCTTTAACTTTCACACCCAAAATCTAATTGATTTTTTCTTTAATGATAAGCCTTACTAAGTTTAGTTCGAGATTTTATAACTAAAAATAACTTTTTTTAATTATTGATCAAATTTTAAAATAATAGAATAATTTAAAGAAAAGGCTCCTTACAAAAAAAGAGGAAAAAAATGTATTTAGTATTCATACACGTCATTAATTAATAGAGAAATGAACGAAAATACTTGATTGATAGTTTTAAAAAAAATTGATATACTCAATATGAAAAAATTAAAATTCATGTACTCTATTAAAAATAATAGCAAAATTATAATTTGGTATTTTAAGGATAACATACACATCATCAGCTTAATAAAAAAAATTGATAGAAACACTTGATTGATAAAATATTAAAAATTAATATATTTAAAGTGTAATTATCTCAACTATTGAACTAAGATGTTAAATGATTTATCGATTGATTCAGATTAAATTGTCATCTCTATGCAATGAGCGTTAATCATAAGCGGAGCAATTAGAATAGAAATATTTAGGCGATGGTTCGTGTGTTAAATGAGATTGTTTTCCACGTCCTCTTCTCACATTCAAAGAATGAAGATTGCGAGAGGAATACTTGAATGTAAAGATGGATGCCATACCCAAAACAAGACTTGAAAAAGGAATTTAAGCTCAATCCACAAACACTGCTTTGAAAACAAAATTATAAATAATAATAATAATAATAGGAGAAACCTCATTTATTCCTTAACATATTACATCGTTGTCAATTGAATCCCAAATTTTTTAATTCTATCCCAAACATAAACATAATCGATGACGGACAATATTATCCCCATTTCCCTTCGCTGTTAGTGCTAATTAAGATTTATCTAATTTACATGTACGGGCTTCAATTGAGAGTGCCAAAAAACTTGTATAAAAAGGAAATTAGAGGAAAATGTAGTATAATTTCACATTATAATTATTCTTTATGACAGAACGAGATTTATACTTTAACATCTTCACGTGTAAATTGGACAAAAATTTTGAACTATCAGTAACAATGGATGGATAGAAAGGTAACATTTTTTATTGTCTATTAAATTTAGAAACAAAATTGAAAAATAAATAGTTAGAAAATCAATTAATAATTAAATCAGGAGCTAATTTGAGATTTTTTTTTCAAGTAGAATAAAAAGCTCTAGAATAATCCAATCTATCACATAAAATTCCACTTTAGAAGACAATGGCTAGTTTTCTATGTAGAGAAACTATTAGATATGCCTATTAGATGTATAAAAATTGTATTCGACTGTCTAATAAAAATACAAAATCCACTAGAAGAACAATTTACCAGTACCATTTTTCCTTTTTCTTTTTTTGGGTGAGTAGAGTACAATCCGAATAATTACTTCAAATAATAATGGTTTAATGGCGAAAATTGTCCTCGTTCTTTTGTAAATTGACAGCTTCAAATTTTTATTATCAATTTGCGTAACTTCAACTATAAAATATTAGTTTTTTGACAAATGTTATCTAAATATCCTTCTTTTTTATTTATTTATAATTGTCAACCCAATTAAAAAAAAAGGTAAAAATTGCTTAGATAAAGATAGATTTCAAATTCTTTAAATTACTTGAATTTTTTTACTTATATTTTTCCTTCATTTTTTAAGAATTTATTTTTTTTCATATGTTTACTCATAAGTAAATAAAAAATTCATTAAATTTATCACTAAACTTTCTTTTGGTTCTCCCTACAAAAAGGCTTTCGTTTTTTTAACCTATCTATAAGAAAATAAAAATAAAATAAAATTAGAAAGATTTTAAAAAAATAGTTTTCTAATACTAACAATTTTAAATTCATATTATATATTTGAATCAATAATGAGAATTAAAAATCCTATAATACATGCAAAAATAAAAAATATTAAATAAATATAACTATATTTAAAATTTAATGATTGAAAATTATAAAAATAAATTTATTTCATGAAAAAAAATTCAGTTAAAATTTAATAGATATTATTAATTATAGAAGTTGATTGTTTGAATGGATAATGACTTTACATAAAAGTTGTTTCTTAAAATAAAATAAAAATTATATACAAATAACAATTTGATTTACTATTAAAAAAATATTAATATGTGAAATTTTTAAATATAAAAAATTAAGTTATAATTACATTGAAAAAATAAAAACAAGTTTTTTGTACTGTTTTTTTTTAAATTAACAACGAAATGCTTAATCGATCATTTAAAAAAAAATTAATAATGAAATACTTAAATGACTTTGTTTAAATATTTTGTTCAACAGTCAACTAATAATATAAAAAAATATTTAAATAATATGCATCTAAAAATTATATTTTAAATTTTAAATTATATAAATTGATAATAAAAATTGTCCAATAACAATCGAACGGATCCGATGCCAACTTTTGCCGTTAAACCTAATAATAATATACATACACGAAGTGTTTTTTCTCGGCAAATACAGCGACCCAAATGTGTCAAAATCTCAACCTCATTTAATAAACAAACCAAACGCATAAACGGAGAGAGAGAGAGAGAAAAGCCTTGGTGTCCTCATCAGACAAAACTGTGTTCGTGTCCTCCACAAGCCATGGCAATGATCACCAGAAACACCGCCACTCGCCTCCCACACCTCTTCTCCCTCCACCGCCCCGCCACCGCATCTCTCCACACAACCCTCCCTTCTCTCTCCCCTGACCCAACACCAGCACCCGCTCCCTTCTCTCGCGCACCGCCACCTTCCACATCTTCGCCTACAGGTGTATCCAAGACGGCGGAGTTTGTGATTTCTAAGGTTGATAGTTTGATGAACTGGGCACGTACTGGATCTATTTGGCCTATGACTTTTGGGCTTGCTTGTTGTGCTGTTGAGATGATGCATACTGGTGCTGCTAGATATGATTTGGATCGGTTTGGGATTATTTTTAGACCAAGTCCTAGGCAGTCTGATTGTATGATTGTTGCTGGCACTCTTACTAACAAAATGGCCCCTGCTCTTCGCAAGTAAGTCTTTTTTTTCTTTTGACAACTTTTTGTGATTGATTATTTGATTTTGTTCGATTTGGATCTGTGGTGGAATTTTGATGGATTCTTGTGTTTTCTTATGGATATGTTGTGGTTTGTTTTAATTTCTATATCGGGTTTGCTTTTAAGAGTGATTAATGTGTTGGTGGAATTTTGTTAAATTAGTGTGTTGTTCTTGTTATGTTTGAAATAAAGAACGGGGTGAAAAGGAAAATTGGAGCGTGGTCGGGAATAAAAACTGAGGAAGTGAATGTTTCCTAGGCCCTGACTGGCTTATTAAAAATGTAACAGTAAAACTTGTGTTCGTGATAGTTTGAACATGACTGGGAAATTTGACTTCAACATTTTTTTTGTTTTTTGTGCTTTTAGTGAGGCTTAATATGCAGGATAACGAGACAGGAGTGATTCATGTAGGATTTTGGATGTAAAAAGGCTCCTGTTGTGTGTCAAGAAATTGTAGAGATATTATCCATCATATGTAGAATAGTTATTTATATGGAAGGAGGAGCCCAAGAAATGGATTAGAAGACTATTTAGATATCTACTGAAGAAATGGTTCAGAAGGATTACCTAGAGTTCATATGTGAGAAGCATTTCTTTCTCTGAGAATACAATATGTTGACCTAATGCACGTAGTATTTAATGGGTTTTTTGGACTTTTTTTATCTAATGGCTATAGCTTACTATGCATAATGGTGAAAGTGTTACTGATGCTGTTTTCAGTATAGGTTTGTGTCACATGATTTAGCTGTATTAGTTTGATTTCATATATTAAGTCCGAAATTCCACACTTATGTGAGGCTCACACACCCGATTATAAAACTGGTTCATGCTCTTGATGGTGGATAACATTTCCTGGAAGGGGATGAGACAAAAATTTTGCTTTTACTCCTGATAATTGACTAGTGCAGTATGGTACTGGTCTATATTGAATAATGCCTCAAAAAGTGATTTATTTAGTAGAATTCTTGAATCTAGAGTTTGTTTGCTTAAACTATGCTAAGAGAATAGATTATTGTCTTCTGGCACTGCTTAGGCGGAGCCTGAGGTTATCTAACCTCTTGCAAGGATTTTCTGGCTTAATTCTTTAGTGCTCAATCTTAATCGAGCTTCCATTCACCCGAATTAGAAATAGCTTATTTTCTGAGTTCAATGTTAAAATATGCTAGTTGCATTAAAGTTTTATGATTGTGGAATTTTACAAGCTATCAAACCATTGTCTGTAGGATTTTGTGGCTCTTGTAGCCATCTAGAGGGAAGCTTAAAGTTTGTCTGTGTTCTTGAACCTGATATATCTGAATAATTCATAACTACTTCACAAACCCTATCAAACTGAGCTCGGGGTTGATCATTCTCTAATAAGTCCGATGTCTGGGTTGACAAAAACATATTTGATTGTTGTATGTCTGAAAAAGATTTGATGAAAGAGCAAAATGAAATTTTGCAAAGGTTTTTAAGAGTAACTATGATGTAAGACAGAATTGAGAGTTTTGTTTGACGAAGGATTTGAGGTGAGCTATGGTTTATTGATAAGGAGAAATTAGGTGGTGAACAGTGTTTTGCAGCACTGTAGCAGCACAGTAATAAAACAAGAAAGAAGAGAAAATAGTAGAAATAGAAGAACAAGAAGCAAAGAGGAAACCATAGTCACTAAGCCTTCAAAATAACTGTAAAACTCAATTTATTTCATAATTTGAGTATGCTGAAATTAAAACATAAATAAACTAAACAGGAATAATCTATTAAAGACTAAGATACTAAATTCCTAAATAAGACTAGACCTTCAAATAATTCTGTAAATTACTAAAATGCCCTGGATTTGCAGAACATGCAGAAATTACAAATTCTGCCCCTGCTCAGAGTAACCCATAACTCAAGACTCTAAACCCTAAACATAGAAATCTATCAAGTACGCTTATTTTTCGACCGAAAAGGTTCCTTGCTTGATGAAGAATCACTTAATGTAAATTTAGGTTTCGAAAGTGGAGATTGTTCCTCTTAAGTATAACATAGCTACTCCATCAATTCTCCCCTCTTTGGAAAACACAGCTCTGTTGAGTTTGGAGCACGACCTAGCAATCTGTTTCCCATTGAATCGTCATGCTCAATGAAGAATGGTTTGGAAGGTTTCTTCAACTTTGTCAGCAAAAAATCCTTTTGTGGAAAGAGCTTAAATTTCTTTTGATTCTACAAGAAAGAATATGTATTTTCGAAGGCATCATGCTGCACCCTTCTATCAAATAACCATGGACAACCTAAAAGAATGTGGCAAACCTTTAGAGGAAGGACATCATAGTGCACAACTGCCCATTGCATTTAACTCTAGTGTTGAACATAGAGTATGTCTCCAATCATCAACTTCTTCAACAACCTCGTGAGTCAAAAGCATAGGTTGAAGAACTAAACAATGGGATCCAATTTCCAACATTGGATGCTCATCCATATCCATCTCGGCTTCACAAACAACTTCTTTAAATTCTTTATCGTTTACAGCTTCTAAGGCTTGCCCCTTATTAGTAAGTGAAAGCATCTTATTAGGGCATTCAGAAGAATAGTGGCCAACACCTCTAAATTTGCAACAAATACCATCTTTTTTCCCCTTGGAATTTGGAACCACTACTTCCTTGAAATGAATAGGAAGTATTGGGATGAGTAGACTTGTTAACAGAATGGGAAATTCTTTTAGAATTATCATCAGAATGTTCCTTACTAAAGTCAATAGGTGGCCGTTCATTCTTACCATAGGAAGTGTTGTAAATCTCATAGAAGTCTTCTTTTAGCTTCTTCCTCAATCTGAGCAGCAACTTGAACCGCTTCAGCCATGGTGTAAAGCCTACAAGTAGCTAAACCAGAAGAAATTTGTAAATTCCTTGCAGATACATAGATATCATGGCATCTTCATTCCATGGATTCTGATATTGTTTCTAAGCTGAAAAATTTGTTAGTGTACTAATTGACACTTAAACTTCCTTTTGTCAATTGTATAAATTGCATGTGAACTCGTTGCTTGTAAGTAGGTGGGACAAAATAATGGGTCATGGCAATCTCATAGCTTCTCAAGTTCTAAGGGTAGTACAATGACATTGCTGAAAATTTTCCAACCAAACTCTAGCTGTCTCTTTTAGTTTAGCTTCGGTAGAATAAATTTTTTGCTCATCACCCAAGTGACCACCACTTAACAAAACTTTCCAAACCATGTAGCCAATCAAGAAATACCTCCAGATTACTGTCTCCATTAAAATCACTAACATCAAGCTTAATACCTTTATTTATATCATTCATCCTTAAATTTCTTGATATTAAGTTTGAGGAGGAAAAGAAGGTCGAGTTTCTACCTGTTGTGCTAAAGATTGCATCGATGAGCCTACAACGGGTACTGGCTGGTTGAGGCTAGCTCCTTGCAAATTTAGAGAACTTGTAGATGTAACATGCTGCTGCATGGTAGCTGAAGTAGAGGATGAATTCAGATGTCAACAGCTTGAGTAGGTGCAGTTTCATCAAGATTTCCCCCTTGTCACTAGTAGTTAAATTCTTTAGCACAATCTTTATCTCATCAGCAAACTGATGTAGGACAGATTTAAGGTTTCTGTTCTACAAAGTGTTTGAGGTGAGCTAGGGTTTATGGAAACCCTAGGCACTAAGCCTTCAAAATAACTTTAAAACTCAATTTATTTCATCAATTGACTCTGCTGAAATTAAAACATAGCATCTCTATTTATAGAGATTAAGACTCCCTCAAAGACTAGGATAACTAATCCTTACTTGGAAATAAACTAAAGAGGAATAAACTATTAAAAACTAAGATACTAAATTCCTGAATAAGAATAGACCATCTGAAAATTCCTAAAATACCCCTGATTTGCAAAACATGCTGAAGTCACAAAGCTGCCCCTGCTTACAAAATAAGCCATAACTCAAGATTATAAACCCTAAACATAGAAATCTACCAAGGACACTTTTTTTTTTTTTTTTACCAAAAAGACTTTTTGCTTGCCTAAGAATCACCTAGTGTAGCTTTAGGTTTCCAAAGTGGAGTGTGTTTCTCTAAGGATAACATATCCACTCCATCAAACTCTGTTGGAGATAATGGCTTTACTAAGACATATGGGAAAACTGTATCTGTTAGCTCTAGGTTTCCAAAGTGGAGAGTGTTTCTCCGAGTATAACGTAGCTACTCCACCAAACTCAGTTGGAGATAATGGCATTACTACGGCATATGGGAAAACTGTATCTGTTTTTTAGGCTTTTGCCTGTTTATGATTTATCTCTTTGATTTGTGGAAACAAGAACAGTTATCTGTAATATGGTAAATCTATCTTTGCTGTGCAAGATGGCAACTCGATGATAAAAGCATCAACTTATTTACATTTCTTAGAACATTAGATTTGTATGGAGTAGAAGACTTAATCTACCAATTTTTCTCTTCTAATGTCAAATACCTTGGATTTAAAAATTTGGAACTTCAAAGTACAATTAGCACAGGCAAGCTGTTCAGAACTTAAGATCAGATTCCTTTCAGCACAAACATACATGCATAGTGAAAGGGGAGTCAGTTTCTGACTGCTTTTGAAAATTGGTCACAGGGTTTATGATCAAATGCCTGAGCCTAGGTGGGTTGTCTCTATGGGCAGCTGTGCAAACGGTGGTGGATATTACCATTATTCGTACTCTGTTGTTCGTGGTTGTGACAGGATTGTCCCTGTAGACATTTATGTTCCAGGATGCCCACCCACCGCCGAGGCCCTACTTTACGGATTACTCCAGCTGCAGAAAAAGATCCATAGGCGCAAGGACTTCCTCCATTGGTGGACCAAATAAGTGATGTTTGGTTCTCTTCTGGCAGCTTTGGCTGCACTCTTATGATCTAATAAATGAAACGGTATCTGTTTCCTGTTTAAGTACTGTGTGAAGGGAGAGGCTGTTATATTAATACACTCTTTAGTTATAGATCCACCTCCTATATTCTCTCAAGCTCTTATTGTGGCTGCAAATCCTCAAAAACCTTTTTGTAACCTTGATTTGCTGAACTACACTTTGTTGTTTAGCTTGCATGTGTAACTCAGAAAGCTGTATTGTTTTGATGACCTGTGGACTAAATAAAAAGAGCTCGTGTAAAGCTACTCTTTTTAGGTGTTGTCCTCCTGGACTTTCTGAGTCTTGGATCAGTAGCTTCTTTGGTGTTGTTGCTTCATATATATAGTTCACTCGTGTACTTTTGGTTGAACAATTGTCTAAGATATTTGCTGGGCAGCTCTTGGCCGTGCTTCCCCTAGGTGTAAGTCCTACGTTAATACACAATTTGACCTTTATCAGGGAGCCTTTCTCAAACATCATCTGATGAGCAGACTTTCCATGTAAACCAACAAATTCTATGAGGCAAAGATGATACAGCCGCCCCTTCTATACGACATTGCTACCGGGAAGTGAAAAGTAGACCAATTTTGAGCATCTCTATCTAAAAATGAGATTAGTAAGTGTAGATTTCGCTAGAATTAGAATGATCATGGAAAGTTAAATACTCTGTGTTTGACTGGTTCATGAGGATGAATGACTGAAACACAGGTCGTGCTTCATACAGTGGAATAACCAGGTAACGGGTTGGGAGGACATGATGTCGCTTATAGGTAACTGCAATGGATTTGCAAAGGTGTGTGGAGGCTTCCAGCATCGCAGGATTATCCTTCCGCGATCTGCGGCCAATGAGATTGTAGACGCTGGACAGTCTTAATGGTTTACAAGCCATTAAAGGTAGCATATGATGATTTGAACCATGGTCGAGAATGAGGGCTTGCAACACTACTAAGTTAACGATTTTAAAGTCAATTCATTTCGAGTTATTTTTTATTTTTTAATTTTTTTTACATTTTTAATCTTCAAAAAAATGAAAAAAATATATGATCCAACCTTGAAAAATTTTGAGATTTTTTAAAATGAATTGGATTTTTTTTTATATGTATGCAAAACGTTAGTTCAAAATACTAAGAATTGAATGTTTTCAAGAGAGAGTTGATAGTTAGAAATTATATGATAAACTAAATTTAAACAAAAACGATCACAGAAGGTCAAATATAAAATTAGAATTTCCAAGATTGATTTTCGAATGAATTAAAATTCAAGAAGGGTTTGATACATTTAGTCTTTTAAAGTTTGAAGAACTTCCAATCATGTTTTAGTGAACTGGCCTCAAAACTCTATGTAATCAAGCCTTTTTAAGGTTCAATACATTTATTTTGTAACTAGGCTAAATTTTCATAAGCCTATCTTATTAAAGTCTCATCTTCCAAAAAGACAAAAACAGAATTAAAAGTCGTTTTGTGGAAAACATTTTTTTTCCATTTTTTAGTATAAAACAAACATGAAAAAATAAAACAGTATAAAATAATTTTTTCAATTAAATCTTGAATAGTGTCTATTTAAGGAAAAATATTTCAACATTAAGGAGGAGGAAAATTATTTTGTACTACCAACTCATAATATTTACCAATATCATAAGTTCATCACCATTAACACAATAACTATAACCACCATGATTTTAAAAACGACTCGTTACGTAACGTAACGGTTGTTACATAACGATAACAGGGAATCTCATTACCGTTATTCAATGTGCCAGTGTTCCGACATCGTTGCACACGGATAATGATAGATAACGATGTTACCGTTATCTAACTCCATTATTTATTGTTATATAATGCATTAGAAAAAAAATCAGAATTTCAGCTGTTGAAATTCAGGCAGTAACGAGAGGTAGAGAGGCAGAGATTAGAGGCTAGTAGAGACAAGAGTGCAAAGGCAGAGAGGGAGAGAAGTTTCGGGTGATATCAGATGAGACAAGAGAGGAACCTTGGATCCTTTTATTTTGAAAAGTAAGAGGCCACGTGAATATCAAATACCTGCATTTACAGGTTTTGATTGAATAAATTATAAATTAGTCCTCTTATTTTGAAATAATAATTTAGTTATTCCTTCTATTTCAAAAACCAATAATTTATTTATTTATTTATTTTTCTTTTTGTTTTAAAAAATAGGAAAAGGAAAAAATAAATTTATACCATGAAAAAGATTGATGAAAAATAAATATTTTCTAGAATAAAATATAATATATTAAACATGATCAATACTCGATTAAAAAATTAAATAATTAATTTTTAAAACATTAAAAGCTAATTAATTCATTTATTAAAACTAGAAGGACTAATGTATGATTTAATCTTTTATTATTCTACTTTGTGTGTCTTTTATACACAAATTCATAGGTTATAAAAGCAAATGTTGCTTTAATTAAATAAATTATAAATTAGTCTTTTTAGTTTGAAAAAAATAAATTAGATGGTATTTATTATTTTAAAAACTTATTATCATTTTAAATTTTATGTTATTTTCTAATTTGTTTTTATAAACTAGTTATGGTTGTAATATTGATGGACAAGAATCATAAAATTAACAACAAAATAATAATTGTTATTATGATTCACCACGACAATCATTTTAAAGATGAATAATATGTAATGTGTTTGTTAAAATTGTAATGTATTTTATTATTATTTTTTATAATATTTATCTATTAGAAGTGTTATTAACTATTTTTTATAATAAATTCAAATATTATTGTATGATATTAAACTATTAGAGATGCTATTACTTATTGGTGTGCTTAATTAGTAAAACTATTAAAAATATATGAATTAGAATAAACTCATTAACGAGTTGTTAAAGTATTCACAACATCGCTTACCGCGATCATTATTTTACTACTCGCAATTCGTGATTATTTTTTCAATCGCGATCGCCGTTTTGAAACTATGACCACAACCATCTCACCACCGTTACCAACTCCAATGCAAACAAGGGGCGGAGGATAATGACGGCATGCATCGGCCATGGCCCCTCCAAACTTTTTGAAAAAAATTACTTATATAATGTATTATTAATATGTTAGTATAAAAAATAGGAGAAATTTTGTGATTGGCTCCCAAAATTTTTTTGACTAGTAAAACTAATAGGTTGTTGACAAGTATCGACCCAATCTACACCACACCACATAATAATCTCTCTCTTTACTAAAATTACTTTATTTTTTCACCTTTTTTTCTTGATTTTTCCATGACTCTAACCATTTTCTTCTTTGTTTTTTCTTTTAACTTATTCTTCATACACCCCCATCAACATCAAGTCTCCATTGATCAAATAATAATATTGAATTTTTAAAAGCTTACTCTTTTTGGATACTAAATTATGGTATCATCAAAAGATAACTATTACAAAGGTACAATATCCATCAAAACAATGCCTTCTATTTATTATTTAAAATTCTGAATTTATATAGGATTTTTTTTTTTTTTTTTTTGTCGAATGATATTTTTAGTATGTTATTTTTTTCTTTTATGTTATACTTTATTGGTTATGGGTAAGTGACTAAACACAATGAATTATATTTTGATGCATATAATTGTCATAGTTTAATGTGTATATTTTAGGATTTTAATTAATAATAAAATTATGTTACTTATGACTTGTATGATGATTTGTTGTCTTCTAACCGGAGGGTAATTATAATGAATTGTTTTTTATGCATATAACTAAAATGGATATGCTCTAATATTAAATTGATTAGTGAAAATTGAATATTGTTATGATAATATTATTAAAGATAAAAAATTAAATTTATTTGCATAAATTTAAACTTTCTTTTTCGTAATATAAAATTAGCATTGTTAATTTGTTTGATTGTTTTAGGAATTTATATATAAAAAAAAATTAACCAAACATAGGCGAGTGTCCCGATCATTTTTATTAATTAGAGAAGAAATATAAAAGGAGGACTATCTAGCTTTACCCCAATAGGAGGAGAGATCAATGAAGCATAACCTAAAAAATGTAAAAAATACAACAATATCATTTTCTATAAATATATATACCAAATCTATCATGTCATAAGGCATTACAAATTTCACTAGACAACTCATCATAACTATTCAAAGTGCGAGCGATTTGTACTAATGGGCCAAATTTGCTAACATGTCGGCTATTACGTTTCGCTCTCTAAAAACATGTGTGAATGTATAAGAATTATTCAAATGCTGGTAATAACAAATTTGATGGATATACATCCATAGTATCCTAGTTTTGTTGTTTATAGAATCGACCAAAGAGTCCGATTCCACACATACTCGTCGTAAGAAAAAAAATTACTAATATACCCGCTGATGGGCCAAATTTGCTAACATGTCGACTACTATGTTTCACTCTCTAAAAACATGTGTGAATATATAAGAATTATTCGAATGCCGGTAATAGCAAATCCGATGGATATACATCCACGGTATCCTCGGTTTTGTGTTCAAAGAATTGATCGGTACCAAAGAGTCCGATTCCACACATACTTGCGGTAATAAAAAAAATGACATAATTTAAAACCATCCTAAAGAACATATATCTCTCCTTTCATGCTATCACCTGTACCATAAAAATTAGAAAAGGTCACGATAAATTGGCTATGTCTTCCTCTAATAACTCCTCATCCACTATAAAAGCCCGCCACCGCAGAACCATCCGTATTTAATTTATACACTTCTTTCTCTAGCGTAATCCAATTGAGCCAAACTCCTCTTGTCAAAGAAATATGAATAATAAGCGAGATCCAAATTAGTTAGTCATTGACTCTCATTGTCTTTCGATCTCTTTTTTATTTGAAGATAGCAAACATTCCTTCTAGTCGAAACAACACATGTTAAATCATGCGTTTCAATGACATCTCCTAGCCTTTAAATCTAGCTTTACATATGTTTCTCCAAATCTCTTATAAAAAAATACATATAACGGATTAGGCTATACGTGCTTGAAAGAGGATCGAGCCCATTCAAAACTCGAAAATATCTAAAGTGATAACATATGTATAAAGTTTATCAACTTAAATGCAAAGAAAAACCAAACCTCGTTTAGGCACTTCGAGTGATGGAGAAGATGCTCAAAATACTTCTCATGATGATTTGTATAATAATGATAGGATGAAGCCATTTGAATCTTCCTAGATTTGACTCGATAATTTGTTGGAATTGCATGATGAATCTATTTTCAAATGAATTCTCCAATACGACTTGGAACCCATTGTGCCCAAACTTGCTTATACCACTCAAAATTAGCAAATATATCTCTTCTATGCTCCTAAAAGTCTATACAAGTAAAAGACCTCATCGAATTCAAAGTGCAAACTAAAAAATCATCCTCTTATGTATCTACATGGATCTCCTCAACCATATGTCAAACATCTAAGGAGACATAGGCCTTAAGATCATCAATGATTTGTAAACCATCATTGATTGTGAGCCTATTACCAATAAAAAGGGACGAGATGAAGTGAAAAACCATACCAATTTAAAGTCTAGAAAGGAATCTCAACTTTCCCAATACCCTAGATGTTTACACTCTTAACCAAATCAATCAACTTAAACCCTAAATGCCATAAATGTGATGTTCTACTACCCACTCGATTTCGACTATAAATGATTTGGGGTACCATATTTTGCCTTTATAAAATAAGCTCACGAGACTTTTTTCATTCTAAAACGACTAAATTAATTTAGCTTAAAGGTTTTCTATGATTTGGTTTAGTTTTTTAACACCTAAGCCTCCTTAATTCAAGTGGTCGACTAACTCTATCTTAGGAGACCTAATGATATATAGTTTCTCTAGATAAGTTCCATAAGAAATCAATTAATATTCTCTCTATTTGGTGTAAGTTAGTCTTCGAAAGTGGTACCGAATGTCTGCTAAGGACCGATTTAACCAAAAAGATCTTGGCTTTAAAAGAAAGAAATTATGATTTTCACCCACTTACCTTGCTGGGTCACTTGGAAATAACACTTTTTCATATGTCTTATGAATAATGGCACTCCTAAACATATGAGTGGTAGTTAAAAAACAACATGTCCAAGTTTGCAATTTAGGAGGCTCTTGCTCTAGATAATGATTTGACCCCACAAAAATAACTTTTTAAAACATTAATAGATTGTCCTGAAGATTATTCATACCGTACCATGAGATTCTTTAAAGATAAAAAAGATTGTTTGTTACCTTTTGTAAAAAGTAACATATCATCAACATAAAAAAGATGTGAAATAGTAAAATTATCTTCATTCATATAATAAAGGGTAATAGCGCCATCCCGTACTCTCTTCTCAATATTTTTTATCAAAATTTATTGAACCGGAATGAATAGCGACGAGAGATAGAGGATCTCCTTACTCGGTTCCTTTACTAGATTTGAAAAACCCAAAGCATTGCCCTTATATTCTAACATAATATCGTGCATTACTTATGCATTTGTACATCGGATCACACTAATGATTATTCAAACCCAATGTTTGCATACCACTTAATAGAAATGACCATTCAACCCTATCATAAGCCTTTGACATATCAAGCTTAAAAATCATATTACTACCGAAGTCTTTCTATTCAGTTTAATAACCATATATTCAAAAATGGCTATATTCTATTTAATATTCATTCATTTCCCAAATCTAGACTAATTATATGAAATAACATCAAAAGAACATTTACTAACCTATTAGCCAAGATCTTTGAGATAATCTTGCATTCGAACATTCATAAACTAGTTGGTCTAAGATCGGAGAGAGAAGTAGGGTCGACACATTTGGAATAAGGGTCGGGATTGTGGTAGTTACACCTCTTAGAAGATGTGCTTCTTAGAAGAAATCTTACACTATTTAAACTATGTCTTCTTTGATAGTTTTCCATCTACCTCTATAAAAGTGACCTATGAATCCATCCCGACCAAGAGCACTATTTGGATTTAGACCTTTCACTACCTCTTATATTTTAGCCTCATTCAATATTCTAGAGAGCATGTCATTTTGTTCCATAGTTACCTTTGTCGTGACATTCTCGGATAATGAATCATGAATGTATTGAGTTCCAATCATGAATAGTTTATCAAAGAACTCTACAAAAGCATGCCCAATTATGATGGGATCATTAAACGAGAGAGCCATTTGGTTACCGAGTGTTGAAATAAGTTTTCCTTTCATTATCTTTAATACAAATGTGAAAGAATGAAGTATTATGGTCATCATCCTTGATCCAAGATGCCCTAACATGTGTTTAAAGAATATCAACCTTCGTTGCAACAAGTGATTTGTTCTTTCATCATCTTCGATAAGTGATTAATTATCCACCTTCTATTGCAACAATCGATTTATTCTTTAATCATCTCTCGATAAGTGATTAATTATCCTATCATCTCAATGTGCGCTAATTGTTCCTCTATATGAAGAATACCATCTTGGGTAGTTTCTAACCTTCTATTAATGTTCTAAAAACATTCAAGTTCTAGTCTTTCAAGTGATGTTATATATGATTTTGCTTCGATACGGGATATACAAAAAGATACCGATCAGTGGAATTTTTCATTCTTTGGCCAATAAAACCGCATAGGTAGGATAAGTCAATCATATTTTTTAGAATTTAAAAATTGATCGACCTTTCATATGGAGATTGAATTATATAAATAATAAAAAATGATCCGACGAGTTTCTAGAAAGATGACTTGTTGTTAATGCTAGTAGTTCGAATGTGAAATCACCATTCACCAAAACTCTATCTAATATTTGTTAGACTCTATAAGCACAACCCTTAATTATTGCTCTAAGCAAATTTACTACCTTGATAGTTAGCATCATCTACCCCAATCCGTCTATAACATCTATTAAAATCATCCATATTGGCCAAATCATAACCATTCCCCTTAGCTTTTTTAAAGTATTCGCTATCATATTAAAATTCCTCCTACCATCTATGGCCCCCGAACCAAAGCTACAATGTTATTTAGTTCATTCCACAAATTATGCAGCTCCATTCTTAAACATTTAGCATGCATGCAATAATTGACCAATTGTCTATTGAGCTATCGTCGTAATCATTTGCTTGAACGCTCTACACATACAATTTTAATAAGATCATTTCAAAAAAAATATGGTTATTAATTGGGTTTTTGTGAAGGAAATAATCATATTTTAGTTATTTGGCTATAACATCTAAACGAGAGCCATCAAATCGGGTTCCAAAATAACCAAGTAATATAGGTTATTTTGAGATTTTAGAAGTTTTAAATATTCTATAGTGGCATTATTTCCTACTCATTTAGCATTTCAAATTAATACAAATAATAAACTAGGTTTATAGGGATATTTAGTGCTCTTACAACTACTTTAGTTTTCTACCTATTGCCTAATTGTAGAAGTCATTCTTTTGGGCAACTATATAGAATTTCTTATGCATCTTTTTTATTTCATCATGAGTTTTGAAGTTAAACCATTTGATAGGTGCATAATTTGCACAACTTTTATGTCCTTTTACACTAAACTTACTAGTGTTTATTGTATTAAATCAAGGTAAATAAGAATAAGATAACAATTTTGAGTTTTTATAGGAAAAATAACAAATCGGAGTAAATAAACTCGAACCAAAGTGTATAAAAAGCCAAAGCCATAAAGAAAGCAAAGAACTCACATAAAGAAAGTAAAGAAGTCACATGGTCTATGATCGACAAGAGGAAGAAGGCACTAACCGTATGAAAACAAAGAAGAACATCGTGTGACCGTTCAACAAAAAAGATACACAAGCATTAATAATCTACATGGCTTGAGTAGAAGAAGTGACACATAGGCGAAACTAAAGGGCATGGGGTGAAGAGTAAATTAAGAATAGCCGTATGCCTTAGCCATGCAAGTCATGTGATACCGGTTCTTCGAGGCTCCAAACCGTATGAAACAAAGGTACAAATCATGTAAAATAAAAGACCAATTATATGTCTATGTGAGGCCGACATGTGTGTATTGTAACCCTACCTTTTGCTATAAATAGAGAAGTTAAGATTTCACTTTAGGTATTATAGGGATTCCTCCATTCTTGCAACCACCATAGATAAAAATTCTCTCTTACAAGCAAACCACGTATCACTAATAATCTTTCTTAGTTGAAGGGAAAGTTGAAGTCTTTGGTAAAATCGTTGTGAGATCTAAATGAGTTTTTATCTTTAATCCTATTCTTTTTAGTATTTTATATTTCTGCTATATTATTTGAATATGGTTATATGGTTGATTGATTAAAGTGCATGCTACTTGATTAATCATTATAATCTATTGCTAGTTAAATATTCAAGTCCGTAATTGCTCGTCTAAACTCGCATGTGGTAGCAACTAGAGGTTAATGATTATAAATGTGTTTTTTTTTAATCTCTTGAAAAACATAAAACTAGATTAAATTCTTTGAACATGTAGAAGAGTTGTTTAGCTTCACCTATCTTTCTATCATTTAATATTGTTATTGGATTAAATCTAGAGAACGTCTACTAGGTTGTTCAATAGTTAGGAATTAATTAAATATAATCTTTTTGGTTAACAAATCATTAAGAAAAGATTGGGGATAATATGTATGTTGTTATCTTACAATGAATATCCATAATGAGAATGGATTATTGTATGAATCGATGATCAACGATTGAACTAAAAGTGGAAACCAAATGTTTAACCAAGGCTTATATTATTAATGTTTATCTCTTTGTTTAGTTTTGATTTTTGTTACTCTTTGCAACAAATAAAAACCCTTCTTTCCTTTATTTCACTTTGAAATAATCGGAAGATAGAGAACATTGATTGAATCGATTCTCCGTGGGATCGATCTTGACTTACCCTAACTACGGCTTTGTGATTGAGTTTAGTGAGAAAAATAAATAATTAATTTATTGACGGTATAACACACCATCATCATCAATAAACTTTGTTCTACTCGATCCTTCGTTTTTATGTGTCTCCAAAGCCCTTTTAGATAGGGATTCTTTTATATCATGCTCTTTTATTCAGCTTCATTCTCCACGTTCACCATGTTTTTATTTGGAAGAATTATATCTTTCTTGCTCATATTTTATGATAAGATTAAAGTGATCGCAAAATCATATTACTTATGCTCTTTAGTCCTTTTTTCACAATCAATGTTTTGTGCTTTATGTGTTCTTTTAGGCGAACCCTACCTATGATCACGATCGTCTATTTTTGTAATAAATTGTAAAACTGTATACCTATTTTGACTTGATGTCATATCATTATCATTATGGCCTTTTTCATCTCGCTAAAATTAAAGCACTTACTTATTCTAGCATTCCATTATCTATTACCTTCCTTGTATCTTTTCTTTCTAGAGTTATTGCCATAGATAATATATGTATAGGAACCTATTCTATCGGTCTTTTCTCTATAGGTTTATGTCTAGCTTATTTGAGAACTGCTCCATCTATATTTTATTGTAACATGATTCCCAATTATTTAGTCGATTGTTGTAAAGCTTAAGGTCTTTCGAACATAACTTTTTTATGGTAATTAGATGAATGATGGTCGATCAAACTACAAGTTGAGCGATAAACTATATTCCTCTTATGTTTAATCCATTGCCAAAAGCTTTTATCTTTACTAGAGCCCGACCGGATATATGAAGGTAACTCTTTTGACACATCCACTTCTACACATATTCCAAGTAAATATTGGATTTGATATTATGATAGTTCTATCATCCACTTGTAAAAAATATCTTAAAGTTTTCCTAATGCATTTTAGATATGAAGGTGTAAACTACAACAATGAAAAATGATGTAACCTAATCTAAACCATAACTACGGTACAATCTTTTCAAGATATAAAATCTAGATTCCATCAAAACATTCGGTATACAATTATGTATTTTATGGTCTTTCCTAGATAAAGCCATTACCAAATCTTTATTAGATGTCAAGTGTACCATAATATTTCGGAGATCTATTAATCTTACTACTAGTCGCCTTCAAGATGTCATGAAGTCTCAATATGTGTCTATAATCCCTCTCTAATGGTTGACGGCCTAAAAATTTGAGAATAATGTTATTATTAAGTTAAGTAGCTATTGCATCCAATTTCATCGGATAAAATAAACATTCGGCTCCTTATTGATCATAGCATTATGATGAGGGGCTAGAGGAATAATTGATACATACCGAGGTAGATAAGTTTGATTATCCTTTAATTGTTAAAACAAAGTTCCTAATTGATGTAACTCTAGCGGATGGGTTTGCCATAATTATTATTGGTTATGACTCTATCGAAATTAGGGCGGGAGGATTAGATGACTTTGATTTAGTTTTAGCTCATAATAAACGGGGTTTTTCACGTGTTTGATGGACTAAAAGATTCCTTGATGTTGAAGGATCTAGAGGGAAAGGTGTAGTATACTCGGTAAATTATTGTCCTAAATCCTCATTCCTTAATCCCGTGCAACCTTCTAAACCAAATCTTTTCACTTGTTTATCTTTTGAATGCATTGTTATATGAAGTAATGAGAGAAATTCTCTTTGTTTGGTGGCTAACCAAGCCGTGGTGGCATCATAGCCACTAAAATTTGGCAACCTTAGATCAAGGTAGTAAGTCCGAGAAAGAGAATTTTTTTCAATAACATCTATAATTTATCAATTCATTATAATAGACAAATAATTACAACGGTTGAATCATCGCTTTAGTGAGGAAGCAATGGAACTTTTAACTCTTAGTTCAACTTTGGTTCCTAAAAATGCTTATAAAGCTTTTAATATTGATAATATTTGTAATCTTGTGAAAAAAAGCATTAACCTATAGATTTTACATAATATGAAAAAAAATTATTTTGAGATTTCAACTACATAATATTTGACGTACCTTATCATTTAAATTAAAGAACTTAAACTTTATCAAGTGTTGATGGGAGCAGGGAAATCATAGATATTTTATATACTTGATAGATTGTTTCATCTTATGTTGACTCTTTTTATCTATACAACTACTATGGAATGATTATTTTCTACAATGAAATTAGTTAAGACAAGGCTCGTGATAAGATAGAAGATTAATTTTTTGCAAACAGTTTACTTCTTTATATTGAAAAAGAGGTTGTTGAACCTTTTTTACTTTGATTCTATTGTTCGTACATTTAATGTTTTAGGTGAGCGCCAAACGCAATTTTGATAAAAATATGTGATATAAGTTGCATAATTTATTATTTTGTTTTTAATGTTTATTTTTTATTTTTATGTCTTCATATATATATATATAGGATTTATTTGTATTTGATTTATATACTTGTTTGAATTTTTTTGATTAAGAACCTTTATTCTTTTTTTGCTTGATTTAAATGCTTTACTCTTAGTAATTTATTGATCCGGACCCTCCGTTAACTCTTAATCCAATGTGGTAGGTTAAAAATAATGGCAACCAATCATAAAATGTCACGTGGTAGAACAAGTCCCAAAGTCTCAAAGGTTTCTATCTAGAATTAAAAACTAAAATTAGAAGGATTCTTATTATTAAAAAAACAATTAGTGTATACAAAGGAAAGAAAACGAGATAAAACTTCCCTTATCCCATTATCAAAAACTTACAATGATTTTTAAAGCTCTATCTTGATTATCCCGATTTTATGTAGTTTCCATTAGAATATTTTTCTCTTGATCAAGATTTCCTTTCTCCATCTTCGACCTTGTTTCCTATTGAGTAATTTATGTCCGAGAGAAAATTAATTGATTAATTCGATTAGGTAGTGGATTGATCAATAAAAACAAGAAAGAAAAGGGTATTAATTAGGTTTCGAAAGAGACATAGACCAACGGAGAAGGTTGTCTGTAAAGTAAAATAATATAATTATAATTTATGTAAAGCAAATCAATTTTGATCTAAAAACACTATCTCTCTCCCCGCCCATCTTTTTCTCTCGCTTTGTTATAAATGAAAACACTCTTTATCTTCTAATCTTTAAATAAATAAAAAAATCTAATTTTCATCTTCTATTATCATAGAAGGATGAAAATTGGTGATATACGTGATCTGTTCATCATCTTTTCTTATTTGCATCATCTATTTGCGAGTTTAAATTAGTAACCAAACTCGTCCCTTTCAAATATTTTTAAGTTTTATGTTTTCAATTCAATTTTTTATGGGTCTTGTATTTGATTATGTTTTTTTATTTGTTTAATATGAAAGTCAAACTCTATCCTTATGGAATATTTTTAAGTATTTTGTTTTCGATTCTATTTATTTATTGGTTTTGTCCATGAAATGCTTGTCGTTGCTCTATTTCCTTAGATTATTGTATCCCACTTTGTAAGTCATTACTCAATCCCTCTTGTTTGAGTTATTTGTTTTTCATTCTTTTATTGATAAAAAATATTAATATTCGTTGAACTTTTATAGCTCGGAGCCGTTTATGTTTCTCAAAGCTTACACATTAAAAGCCCCGTATATATTAAAGATGGAATTGTTGGTGAGGTACAAGCTACTTAGATAATATAAGAGAAAATAAGAGTATATACATTTAAGCTACATTAAGCTTTCTACTTCGTTTTGAAGTAATAAAGCAAGATGGTGACATTTGACTTGGTTTCTAGCTATTAATTGATCGAGTGAAATTATTGACAAAGTACTTCAAGAATGATAAACTTCTCATTATTAATAGAGAGGTTGTGGTGACATTACCAACTCTATGTGTGGAAAAGGTGATTTGAGGGTCGATAGAACCTTCAACAAAAGGAGTAAATGGATATTGTCGGATTGAAGAATGTTGAAAAAAATGTAGTTCTTGATTTAGGTTGAGAAAAAAGCATAATTTGGGTTGGGATGATGGGATTTTAGTGATTTAGAGATTTAAGAATTTAAAAATTTTGAGATTTAAGGATTGCAAATTTTCGGTTAGAGATAACGAGAGAATGACGAAAAGTATGGAGGAAATAGGGATAAGAATGAGTTTGGTATTGATAATATGGGCGAGAACAATTTCATTCTTTCCCTTTCCTTTTTATATACTAATTTCTTGTTTAATAATAAAAATCTTTTTAATTTTAGTTTTTTTAGATGAAAACCTTTTAGACTTGGAACCCACTATGCCACATGTCCATTTATGATTGATTATTGCTATTTTTAACATGCCATATTGGATAAACGAGTTAATGGAGGGTCCGAATCAATAAATTTATAAGAGTAGAGGATTTCAATTAAGCTGAAAAAAACGTCTCAATAAAAAAAATTCGAACAATACATAAACCAAATATAAAGTATAATATATATAACAAAATAAGTGAATAATAATAGCTATTATAGTTGGCCTTCTAAAAACTTGAAGTCAAGCTCTGCTCTTGATTACAAACACCATTTTATTATTGATATGTCCATTATTTTATCACCTTCCATCCTAACCCTCCAACATCACTATCACCATAACAATAATCACCCCTCACTGGTTGCAGTCTACTACTAACACCATTCGTCACCACCATTTAATTATCTATGTAATCATCATTTCATTAATATTTTCATTGTCATAATCGTCACCGTAGTACAATTACTATCACAACAACAATCACAACCATTAGTTTTCATCTCCACCACCATTTTATTATTGAAATAACCACTATTATAATTATTATTTTATCATAATTATCATTCCTTTTATATTTAGAACAACCATCATCTTATTATTATTAATATAATTGCATTAGCTGTCATAAATACTATCTTTATATTCATCATGGTTATTTATATCATCACCACCACAATTTTTTTCATTTTACTATCGTCATTAAACAAAAAATAATTCATTTGTGGGTAATATATATTCTTTAATTCATCCACATGATAAAAAATAACTCTAGAAAAATACTTTCCGAAAACAAACGAACCTTAAGCTAAGAACCCGCTAGGACCACACACTAGAGCGTACGCAAAAATAAAATAAAATAAAATCAGTGCACCCTATAATAATATCCAAAAGATCACGTGAGACACCACCTGCCCCTATAAAACCTCAACTCCTTCCTTTCACATCACCCAATCAATCTCTCCTTCTCTCTCTCGATTCCTAGGGTTTCAACAATGGCAGACGAATCTCAATACCCTACCGCCACAGACACCACACCACCTTCATCCAATAAGCGCAAATTCGATGACCAAACAGCGCCGCCTCCGTCAACACGGAGGCAAACAGGATTCTCATCTCCGATTTCCGATACCGCTCCACCGCCATCTTACAACAGCGTGCCGCCGCCTGCTGACGAGATCCAGATGGCTAAACTGAAAGCTCAGGAGATCGCCGCTCGTATAATGAGTGGTGCTGGTGCTGATATTAAGCGACCTAGGGTTGAAAACGGCGCTAGTGGGTTTGATTCTAGTGAGAACACTAAGGGATTCAGCTCTGCTCCTCCAGGTTCAATCTCTCTCGATTTTTCTCTTTTTGCATGTATATATATTTATTTGTATTTGTCGATCTGTGCGCTTTCATTTTATGGTATGGTTTGAATTGTACATTTAATTGTTATCGTGTATTTCTTTTATGAAACTCTGTTTTTAATGTTTTGAAGACTTTGATTTTTGTGTAATACTGTCCCTGTCGGCTGTGTCACGCAAGTACTGCTGTTAGGGTTTTGTTTTTCATGGTTTTTGGTAATATATATATTATATGACTTTTGAATTTTATACATAGTTTAACCTTGTTTTTCATTGATTTTGTAAAAACTAAAAAAATATATAGCTAATTTTTTTTTATTCAGCTAAGATGCTGTAGGTATAGCTAATGGTTGTTGAAGTAAGTATATTGTTGCCAGGGTCTTGTGTGTTTCCTTTGTGGTTTTTGATGTTTCAATTATATTTCTTAAGGAATCGTGTGTGTGTGTGTTTTATGTTTATGGTTTCTATTAGAGATCTTTTTTTTTTTTTTTCAATTTGTGGTTGCCAACTTGATTTTGAGCCCTTTTTTTTTTTTTTTTTCTCAAAATGAATAATTTTAGATTCATTGCTTTTTCTTGTCCAGCTGTATAATAAGTGACTCAAGATAATATCAGGTGTTTGATTTGGAATTTCTACTCCTTTTGTTGATTGCCTACAGATATGAAGTCAAACATATCAAACTCAGCCCCTTCATCAATTCCGGTTTCATATGGCTCATACCTGGGTGGTTCTGGTTCGAGTAAAAAAATTGAGATTCCACAAGGAAGGGTTGGTGTTATCATTGGGAAAGGTGGAGAGACTATCAAATATCTTCAGCTTCAGTCTGGAGCTAAAATTCAGGTTACGCGAGATATGGATGCGGATCCCAATTCCCCATGTAGGATGGTTGAACTTATGGGTACTCCGGAACAAATTACCAAGGCAGAACAGTTGATTAATGATGTCCTTGCAGAGGTTGGACACTGGCTTTGCATTTCACCTGTACACATGCTTTTCAGCAACCTGGGATAGTTTATTTTAGTGGTTTTAGGTGTTATTTAGTGATAATCAATTGATCCATGCATTTCTAGATGCAAGTATTTTAGGTTTATGCCATTGATGTTTTCTCATGGTGCACTTTAATGGCTCATTTATTGATTTATACGATTATTTTTCCAACGAGGTCTTCCTTCCTACGAGGCTACAACTATAATTTTTTTTCAGTGGCTTATTCATTGCTTTATACTATTATTTTTCCAATGAGGTTTTCCTTCCTACAACTAGATTAAAAAAAAAAAATTGTTTGTAACTAAAATTTTGTTAATGGTACTTAGTGGTGAATGTTTTATTGTCCAGGCTGATGCAGGGGGTTCTGGTACAGTTTCACGAAGGTTTGCAGGACAAGGTGGCTCTGAACATTTTGCATTGAAGATTCCCAATAATAAGGTGTGTGAATATTTGCAGTTAGCATTTTTGTTGCTATTTGTGGTGTTTGGTTCAGGGTAGTTTGTGATGCACAATGAATTCAGGTTGGTCTGGTTATTGGCAAAGGTGGTGAGACAATTAAGAACATGCAAGCTAGGTCAGGAGCCCGTATTCAGGTTTGTTTTCTGAATCACATCTTCACCTTTTCTTAAATAAAAAAACCCATCTCCATGTCTTCTTTTTGATGTCATCATTATTCTTCAGAAGAGATGTATTTCTCTTGAAGTTTGTTCCTTTGGTTTTTGGTAAATTGGTTATCTTTCATGCTATCTATTAATCTCATTGAGTATAATTCTCAGTTTTCATTTACTCAGCTTATTATTTTTAACTTCTGCAGGTTATACCATTGCATCTGCCCCCAGGTGATACATCTGCAGAAAGGACAGTCCACATAGAGGGGACCAGTGAGCAGGTCGAGACTGCGAAACAGTTGGTTAATGAAGTCACCAGTGAGGTATGTTTGGTTGTTGATGTTTGTTTGTGGAGTTGGCCCCGAGGAACTCCTATGTTTTGTTGTGTTGGAACATAGAACTTACGGGAAACAGTTCAATATGCATTTACATGACTCTTTTTTTGATAGCTGTTTCTATTTGCTTTTTTTTTTTTGGTACAGGATTAGTGATTTGGTTGTTACTATGTGATTAGAAATTTTTTCATTCTGTTATGCTATTATTTTTTACAATATAGATTCTTGATCATGATGCAATACACAAATTTCTATTCAAACGGTAAGAAATTCTGGCATTCCTGGTAATCCTCTCTTATATCATGCTCCTCCTTTAGGGTTTGGGTATATATTTTGGATTGGTCTTGTTATATTGGATGTTCCAGTGCAGGTTAAAAGGGGATTCTTATTGTTTGTCTGGTAAAATATCTCGCATTAAATCATTTGTGGCTTTTCTTTTTTATAATGTTATACATCATCCTTGAAATATTTCCAAACATCTTTTGGATATCTTCAACTTCATAATATAGTCTGGATTTTGCAAATCTCCTTTTTTCTTCACAAGTCAAATAGTTTTTGCTTTGTTACCACTTTCTAATTGTGTTTCTATTTGTATATTACGCAGTTCATCAGAGCATCTGTTTTAGACTTGTGTTGTTTGTTTAGGTTGTTTTCTGAGTTCTTCAATTAATTTTTCATTATGAGCTTGGACCATATCTCGAAATTTATTCTTGTGTTGTTCAAGGAACTTTGTCCGCCTTTATAATGAAGCAAATCATTTTTGTCCTTCCCTTTCCTTTGCAAATTTCGTGGGAAGAAGCTGATTTAACTTTTTTATTTATCCTTCAAAGTCAAATCAAATTTCATAGGTATGTTTTTCGTTATTGTCATATCGTTATCCTGAATACTTATAAGCACTGCTTGGGACATAAGCATATCAATTGTTGCTATTTACTTGTTGGATTATTAAGATTCAGATTTGCAGGCTGCTTTTGCTTGTTTTCCCTCTTGGCATGTATATGCTTAGCTGATTTTTTTTCCTTGGCTCTAACTGAACTCTTGAAGGGGAGTGTTGACTGCGCAATGCTAACTATTATGATATCTATTCTTGGCTTGTTCATTAATGTTTTTACTGGTTTATAGTCCAATTAGGAATTGGATGCCATTCAATTTGTACTGCTCAGTATACATCTGGATTTTTTATGGACCAACTTGATAGAGAGACTATAAGCCATTACTGTTTTCCGGTTGCAACTGCTTCAGTTTCTTATATATACGTAGTTAGCGTCTTCTTACTATATCTCTTGAGGTGGATGGTGGATATATGGTTTAAGGCTGTGACAGAGGTTTATTTTGAAACGTTGAAGTGCCAAGCTGTTGAGAGTGATTACAATTGTCATCAAGCTGTTAGTACTGTTTTAATCTATTGGATCTTCAGTGATACAAGGTCTTATACTTCTCCTGCTTAGGTTGGTAAGCACCGTAAAGGCTTCCTTAGCCAATGATTATTTGAGCAAAATATTTGGTCATTCTTGGTTGTATTCCCAAGTGAATGGCTTTTGGATATAGCTTGTTCTGCCGCCATATGTGCTTATTGATTGTGTCATATGACTGATATTGTTATTGGGAACTATTGTAGGGTTAGGGTTGTTGGAATTTTGGTGACACCAACATGGATTCCTTTGTGTTGGTGTTTCCCTCGACATTGCCCTGGTATGGTTCTGAATCCTATTCTCTAATATTTAGTAAATGATATTTGTGGAGAGGAGCTGCAAGTTTACTTGTGAAGGAGATGCTCTTTTAGCTTGGATTACTTGGTATTGGATCATGAGCCTTTGGGGTAATTTCATTTGTTAAAGATTTTCCTCTAGTATCCTGGAGTGTTTGACTTTATGGTTATTATGGCAATAACTATTATGTTATCTTTGGTAGTTTTGGACTTTTCTTTTGAAAAATGGAAGTTTGAAGATACTAAATGTTCATTTTATCTATATTTTCATCTGAGTTGAACACCGTTTTTTTAGTGATATCCTTGGCAGTTCTGATGAATTTGTTTCTGTTATGAATAATGTTATTGGTATAGTCCCTAACAGTTACACTTGAGTTATTTAGTAAGTTGTATGGCATTATATTCTTTCTGATTCTTGCTTTTCCAATGTGGACTCCAAGCCTCTTGTGGTGCCTCCTTATTCAAGGGTATTTGGTTGTTAAAGAATCATACGTGTTGAGATCGCATTTACGCATTCTGTTGCTTTTTGCCATCGCACGCAGAAGATCTGCCTCATCTTGCCTTCCTTTCTCGTATCTTTCTGGAAGGATTCACATGCATTCAGTTTGCATATTTGTGAAATACTTTTTTTCTAGTTAACGACTTGTTTTGAAGCTAATTAGACTGCTTTCTATTAAGCATTTTCCTTTAGGGTGATAACTATATGTAGTTACTAATTTTTTAAGATTACCATGGTATCCTTGCACTTTCTATCCTATAGCTCCTTGAAAGATGGCACTGTTATAGGTTCATTTAATTCAGTGGATGCATCATTGATAAGACCATGTCCAGTTTCCATAGATAGGGTACTTGGAAGGATGCATATCAATAAATATGCATCTCTCTTTCTTATTGTGCTATAGCTTGTATAGTATTTGTGGATATTTCTTTTGTACCCATTTACTTCAAGTAGGGTGAGGTTGGGCTTCTGCTGGAGTAACTCAATAATTCCTCCAACCAAGAACGGTATGTAGGCATTCATACCTCTTCCTGGTAAAATATGAGATCCATTAATCCCTGAATTGGACCTACTTGTTTAGTAATGTTTTATGCAGATTTTTATATTTTTCTCATTTTAGCTGTTTTCATGTTCATTTATGTACGTGCATCCTGTGTTTTGCAATATGTGGTTCGCAATGCATTTTCTCAAGTTCGCCTTGGTTATATGAAACACCAATTTTCTGCAGAATCGTATGAGGAATCCAAACATGGGTGGAGGTTATCCTCAGCAAGGATATCAAGCACGACCACCTACAAACTGGGGCCAGTCTTCAGGTCCACCAATGCAGCAAGCTGGTTATGGCTACATGCAGACTGGAGCATATCCTGGTGCATCAGCACAGTATAATATGTCTCAGCCAGCTTATCAAGGCTACCCGCCCCAACAACCATCCGGTGGATACCCATCTAATTGGGACCAGTCAGCAAATCAGCAAAATCAGGGTTATGATTACTATAGTCAGCCACCTTCATCTCAGCAACAAACCCCTGGTGGTTCTGCAGCTCCAGCTGATAGCACTGGTTATAGCTACAGTCAGGCACCAGCTTCTGGTTATAACCAACAAGGGCAGGGTTATAGCCAAGATGGCTATGGTGGGTATCAACAGCCTGGGTATGGTCAGCCACCACCGTATGATCAACAGCAAGGTTATACTTCTGCTCCTAACTATAGCAATGTGGCTAACCCAACTCAGGAAGGACATACTGCTTCATATGGAGCTCAAGGAGATTCAGCTCAAGCGCCATCTCAGCCATCTGCAATGGGACAGCAAGGTTATTCTACTGGCCAGCAGCCTAGCCCGAACCCAGCAAGTTATCAATCTCAGGGCACTGCTCAGCCTGGTTACGGAGTACCCCCATCTTCCCAAGCTGGCTATGGGAGTCAACCGCCTGCACATTATGGGAGCTATGGAGCCCCTCAATCACAGAAACCTCCAGCCAATCCTCCTGTATATGGGCAGAGCCAACAGTCACCTAGCACTCCTGTAGGCTATGGCCAGCCAGCTGGACAGCCAGGATATCCACATTCCCAGCCACCGCCATCTGCTTATGCTCAACCTGATTCAGGTTCCCAACGTGCTCCACAATCCAGTTATGGTGCCACAGGGGCTCAGCCAGGGTATGCTCCTCCTTATGGTGCACCACCAGCTGGCCAACCAGGTTATGGACAGGTGCCTCCACCTTACAACGCCTCTTATGGTAGTAGTTACTCCCAGCCTGCTGCATATTCTGCTGATGGCAGTGCAACCAACAATGCTCGTGGGACATATGAAACAGCACCAGTATCACAGACTGCTCAACAGAGTGGAGTTGCTAAAGCATCACCACAAAGTTGATTTGTGTTGTTGGATGATCTCATTTCGATGCTGGTGAATGGGGGTTTATGTACTACTAGCCTTAGATGTAGACGGGTTTTGTAGTGCTTTAAGATGTGAAGCTCAAATTTTTTGTGTTTTCTTTTTCTATTTTGGCCTTTTTGAATTTGTTATTTTGGATGTTTATATTATTACACTCTTGCAAATACTGTCTCCTGTTATCTTTTGGCTTTCAACTTTAGCATGCCTCATGGATTGCTGACTGTCATGTGAGCAAAACCGTCTGAAACCTTTTAGTAGTTATTTCTACGAAGTTTACGTTTTCCCTGTTTGTTATGCTATGCTATTCCGTTTTACGTAGCGATGATTTCCAAAGCTCAAAGAAAATTGGAATTCATACTTGGGAGTTAAGCTTTCAATCTTTCAAGCACTTGTGTGTTTTTTCTTCCATCAATTGCGTGCCTTGAGCTAACTTTGGGTGGTACGTTGATAGAAAAAACACAATGTGCCAAGTTATCGCTTTGGAGTTTCGTATTTCGTGAGCTAACTGATTCCCAATATGATCGAGGCACCACGATGTGGGTTTGAGAATGGCCATCGGAAGGAAGGACGATAAGCTTGGTGGCAAGTAGGAGACGAACTTTGGCCTAAGAAGATAGTTGTTTCTTGAGTTGTGGTATGGAGAATTGTCGAAGCAAGTATGGATCAAGAAGCAGACTAGGAAGTTTTGACGCATAATAATCCAATACTGAGAGATTGGAGAACAACTTTGATAGTTCATGGGATCCTTTTCTTTTTCATTTAAATCAGATTTTGAACCTTCGAGGTTTTGATGGGTGGATTTGTGTTGGAGCACCAAGCGATGCGTGAAGAAGCAATTCAAACCCAAAAAAGTCCTCCGGTGCTTACAACTGTTCGCTGGGCTTTAAAATTGAACTGGTTCACTGCAACCAACCAAAATTACACTGTTCAAGGGCCCACATTGAAAATTATACTAAAAAAACAAAACAAAAAGAGAAAAAAAGGAGAAAATAACATATATCAAGGGTGTAGTGGTCGATGCAAGCCACCGTATCACATTCACAGTGCGGTATTTCCAGCGGATCAACAAAATCAGAGACCCGACCAAAGCTTAAAAACCTACCCCCGCTCTCTCTCTCGCTCTCTCATCACGAACAGTAGAGATATTGAGGTATTGAAATTTAGCTCTCTATAATCTAAAAACTAATCTTGATTCTTCTTTTTTTACAAAAAAAAATATTCTTTTTTCTTATTTAGATTTTGCGTTCTCCTATTAAATATTGCGTTTAATTTTACATTAAGATCTGACATATTTTATTTTTGTATGACACTTGGGGAAGTAATGGCATCAAAGCTAGTTCAGTTGCAATCCAAGGCTGCTCAAACCTCACAGTTTGTGGCTAAGCATGGTTGTTCTTATTACAGGCAGTTGCTTGAACAAAACAAGCAATATATCCAGAACCCACCCACTGTTGAGAAATGTAATCTTTTGTCCAAGCAATTGTTTTACACCCGCCTCGCCAGGTTGCTTTTCTTATCTAATTGCCTAATTGCCTAATTCATCGAGTGTTTCTACACTACACTGCTAATTCGTTGGGTGTATTTTATAGATTTCGCAAGGCCAACAAAACAAAATTTTGAACTATTATTTAACTTCAGAATATGCAGCTGGCTGTTTTTAATGGTTAAATTTTGGTTCAAATAACCCAACTCAATTGTCTACTTAAGCTTTGTTTTGGCTTGTTTGTGTTGCATGAATTTAGGCCGTCTGGGACTGGGAGGGATTAATGTCATAATATAAGTAGTTGATTGTCATTGAATATTTTAGTCTTTGGAACAGTTTTTGATAGCTTAATGGGTTCACATGTTTATATCATGTTGTGTCATTTCTGCGACCATTTCTATGTGTGAATTGCCTCGTAAGACCAGCTAATTGTAATGGGCACTAAGAAAGAATTATGCTATTTAGTGTTTCAAGTTTGTTGCCAATACTTTGCTGGTCTAGTAATTCTGTAATTAGGATATTTCATTCTAGTCAGAATTTGACCTGCTTTCTCATTCAGTAAACATTATCTTTCCTGCTTCTATATGGATGCATTTTGAGGGCACTAGTTAACTACCTAAGAACTTTACTGGTTACTTCTGAATGAACTATGCTTTTGACAATCCGCTTCTTTTGGATTCGAAACAATGGAGTTGAGTGGTCCATTGTCGAGTAGTTGGTGGCGGCTTGTTTAAGGTTAGAATCATTAGTGATATTTCTGTGTCTTGCTGATTCTTGAAATATTGAGATTTATTAGTGTGTGCCATTTATTCTAGAACTGTTGTTAAACTAGGAAATGGTGTTGTATTGGAAATGAATCTTGAAAGAGTTGATGGAAGGTTGAACCTGCTGTGGATTTGTGACATTCAAAATAGAACAGTTTGATATTAGAAAATCAACAATTGAATGGAGAAGTGGACAGTGTGTTCAAAACTTCAATTCTTTCAACAAGAGAATTGTACGCATTTTCAATTTTTCTTGTAGGAAGGTCTTGTAATTGTGTCTCGCTATTACCAATTAGCTTATACTTGTTGTCTGGTTGACATTCATGCACTGTTGTGTTTGACGCATGCTTTTATTATTTCTAGATTTGATTGATACATGACTGAATTGTGACTTTTTGAATGCAAGATGGAATGTAAAACAATGCAATATTCGTTGTACTCTTCTCATATTAATGTGTTTTTAAATACCCTGCACTGATGTTCTTAGTGCAGAAAGTGAGAATGGTAATCACTAAGATAATATTCTAAATCTTTCATTTATGTTCTAAAGACTGAACAGAATATCATGAGAATTGTGACATACAATTTGAGTTTTTATATAAGTAAATAGTTATTGACAGTAGATTCCATAAATAGTGTTTGCAAGCAATAAATATGACCCTGAAAATAAAAGGGGTGGTAGTTTTTATCAGCAAATATTCCATAGAATTTATTCAAATTGGTGATATATATTAGCAAGCAAAACATGTTCCTCTTCTTCAAAAACATTTGTGTTTGCTTAGTTTGAACTAGCATACTTCTCATCAATTGGTAGACAATTACTTGGACATTACAATATTTTTCATCTTACTAATCCATCCATTTTGGGTATGTGAAACAGTATTCCTGGGCGTTATGAAGCATTCTGGAAGGAGCTTGATTCTGCCAAGCAACTGTGGAAAAACAGGAAGGAATTGAAGGTTGAGGAGGTTGGCATTGCTGCTCTGTTTGGGCTGGAGTGCTTTGGATGGTTTTGTGCGGGTGAGATTGTTGGTCGAGAGTTTACATTTACTGGTTACTATGTCTAAGTCTGCAATAAGTAGTTACATGCCCTTGGAGTTGAACCGATAAATCTTGAAAATTTTTCTTCATCCTCTTCTCCTCCATCTTGTTGTCAATCGACCAAGTATACATACTAAATTTGCTATCCTGCATAAAAATTGAGATAGGAAACTCATTTCAGCAATGATTTTCCTTTTTCTTCTTGCATTTTCTCATGGATCTAGAGCCGTCACATGCTCGTCATTACTTGTGGTGCAATATCTTATGAGCAGTATTTTTTTTTAAGGAAAAAAAAAGATGGGGAGGGGATGATCCTAACTCTTCCAGCACATATTTGAGATTGCATGACCATGGTTTCAGGAAGGATTAGTGCCATATACTGGAGGGAGCAGTTTTGGTCAAAACTTTAGCACCCTGAAGTTGATTTTTCTTCAGTTTGTGTACTTGAGCATTTGCGGCTTCATTGGGTAACTGATACCATCAGTCAAATCATATTGGAAAAACTAGTTTAATTGCCTTCATTTGTGTCTAGAATATGATGGTTTAAAGCGATTGAATTGTCTCTCCAATATTGTACATATCACTATAACATTCTTATATGAGAGGTAAGTGAGGAAGTGGATTTATTATATGGATTCAATTTTAAGCCAATTACCAATGTCTAGTAGTGAGCTTTTTGTAGTTGTAAGAGGTGACGGGTTTTATTATTATTATTATTATTAGTTTTTAGAGTATTTGAGTTTAAAAAAGCTCCATTACAAGAGAAGGGCAAAATAGCTCTTCATCATTGTAGTGGTGGCGTCATGGTAATACGACCTCCTTTGTAAAATATGGAACCAGAAGCAAAATATTGAGAGTTGAGGTTCAGGAAAACCCAGGAGAAGCAGGGGCTAGAGGTTTAATTACTCAACGAGTCCTTTCCAATTTTGGTTCGGATTTACAAGCCCAAACAAATTGGAAAGGACTTGTTGAGTAATTAAGGGATTGTTAGTTATCCTTAAAGTTTGGTTTGGGCTTGCAAACCCAATAAATTAGAGGTTGATATTTTTTGGATGAGCAGTGTATGAATTATGGACTTCTGAAATTATCTAAGTAAATAAACATGAAGGATAACTTTCCAAACAAATAGGAAATCTAAATCACATAAGAAAAATAGGTAATCTAAATTGAAGTGGACAGTAACCCAAATTGCATAAGAAAATTCAGCCCTACTCAATTAACTAGAAAATTTGGCTTCATAAGCATGGTTAAGTTGAATGGGCCGCACTCCCATGTCAAGCACTCAGGGTTGACAAAAACTCGCTCCTAGTTTTGATCCATCCTTTTTGCGATCTCTTGGATGTCCAATCAAACTATTCAGCCCCTGTAATCCAGCCCCTCTCCTTATTACAGTCCTTAGGTTAACCATGTCTGCTCCTTCGCGTAGTCCTTCTTTCTAGCTTGTTGTCTTTGTGCTTGTGAAATCTCGCAGCACAATTGAATATCGTCGAGCAACAAGATCGTTAGAAGTAATTATCCATGTATCCCATAAAGTGATGACAACACCAAAGAGAGGAAGATTAGAGATTAGGCTGCAATCTAGAGTAAGATCGAAAAGCTGTCAACCCTCATCCTTTTTTATTTTTCTTGAATGCAGGGCTGATTTCTTATATCGTTATGCATTGAATTAAACTCCAGCTATTTGTTAGGCCATATCCTAGAAAGACGTTTGGAGTAGCTAGAAAAATGATTCGAGCTAGTTCAGATAGCAAATTAGGCCATATCCTAGAAAGACGTTTAGAGTAGCTAGAAAAATGATTCCAGCTAGTTCGAATAGCAACCTTTAAAAGGGCTTGTGCCTTAGGAACTGGGTCCTTGTGACCATAGCCATGAAAAATTAAAGGCCCTAAAATGTGAGCATGAAGGATGGTAGGCTGGTTAGGAATGTCCACAGACTTTTTCCCATAAAAGGTAGATAAAAAGGATGATTGGACCAATAAACGATTACGAGGTGGAATTGAATCAAGAAGCAAATTGGTTTGCACAGCAGTTGTAGTGGTAGTAAAAATAAGAAGAGAAGACCTTTGGCCTTTGGATTTGAAGGAAGAGGACGAGCTTTGTTTCTTGGAGGCCATTAATTTGCAAAGAAAATACAAAGACTAGAAGTCAAAGGAAACCTTAGAAAATTATGGAAGAAATGGTGATTGCAAGTTGCAAAAAGAAGAAACAAGAGGGGTGTAAAATGATGGGACTCACAATAAATGTTGTCTTTATATAGGTTTGCCATAATTTAGTTAATAGAAGGCGAAAAGACCAAATAAAATGGGTAAATTCAGAAATACTCGTTACACTTTGAAAACCGAAAAGTTTAGTATTTAAACGCCAAGAGATATTTCTTTCCACTTGTAAAAAAAGCTTTTACATATAGAAAAAGATGAGGTAAAACATGATATGAGAAAGAAAGAGAACAACTATTATTTTTTAAAATTTAAAAAATGACTTATTGAGTGTTTAGGAGAATGTCGTACCTAAAGTTTGGTTTGGGCTTGCAAACCCAACAAATTAGAAAAGTAAAGGGTTAACCATAAAGGGTTGACGTAGCGGTAAGGACTTGGTACCAAGGGGTTTGCTTTTTACGTGGTCTCGGGTTCGAGTCCCGATTGCTCTCTTTGGTGGCCACCGAAGGCTTACATAATCGTTAACTTCGGGGCCCGTGGGATTAGTCGAGATGTGCGTAAGTCGGCTCGGATACCGCGTTATGAAAAAAAAAAAGAAAAGAAAAGTAAGGGGTTGATATTTTTTGCATGAGAAGTTTATGAATTATGGACTCTTGAAGTTATATAGGTAGATAAACATGAAGAATAATTTTTCTACCAAACATGAAAAAATTGACTGTTGATGACATAAAAATAGCAAAAAGTAAGCACTAATTTGCCACGATAACAGCAATTGCAAAGGAACATGAAGCATTGCAAGACAACGTGGGTGAGGGCAAAAGGTCATAGAGCATTGTAAAAGAACATAGGAGGACCGAATGACTATAAATACAAGATGTAACAAGAAGAAGAAAAAAACATACATACACAAACACATGCAAAAATAATAAGACACTCTCAAAACGCTTTTACAAGTTCCAGAGCGTTTAAAATTTATGAGACAATAGCTTATCTAGCTTATAAGCGGGAATTAATGTAGGCAGTAACAAAAGTAGGCTGATGATAAAGTGACTTTGATCTCACTCTGCAACCCAATTCATGTCTGTAATCCTCAAGCCTTGAATTTCTGTACGAACATCATGTCTAGAAGAAAATTCTAAGTCTATAAATAATTTTTTTTTTCAATGAATGTAAGTTATTTTTTAAACTTTATATATAGTTAAGTTTTCTACCATACTTTCTTAGTTTATATATTGTTTGATTTCAAAGTTAATAGCATAAAATTATGTTTTTTTTTTTTATTGTAAAGAAACATGGGAAAGTTTAAATTATTAGTTTATGTTGATCATTTCTGTGAATGATAAACCTTATGATTTGCATCCCAACTTGTTTGGGTAGGCTGCAAACTTTACCTAGATTTTGCAAACTAATTTGAATTTATTTAATTTAGTTTTATATTAGAGAAAATGCCAAAATTATCTTTAGAATAAGTATAAGAGTACATAAAATAATAAATTTAATTCATAAAAACTCGAATTTGGAAATTAAACTGCCTTGTATAGCGCTGTCCAACCAATCAATTTATATTACTTTTTTTTTTTTGTTACAAAGTCCTTGACAACCAAGGAAGTATAAAAGAATCTACAAAACTGTACCTCAGTAAGGGCTGAGCCATGGGATATCAGGATCGGTTCAGACATGGCGTTGAAGCAAGGTGTGAGAAAAATAATTATGGAGACTCACTCCTAGGTAGTCTTGTCTTCTTCACAACTACAATGTACAATATAGTTCAAATGAACCTCTTATATGTCAAGTTAAAAGAATTTAATGGCTAGATAATTGGAAGTTAAGGTTTAACACGTGTATAGAAGATGAAACGTTTGTGTAGACAAGCTTTCAAGCTTGGTTGCCATAGAAGATGAAATGTTTGTGTAGACAAGCTTTCAAACTTGGTTTCCATGAATGGTTAATTTTAGAAATTTTCGTTTTAACACAATGATGAGAAAAAAATAAAGAAAGTAGTTTGTTAGAATATATTGTAATATTCTCTCAAATATTACATTATGTTAATTTAACCTTGTAATTCATCTTCGGGAATTACTAATTGATTCTCAAAATCATATCGATTTTATTTTCAATTGTTGGCAACATGGGCCTAATAAAAAATACGACATCATCATCATCTTTAGAAAGAGCAACCAAGTTTATTAAATACATGTTTTGAGAATTCATGTTATGTTTTGGAAATGAATTAATTAGTTTTCCTAGTTTTCAAAATTTAATTAATTATTTTTTTTAAATTTATTTTTTAACCATTATGTAGTATTTTGATAGTGAAACTATAAAAGAGATGGCAATCTCAAGGGCAAGTTAGTCAATGCCAGGAGAAAGAGGTGAAGGAAGAGATGATAAGTTTTTTTTTTTTTTTTCTAGAGTTTTAAGGGTACATGGTGCAAGTGCATTACCTGACTTCGTTTAGACATGCCTCGATTTAGAATGGACTTTATATTCGGCCAATGCATGTGCCTAATAAAAAAATATACATCTTTAAAACAACAATCGGGTTTATTAAATACATGTTTTGATAATTTATTTTCTATTTCAGAAACAAATTAATTAGTTCTCTTTGTTTCAAAAAATAATTATTTAATTCTTTTTATTTATTTTATGTTTTTTTTTTTTTTTAATTTGTTTTGTTTTCTTAACCATTACTTGGAGTATTTTGATAGCGAAACTCTAAAAGAGATGACAATCTCAAAAGCAAGTCAGCCAATACTGGAAAAAGGAGGTGACTGGAGATGATAAGGTTTTTTCATAGGATTTTTAGGATATATAGTGTGAGTGCATTACTTGACTTCGTTTAGACAGACCTCAATTTAAAATAGACTTTATATTGATCCAATGCATGGGCCTAGTAAAAAATAAGACATTATTTCTATAAAAAGGAACCAATTACACTAGAAACCCAAAATCTTTCACCGAAAAAACTTTCCATATAGTGCATACTACACTTGAAACCCAAAATCTTCAAGAGTTTTTTACTCTTTCGATCTCTATAAAACTTGAAACTCTCTCATTGACTCGTCTTTTACTATCGTATGTTGTTCGGCTGATGGAATCTTATTCTGGAAGGTCGGTGGCTTAGGTCAGATCATGGACGTAAATTTACACAACGGCGTTACCGTAGGATAATTGAAAACGAATACCGAGGCAATGCAATATTTGAGAACTTGTCGGTTGATCTCTGTTAATTACGAAATGATAGTGTTTAGTCACTATGACAAATTTATATTATAAATTAACCCATTATTTTTGAAAAAAATTACAGATTATGTTCTTTTACCTATAGTGACGAAACTCCATAGGGGTTTTTATAGGACTTTTTGAAAAAATAAAAACATCTTTCAGCTATAAAATAAAACTTTGTATGGAAGATCATTGGATACTGACATTATAGAGTCACAATTAATTAATTCTCCACTGCATGTCTTATGAAATTAGAAACCCCTCCTTTGTCGCTACCCAAGCATTCATGGGTTATTTTTATAGACTTGTTCGATGTCATAGATAGTTCGGTCGTGAGTTTTTGATAGAGCATGCGACCTAAACCATGAAAGTAATCTCAGAGCCTATAGACCCATTAAGCCCATTTTAAGTTGTCAAGTTGACGATCTCTGATAGCAATTTTTATAGAATGACCTACGTCCCTAATGAAAATAATATCAAAATCATAGCCATTTTCGATGGGGGCTCGTGGGAACACACGAGAAAATGAGTCATCACCTAGCTAATTAGGAAGAATTAAAAAATTCTAAACAAATTGATCTGCATAGATATTTGGATGATGGATTGGTTACGTATGGAAAAGATATAAGATTATCATCATACAATTGCATTGTTTATATGCGAAAACAAAAGTCTAGTTTTACTATGTAATGTTTTTATGTCCATTTGAGTGAATTTGTTTTTTCGAGATGCAATAGCGAAGTAAGTTGGAGTTCATGCTGATCCAAAGTCAATATCCACACTCAAAAGAGGAAAGATGGATAGGAATTGAAATTTTGGCTAAGACCTTAATGACTATAAATCTATATTGATAAAAGATGAATCTATTAGGATTACGGCTCATATCGATATAATTAAGAAAAATACCAACTACTTTTTCTATATAAATAGGAAATCACTTGACAATTTCAATTCACACAAGTAAAAGAAAAGGGAGTCCTTGGTGACTCCATTCACACAAGTGGGATACCACAAAAAAAAAAAAAAAAAAATCTTCTAAATGAAATATAAATAGTGAGTCCTTCACAATTGTAACCTATAAAAAAATCATTAAAAAAATAACGAGTCTTTTGTGACTGCAGTTCATAACGAGAGAATGCTTTGTCAAAATAAAAATAGTGAGTTTTTTGTGACTCAAGTCCATTAAAAAAATCATTTGGAAAGAAAATAACGAGTCCCTTGTGACTCCATCCCGTAATAGAGAAATTCTTTCGGAATAAAAGTGTCAAGTATGTTGTGACTTAAGTCCATAAAAAAAATTATTTGGAAAGAAAATAACGAGTCCCTTATGACTACGGCCCACGATAGAGATGTTCTATCGAATAAAAGTGTTAAGCCTTTTGTGACTCAATCTCATATAAAAAATTATTTGAAAAGAAAATGGCAAGTCCTTTGTGATTGTAGCCCGTAACGAGAGATGTTACGTAAAAAAAAAAAATTGACAAGTCTTTGTGACTCAAGCCCATAAAAGAAATCATTTGAAAAAAAAGTGATGAATCTCTTGTGATCTGCAGCTCGCAGCGAAATGTTCCGATCAAAATAAAAATGATGAGTCTCTTGGGACTCGAGCCCATAGGAAAAATCATTTGGAAAGAAAGTAGCAAGTCCCTTGCGATCGTAGCTCTTAACAAAAATATTACGTCGGAATAAAAGTGACGAATCTTTATGACTCGAGCCCATAAAAAAAAAATTTGAAAAGAAAATGACAAGTCCTTTGTGATCGCAACCCATGATAAAAAAAAATTTTGTAGTAATAAATTTTCAGCAACCATAAATCAAATAAAAATGTTTCGGGAGCAACCGGTAGCTTCCTCCACATAGGTGGGAAGCCACGGACAATCTCGTTTGAATGAGTAGAAAATGAGTAATATGATTTCAAAACCACTTATGGCTTCATCACATAAGTGGAAAGCTACTAACGAATTCATTTCAGCGGTCGAAATTAAATAAATATGGTTTGGATATGTATATTATGCATTCAACACATCACAACCACATATACCAAATCATAACACAAACAGCATCATCACATAAATATGTAAAAAATAGAGATCAACATTTATCCTAAATCCACATTTGACATTAAATCTCAATCCTAATCCTCCAAACTCCATCATAGAGCATTGATCACTAATTCTATTTCACCTCGGAATGTTCGTTTCCTTCGACCATTTCGGGTTTGATACACAACGATGTATCTAATTACTCTTTGAGTTTTGTTAACAAACATAATCAAAACAATATTCATTTCATTCATTTAGAAATAATAAAACCATAGAAAAAAAATATGAAAAATTTCATCCGTAATTTAAAATGGTGCAATTATTTTGGAATTGTTACCCAAAATATTTTGAAAGGTTTTGAATTTATCCAAGAGTTTGATTTAGGTTAGTTCCACTCTCTTTGTCTCCGATGAAAGCCGATTGTTCGGTTAGTCGGGGAAAGAGAGCAACTACTCGTTGTCAATGATACAACTGTCGTGAGAGTTATTATTGCTATCAAAGTTACTGTAACTTGTCAAAGTTATTATCATTGCCAAAGTTATTACAACCGAGGGAGACTTGGCGATAATGGGATTGTTACCTACATATCATGTTGTTTACGCTAAACTCAACAATCTAAACAAATAAAAAAAAAGAGGAAAAAAAATCCTATTTTGAGACATTGTGTTTGTATCAAATTGACAAATTATATTATGTGTAAATAATTTAATAAATTCAAATTTATATTCGTCATATTTAAATAATTTTGATACGACTAACTTTAATTGTTAATATAAATCTATGTAACATACAATTTTGACTAAAATACTCCTCCTAATTTTGACTTACTGTATTATCATATGGAACTCATGCGAGTCTCTCATAAAATGCTCCACACAAAATTTATGCAAAAAAAGAAGAAGAAGAAGAAGAATTTGTAATTTTTACTTGTTTTAAATTTTTTTTTTAATTCTTCTAAAAATTAAAGATAAACATCTTGATTAAAATCATGTTGTACATGACAAATATTTTCCAACACAACAAGTTTTAAGATAAAAAATAAATTTTTTATAATAAATGAAAACAGTTGGATTGAATTGTCTAAATATAAGTATCGTATAATCGAATCTGCAAAATTATTTACTCAAAATTCAAATTTAGTATTCTGTTGCCAAAAACCTTCCAAATTGGGTTTTCCGAAAGGCCAAAAAAAAAAAAAAAAAAAAGTTAAAAATTGACATATGGCAAGGGTTCAGTGGTGTTAGCGTAAGACAGCGGAATAGAGTCACAGCAGAGTATTTCAACCAGATCCAAAGAAAGTTACAGTGCCGACCCAAACCCGAACTTAAAACCCTACTACCCTCTTTCTCTATCGCGCTCTCATCATCAACAACAGAAGAGAATAGAGGTATGAAACTTAGCGCTGTATAATCTGCAATGCTTTTCTTTTTCTCGATTCATTCATTTTCTTTAGATTTTGGATTCCTCTATCAAATCAAATCTTGCTCTTAATTTCACATATTAAACATCATTTGCCGTTCTTACTTGGTTTTGACTCATTTGCTTATGTTTTTTCTCTCATAGAATTACTGATTGGTTTCTAATTTGAAAACCTAAATTTAATTTAATGATTAAGTTATTCTTTCGCTAAGATCTAAATTTGATTGTCGCATATTTTATTTTGTGCAATTTCGGATTAGGTTAGGTAACTCGTAATGGCGTCAAAGCTAGCTCAGTTGCAATCCAAGGCTTGTCAGGCCTCAAAGTTTGTGTCTACTCATGGTGGTGCTTATTACAAGCAGTTGTTAGAAAAGAACAAGCATTATATCCAGGAGCCACCCACTGCTGAGAAATGCGATCTTTTGTCCAAGCAATTGTTATACACTCGCCTAGCCAGGTTCGTCTCTCTTTCTCCCATCCATTGCCCGCCATCAACTTATTGCCCGCTGCGACACTTCATAGTTTTTTAAGTTATGATATTTGTTTCTCTTATTTTGAGTAATGGGGATCTCTCGTTTTAAATACCTTGTAAATGTCGTGAATTGTTTTGTTACCTAAGTGTTGCAAATGCTGATGAAATTTGAAATTATCGAGACTCTTGGGTCATGTTGCTATTTAAGCTTAATTGTGAAATTTGGGATCAGATGTTCTGTCTGATCTTAACCAAAAAGTCCGGATCTGTTTGGACTTGTTTGCTTTGCATTTCACTCCTAAATTAAGCTGATGTATGGAATCAACTAATATAGTAGTGTTGGACCAGCTTAATTTGTAAACATGTTGTGTCTTTTGTGTGCATGCACATGTATGTGTGTCCTTTCGAGTTGGGTTGATTACACTAGTTAGCCAACCAATGGTTGTAGGTCCTGATAAAGGATTGGACAGAACTTTAGTGTCATATCTCATTCAGGGAATGTCTTCCTGCTGCTATAAGAATGCATTTTGAGGGAGTGAACTGCCTAAGAACTTTGTAAGTTACCTTTTAAACGAATGTGCCTTTAACTATTCACTTACTTGGACTTACAAGAGAAAGTTTGAGTTCTCTATTTGAAATAATTGGGTAGCAGCTTGTTGAAGGTAACAAGGGTTTATTGATAATTCTATGTCCTGCTGATCCTTGTAATGTGAAAACTTAAGTACATTTGTCAAGAACTTCTGTTGAAACTATTAAACAATGATGATTGGAAATGAACTTTTTTTCAAGAGCTGATGGAAGGTTGCATGTTCTGCAGATGGGTGTGATTCAAATTCATAGTTTTACATCAGGAAATCAACTATAAAATTGAGTATTGGACAGTCTTTTCAAAACTTATAACTATTTCCAGATAGAAAATTGCATACATATCCCTTGTTTTCTTCTAGGAAGTTATGTAATTTTGTGTAGTATGTATTGTCAACTAGCATATTTTCAAACAGAATGATGCATTATTGTTCTTGATGCATGTTACTTATTTCTAGATCTAATCGATATGTGATTGTAGGTATCAGAATAGGGTATTGGTAGAGCATGCATATATGTATTTCTCAATCCCCTCATATTCATGTCTTTCTAAAGGTCATGACTGATGTTGCTTCAAAATGGGAGCATCGCAATCATTAGATGGTATTCTATATTTTCGATTCTTCCTCGTCTGGAAAACATAGGTGACATCATTAATGTTTTGGATACCTGACGGGTAAATCTCATTGGAATTTTGACATATAGCTTGATTTTAGGAGCAGGTATTATTCTTGAGATTCTGAAGATTGATTAAAGGTGCCTGCAAGATGTATGTGTGAAACCAGAAAAAATAACAAAAACCTGAACCTGCAGTGAATCTGAACAGTATATATTCCACTAGTTTTCAAATCAGTTTTGTATTGTGAACCAAGAAAAAAAAAAGATTCCTTGCTAAAAAATATTTTTGTGTCCATGGTTTGAAATAGCATCATTTTAGCAAATCTAGAGACAATTTCTTGTGTGCAGAAGTGAGGGAGGCACTATTACTACAGTTCATGCACTGTGTTTCGACTTATTTCTCATACTAATCCATCCATTTGGGTATGCAAACAGCATTCCTGGGCGTTATGAGGCATTTTGGAAGGAGCTTGATTATGTCAAGCACCTTTGGAAACACAGGCAGGAGTTGAAGGTTGAGGATGCTGGCATTGCTGCCCTGTTTGGGCTGGAGTGTTTTGCGTGGTACTGTGCTGGTGAGATTGTTGGTCGAGGGTTTACATTCACTGGCTACTATGTCTAAGTGCTGCAACAAGAAGATACACCTTCAGAGTTGAACTGATAAAGCTTGAGATTTCTGTTTTTCCCCTTAAATCTTGTTGGCAATTGACCATTGCATATACTATCCTGCATAAAAATTTAAAAATCGGGCCAGGAAAACTTGTTTGTGACGATCTTCTGTATTTCACATTTTTCTTTGCATTTTCGGTTGCACTAGGCAGCTGTCCTTGAGGCCCTATTCCCTCTGCTCAGAATAACATCTCTGAAAAAACATTTACAGGTAAAGCATTTTTCTTAAAGATGAGTTATTTTCTAGCATTTGAATGTCTTGGTGAAAGTTATTATTTATTCTTATGATACCATATCTTATGACCAGTGTTTGTTAGTAACGAGGGATAATACTGACTCAGGCTTGTGCGTGACTTACATCTTGGATCTAAAAATTTCAGAACCAAGGCGTTTCAGGATTTGGATTCACTTGCATCAAAACTTTAGTACCCTTCGTGGATAACTGATCCTCATCTTGGTTAAATTAAATTATCTTTTAAAATTGGTTTAACAGCCTTCTTTTGTGGCCAAAGTGAGTGTTTTCAACGATTGAATTGTTTTTCCATCATAGCCTGAATTTGAAAAAGGTAATATCAGAAGAAGCTGATGAGCACTTTGTGGTATTTTGGTGCTGTTGGCCTGTGTCGACGTTTAGGACGCTTTACTACATGTGCTGTTCCTATTAAAGGAAGTGCAGTCATTGGAGCAACAACAAGAGCATTACCTCACAGAGATGCAACTTCCATGCACTAAAGCATGCTTTTCAAGTTTCAACATCACTTAAAATTAGAAGTATAGGAGAAATAAGAGACGGGTAAATATCCCATTGTGTAGAATAAGTCATTGGACCTCGTGTAGGACCAAAAAAAAAAAAAAAAAAAGGAAAGATAAGAGTCAAATTACATCAAAGATTTCCACCTGTAACAAAGAATGCATATCGAATGTAGTAAATAGTTTTTTCCACGTGGTTCAGAAAGCAAAATAGTTTTCTTTCCACTGATCGACAATTATATACCCTAATTGCAAACTTACATCCCAAAACCCCCATGTCCGGCTTCTATTGCTATCAGAAAAGCATGGAGTAAGAAAGGGAATTCTGCACTAGCTTCCACAGCAGTTATGATTTTCTATTAGGCAGCCAGCATCAGATTTCTTCTAATTTAACTTTCCACATTTAAAAGAGATGGTTCCTGAATGCCGTAATCACTTTTGGGGACAAAAGCAAGACAAACGCTAAGACCGAACCAAAAATCATTTTAATAGCATAGCTCAAAAAGTCATGGTCAGCTTCTTCGGAGGCGCTCCTTGTGGTTGAAATGGATTTAGCTGAAGGTAGGGCTTCTATCACCGCATCGGCCAGATCTGTTATGAAGGATGAGGTGCAACCCAGAGCAGGTACACGACCCCAATTATCAATGCCAGATTCAAGAGCCAACTCCTTATATTCCATATCAATCTCTTCAAGTGTCTCTATGTGCTCACTGACAAAGCTGCAATTTTAAATCGGATTTAACAATAGATATTAATTTAAAGTTCTGATTTAAATAAAATTTGAGCAAGATGAGTTGTTCTATCCAGTTACACATATATCAATCCAACGCACCACTAATAAAAAGAGTATGTTGTGTATGAAACTAGAACAACTTCATTGAGAACAATCTTCCAAGACTTGTAAAACAGTAGAACTTAAAGCGCATACCAATGGCCTCTGGGCTCGACATAATAGGTGCACAAATCTAATTACGAATATTAGCCTGTGTTGTCAAATCCATACCATCCATACAGCAGGGTCCAGAGATCCCTACTTTATAATTTCATTTAACATACAGGAACAATTCGTGTCCATGGATGCATTAAGCATTCAAAAAGATCAGCATGTCACATGTTGTAAGACCTATAATACCGTCAAGTATTTTGGAATCACAAATTCTTCAAAGTAGCGTCAGTAGCATGTTAATGGGAACTCATACTTGCATACTTGGACTCCAAAACATTCATGGACTAGTCAAATATCTTTCTTTTAAATAAAAACAAAATGACTTCATCTTCAGAGTGAAGTTCATAATCATTAGTTGCTGGGATCTACTTTCAATAATTCAATGATTGTACTGCAGTGTATAAACATGTAAAGCATCATGAAAGAAGTTACTGGATCAGTAAATTCATGGTTTATAGTACCAACCAAACAAACTGTTAAAGTTGGTGATGTAAACATTACTTGGATCAATTTGTGGAGTGCATAAACCTAATGAAAAATGCTTGAATAACAGCGATTGATCACATGGAAAAAGGAATTGTCTGTTGCATACCTTACTGGCACGGCTAGAAGACTTTTAACACCTTTCTGGCCAAGCTCAACAAGAACTTCATCAGTGTAAGGCTTCAGCCATTGTACAGGTCCAACTCGGCTCTGGTCAGAAAAAAGAACAAAAAAAAAAAAATCAGAGGAACAATAGGCCATATTGCAAGATCTGAGCCATAATAAAACATAATAGTAGGCACAACCTAATGATGGGAAATAAGAAAATGAATGCTGAAGTAAAATAGACAGCAGCTCACAATAGTAAGCGCAATACTATATGGTAAACCTCGTGAGCTTAGATATTATAACCAACCTGGTAAGCAAGGGTATGATCATTGCGAAATCCTCTAGCTTTTAACTCTTGCATTATTAAGTAGATGCACTCCTCCATTTGATCTTTGTATGGATCTCCTGCATCCTCCACATAAGTCAATGGCACTCCATGGGCGCTGAAGAATATCATAACCTAAGATTTCATATAAAACAAGAAATAGTTAGAATAACCAGGGCACACGAATCCCAAAAATAGACCAGTTTTATGGCTCACAAAATTCTGCAGCCTATTCAATAATTGAACTCACTTCTTCAGGCTTAGCAAATTTTTGTAGCTCTTCGCCAATCAAGTCAGCCATAGAATTTATATAACCTTCTCGTTGATACCAGGACTGTATAGTGGCAACTGGCAGCCTTGATAGATATGCATCTTCTCTGAAAGTTCACTCACAAACAGAGAGGTTAAAGGTGATTGATATTTTTAATGCGCTGCAAAAAGAAGGAAAGAAAATTGACACAGAAATAGCACCTAAATATATTTTGGAGAACGCGAAGGCTCGACCCAGTTGTGGAGATTGAGAACTGTGGATAAAGTGGCAGCACAACAAGCTTTGTTATCTTGTCCCGCTTGATCTGCCAGATAAAACAAGTAAGGTCAATTAAGTAAATGTTGTTAGAAAATTCACAATGATCTTCAAGGGATAAAGTGACATATTATAAAAGTTGGAGTCTCACCTGATGGATTGCTTCCTCAGTGAATGGGTACCAATACCGCATTCCAACATAGACATCTGCACTCAAACCCTTTGCTTTCAAAGCCATTTTGATTCCATCAGCCTGCAACAATTAAAAGGTAAATGCACAAGCAGGACAACCAAAACGTAGTTTTCTCAGAGAAAAACTTGAGAGCCACCAACAAAAAATCACACAAATAATTAGAAAGCCATGGATCACAAAAGGGCATGCATTCTACCTGCTCATCTGTTATTTTACGCAAAGGCGAGCCACCACCAATGGAAGCATACCCTTCTTTACTTTTAGGAGCACGGAGCACAGAAATTAATTTTGCCAAAGGTTTCTGAAGAAATTGAAACAGCCTGGGAAGTCTTATAATATCCTGCATTATAACAATAAAATTGTCAGTCCAGCACCAAAATTTAAAGTAGGAATGCTGTCTAAAAATGAACAATTGACGAACAAGAGACATACTGGATCAGCAAATAAATTGAACAAAAACGGTTGGACATCATTAAGTGTTTCTGGCCCTCCGAGATTCAAAAGAAGCACCCCAACCTTTTCTTCTGTCACATGCGAATGAGAATCAACAAAATCTTCACAATATGTGCCTACTCCTACCGAGGCAGCGCAGAATGCTTGCCCAACTGGATTTCTCTTCAGAACCGGACTACACAAGTATGATCCCCCACTAACTGCCGTTCCCTTATTAGCCGAACTAGAACTCGAAACCACTAATTCTTGAGAATAATGTTTATCAAGTAGTTGAAATTCCCCAGACGAGTTCCGAACTGCTGAAACAATAGATCTAGCTCGCAGACATGACCTGTAAATTAACAAATAATATCGATAATGGTGATAGACTACTTACAATACAAGATTATCATTGCATGCAAATCGAAGAACGAAGCCAAAGTGTTCCTTATGAATATTACATTTCCACAATTACGCACTAAAATTAAATGACAATTGTGCAAGTTGCAATATCATCAAATATAATCATTAAGAGAAATTATATCATAAAAATAGAATATGAGATTATTACATTTCAATTATAAGATCAAAGAAATGATTAAATTGGGAAAATTTAGAAAAAAATAAGGTAAAAATATACAGAGATGATGGCATATAATCAATTAGTCGACTTGATCCAAACTGAGACATGAATTATTAATTAAGGAAAATCTATCAAGAAAAAAACTGATTTACCTTGAGAAATTATGATTCGAAGCAGAGAGCTTCGTCTGGGGAAGCGCACCACAGAAGGACGTGGCATCCATGGCTCGGTTTAAGAATAATAAATATTATGGAAAAGAGTATTTAGGGAAAAAAAAATGAAAAAAAGATGAAGAGTAAGAACAAAGAGAAGTCAGTAGCTAAAGATAGTTAGAATAGCAAATGGAATTTGGGTGGTTTTATAAAATAAAAGAACGGAAAAGGTCAACAAAGTCTCTCTCTGTAAGGTTTTGGTGGTGGTTTGATTTTTAGGTGGGTTTCCAGGACGGTGGGGCTTTACAACCCAAGTCTCTTTCCTATTCGATTTGGTTTAACTAGTAGTTTAGGTGGGTTTTTCTAAACCGTGACTTATTATGAATAAATTGTAAATATGTTTTTCTTATTTTAAGAATTAATTAATTGGTTTATTTAGCATCCTAATTCATTTAATATTATTTTATTTCAAAAAAATATCTCTTTTTCTCATTAATTTTTATTTTCATATTTTCACTTATTTTTTTATTTATTAAAAATTAAATTAAAAAGAAAAAAGGGTTAAATTACAAATAGTTTTGAAAATATAAGGACTACTAAATTAGTTATTAAAAATAAAAGAACTATTTAATTCATTTTAAAAAACAAAAAGGGCTAATTTATAATTTGTACGACTTATTAGCGATAGTTATTATTATTGTGTGGATCTCACTTTGGCACGACTGAAAATATTAGTAATAGTGTACTACTAACAAGAAATTATTAGTTTTTTTTTTTTCCTGCTTATTTTGTTGGGAGTCAAAGAGGGTAGGTTTGATTTTCAATCAGCTCCGGAAAGAAGGTTCTCGAAGCCGCGTCGTTTTGGTGGAATAAGTTTTGAATTTTCTTTCGTTTTTCCTCCCTTAAATTACCCTTGTTTAAGAGCCATCGTAGATGCAAACCCTTTGTCTAAACTGGTAATTGCACATCTGGCTTGTTTTAGGGTTTTTGTGACCCACCATATAAGCTTGTTTCTGTGAACCATTTTCCGTGTAACGCCACTTCTTCGCTCATCTCTGTTTCTTCTCCATTCACCTTACGTCTGTTTTTTAATTCTAGAATGCTCTCTCTTCTTGCTTTGTTTTGATTGGTAAATCCTGTAATGGTATACGTAGACAATGCTTGTGCACGTAAAAATGAATTTGATTTCGATAATGGATGGATTGGCTCTATAACCGAGTCAACAGCGGGTGCCGATCCATGGCGACCTGACTGCCGCTTGGAGCCAAAATTAAGTTTTGGCCGGATGAAGATACCTTGAAACTCACTGTTGTTTCTTGACACAATAATCCGGTTAAATTTCTATTCGCAACTAATTTTCACTCTTTTTTAACCTTTGATGCCTTTTGGTTTAATTGAATTGAAAAGATTTGTTTTGCAAAATTGGTGGCACCCAGTCAGACACGGGTGATTGTTGGTTTATTAGACGCCAAATCACCTTTTGCATGGTGCCCAAATTGAGCTACTTTCACGATTGGAGTGAGTCATTACTTGATCATGGCTTCCTTCAAATTTTAAGCAGCTAAATTCCCTAAATTGCCTAACCTACATGTATAATTATTTCCCCAATACCCCCTTTTTTAATTTGATAAATTGGGGTGTTTTTTAAATCGTGGCAAATAAGCATTCTGGCCTGTTTCTCCCTTCTCATGTCGTTCTGAATTTGGAAATTAATTGAATGGTAAATCTACCAACTGTGGTTCTTAATTTTCTCAATTTATTTGAAAGTTTTTCTTTTTAATCATGTGCATCTTCAGATAGCAATACAAATGGTTATTAGACTTCCGAACTGTATTTGGACTTCCTTTTGGTCTCAAAAGAAATTTCCAGCTCTTTTTAAGTACAAATACCTTGGTTTCGGATTAAAAGCATCTGTAATTCGCATTAAAAAGTGGAAGGAATAGTTGATTGTTTCATGAAACCGTGTGGCCAATCAGAAGTGGCTAGAGTACGGCTCTTCGACTAGCCATTTTTATGACTCTTTAACCAATGACTGTTATGGTTAGTTCTCAATTTTGAACACGTAATCAAAATGCTCGAGTCAGCAAACACTAGATCTAAAGATGTAATCAAAATGCATGACTAGCCACCTTTATGATTCTAAAACATTTGGCACTGCAGCCTGCAGGTGAGAAGTTATAAAATGCAAATGCCACTTATAAGAGTGTATTTAGTCCTTAATTGATAAGGAAGTGATTTTTCTGTTTATTACCACATGGACAAAATAGGCATGTTGACTCATAACAATAATGGATGTAGAAGAAAACTTGCATGCATCATAAATGCCAGCGCAAGTAATCTGCTGAGCTATGGAAATCTGATTCAGCCATAGGTTCACCAAATCAAGCATATCAAATAAGATATGGAACTCAGTGAGTCATAAATGAAGAACAGCTTCAATTTCATTCCTGGAACTCGAAACTAGCTTAGTTGGAAGTGATAAATGGAACTCTCTAGCCCCCCCAAGCATTGTATGTCATCGTAACATTACCAAGGTCAAGTTTGCAAATATCATTGCTGCTACATGTTGGTCACGGTGCTCCACTGAAATCTCAATTCATAAACGAATATACTCAGAAAGAAAATATTTTACCTGTGAAGGGAGCGAAGTACAACACAATACATTTTTTGTTCTAGTAAGGTAATACATGATTCAAAACTAATGGTTAACATCAGAGGCATATCTAAGATCCAACAAATCCGCAATAGTAAGAGTTTTAAAGGTGAACCAACCAAATTGGCTTGGTAAAATAATATGCCATGCAATCAAAATTCAGGCGTACGTGACAGTATTATCTGCTAGCTAAAACTTAGAGCTCACAAGTGAGAGCTACAGAACTCAATTGAAAATTTTGAGATCGTAATAACTCATCCTCTCAAGAAAGCAACCATTAAATTAAATAGATTTTAACTATTCATTAAAGAGGAGAACTATACATAGATGAGGCCTTCATTTGGCCGAATCCATTCAAGAGATAATACAAAAGTTGTATTATAAGACAGTTGTAAGTTTTAAAAGACAATACAAAGTCCATTCTCTCTCATGTCCTTTTTCTTGTTTTACAACCAAGTACGTAATATAGGTTGACTTGGTTCTAGACGTTCGGTTTAGAGGAGAAACAAGTCAAGTGTTGCACCAGAACTTTGGAAATGCCAAGTCTGTGACAAGGTGCATTCATAAATGAGAATCCGTCAAAAGCAGCAATCACAATCAAATGTGAAGAAGGTTAACATGGTTATATTTAGACATCACCTCGATACTGAGAATGCTGTGGTATTTGGAAATCAAGGCTAAGCTTTTGGTATGATGACATTGCTAATATTTACCAGACAGCAAAAGGATATTTTAACTTTCATTTTGACTAACCGGAAATTTTATCTCTTTTAAGTAATGCATGCATTAGATTGCTAATGAAAACAATAATTGAAGGATACTCGAACTGTTGAACATGAGATAATTTTTCAGTTGAGAAACCAAATGTTGTTCATGGGGGTAAAGTATCCAAGTTGATGCAACAAACCAACACAATCCAATCCTAGGAAAGGGAAAAGTGAGGGACATGGATAAAACGAAAGCAGAGCACGCAACAACAAAGGCAAGGGAAGATAAGCAGGAAAGGTCAGCAAGTAGAAAACACAAATTTAGGAGTCATATAGGCACAACACTTGATCATTTTCGGAGTTCTAACATAGTTACCAAGATTTGTAGTTTGTTTTTCATTTTTCTTCCAGTTTCAATCTGCTACTGGAGTTCTAACATAGTTACCAAGATTTGTAGTTTGTTTTTCATTTTTCTTCCAGTTTCAATCTGCTACTGGAGTTGAGAAGTTTAGAATCCCACTGCCAATTATCAGATTGTGTTGGAAATTCAACATAATATATTTCAATCACTACCAAGTGGACAAAAAAGGCAAGCCGAGTCAATCAGGAAATGGAAGTACAAGAAAATTGCATTTGATATGAGAGCACTTACACGTATTTTGCTCATCTAGTGAATCTGATTCAACCAAGGTCATTCAATGCCAACAAAATCACTTTTAAGTTCATTCGCACAAGCAGACATTATACTTGATCCAATCCTAAGAGATGATAAACAGAAACTTCCCTCAGTCATAATTGCCAGAACACATGCGTTTAAGTTCATTCATGACGGTAAGCCATATAACCAGAACAAGTCTAAATGATGCTGATAAATGGAACTCTCTCCAAGTCAAATTGCAAATATGCATCCATGCATTAGTTTTTTCCACAACAGGACCAAGATCAAATTTGCAAATAGCACGAGCATGGCTACCAGATACCATGCATATTGCCCCACTGATTTCTCAATAGCTAATTCATCACAAAAGAACCTGTACAAGAATTGCTAGTGGATACCCTGGCAACGGATTTTAAAAATAAACTGACAAAATTGATTCAATAATATCAAGTTTCATGCAACCAAAATTCCAGTGTACATGAAAAATTTTGCACAGAATTCTGCAAACTAAAACTTTCAAATCACAAGAACGAATTACAAAACTACTTTGATATCTCAATAAGACCACTCTATCAAGGAAGCAGCTACACCCATTAATAAGAATCATCAAAAGCAGCAATCACAATCGAATGGGCAAAGAGGGGTACCTCCACCACTGCTCTTGTTAAAACCCAATTCCTCTTCTGTATATACGTTGAACCCATCTTCTGTTTTCTTTCGAGACCTAGAAGGCTGGTCTGTAAACCTTCCCTCTTCATCTTCTTTACTCTTCTTCTTTTTCTTCATTGATTTTGGTTTCTCTTCTCCATTTACATTTGCCTTATCAGCCTTCCTTTTTTCAGGTTTCTTCCTCTTCTTCCCAGAGAAGATTTCATCAATCTCAGAACCCGCTTTCTTTGGCGTTGAAGAGGGTTTTGACTGTTCTACATCTGCATTTTCTTCTTCCTGTTTAGGTTTCTTTGAAGAACTCTTTTTAGGCATATTCAATGAAGAGGGATTTGCCTGCTTTATATCTGCGTTTTCTTGTGTCTTTGAATCAAACACAAAGTCTGATACCCAGTTGTTTAACTAAAATCCACAAAAAATAAGAAAACCAAATATCACTCGCCGGCAAAATGCAAACTAATAGTTCTCTGATTACTCATGTTTTGAAGACCAACGGATATAAGTCAGCCGACCAGAGAATACAAATGAAGCAAACAAATAACACTTAAATACAATGGAACATCTAGTTCAAAATCCGCAAACTAAAAAACCTAAAAATGCACAGCAAGCTGAGTGCGCATATTTTCGGCCTCAAGATGCAACAAAAATTTCGAACTTTAGAATTTTTTCGAATGACATTTTCTTTCAGTAGCAGAAAAAAATCAATTGAAACTCGAAGTGTAAATTTATTATTACAAAAATTAAATTAAATTAAATTAAATTTTAAAAAAACTTTGAATATCTGAGAGATAAGTACAGAAATTGGTCTGAGCTAAATTCATCTTTTTCACGAAAATAGATTCCGTTTTGCTAAGTTTCCCAGCAACCAAATACAAACAAGTTAGGGAATTTTTACTTTAATTTTTAGCATAAAATCAAATAGAAAGTAGGGATTTAAAAGATGAGAGAAGAACCAACCTCTGCTAACCTTCTGTAGAGGGAGAATAGATTGGAGGCAGACAAACGGACGTACGGACAGGCAAAGACAGAAGAACTATGACCCTTAGCGAGATGGAAAAAGCGAGCGAGCGAGGATACTGTTGTTTTGCTCTATTCAAGTCGCATCCCCAGGATATTACCACGCTGTCTTTAGGGAGTTAAAATTCCACGGTTCGATTTTGATCATCAATACCCTAAACAGTCACGTGCAATCTGCATCCATATCACGTGAGCGTGACTGCCACGTAAGTCTTACACTAATTGATCTCAAGTACATAACATACTTTCAATTTTCGACCTAAAATACTTGTGTTATCTCCTTTTTTTTTTTTTTTTTTTGGTGATTTCTTCACCAAAACTCTCTCTTAACTTCAAGTTAAAAAGAATACTACAGAGATAGAGGAGTAATTTCGAACTTGCAAAAAGATTTTTTTCTTTTCTTTTCTTTTTGTTTGTTTTTTGAACTTGGATGCTAAAAATTGACTTGTAGGTGATGATGGGCACTGAATCGATGCATGATTAGTTCTAGCGATCATAGATTTGTGTTTGAGAGATGCGTCTGAGCCTAGCTAGAGTTCAAAACGAAGTCAGCTGGTAGTATATGCATGGAAGTGATAATTGCAGCTATTTCTTTAGCTACGACATGAATGGCTAATAATCCAAACCAACGCACATCATTCACAGCCATGCTCTTAACAAAAAATGGCGATCACAGTCCGAGCATGAGGATTTAATCTGATAATATTCAGAATGCAACACGAAACTGCATTATTATCTTCTTGGAGCCAAAATTTCTTACATTAGTACCATCCATGTTCTTACAAAATACAAGGAGCGACACAAGGCTTTTTCACTCTCACTCTGTTCTCATAACGACTAACAAAATTATAGATTGTCTAGCCACACAACAAGTGCTCCAAGCATCAACTTAGTGCAGTCATACCACTCATACTCCCGGAATTGGGAACTGAGTTGTAAGTGCTTCAACTCTTCTTTGAAGATCTGTTACTTTATCTGTCAGAGGGAAATCAGGGGATTCAACAAACTTCAAGAAATCCTGGAGCTTGGATCCGGAAATTGATTTTTAGCTTCAAGAGTTATTTGCACTCCTTCATGAATCAAGTCAGCAGTTGCTACAAATTCTTTCTCTGTAAATCCTCTGGTAGTCATGGCAGGGGAGCCAATGCGAATGCCACCAGGCACTAGGGCACTCTTATCGCCTATTTAAATCAACAGAGCAGCCATAAACAAGGGGTGGTGATAAAAAGATTGAGACACATACAGAAAAAAAAAAGACATAGAATAAGGCTAACCAGGCACTGAATTCTTGTTGAGGGTGATATAAGCCAGGTCAAGGATTTTCTCCACCCGAGCACCATCAAGTCCCTGTTGATAATACAGATATTGATGAACTATGCGAGAAGTAAATGGGGAAAGATGCCACTGCCGAAATATGATGCATAAATTGATTTTACACTTGAGATTACTATATCTCAGTAGTAGCAGAGGGCATTCATATGCTGGGAAAAACCTTGATGGCCACAGATAACCAGCAAAAAACTGCAAACATTTGAGACAATAATGGAGATAATGAAGCAACAAGACACTTACCAATGGTCTCAGATCTACAAGAATCAGATGATTATCGCTCCCACCAGAAACCAACTTATATCCTAATTCAACCATTCGGTTTGCAATTGCTCTAGAGTTAGAGATGACCTACAGGGAACAGCAACGAGAATAAGTTATGTTGACTTAAGACATATATTGGACCATGTTTAATCAAGAGAGTACAGTACCTGATTCTGGTAAGTTTTAAATTCAGGGGATTGTGCATGCTTCAAGCAAACTGCCAGTCCACCAATTGTGTGATTATGAGGACCACCCTGCAACAAATTTCACAAACTATATTAGCTTCAGAATGAAGTATGTGAAGGTTAAACTCCATAAAGTAGAAAATCTAAATCAAATACTAACATGCTATAGCAACCCACCTGTAAGCCTGGAAAAACAGCATTGTTGATGGCAGATTCCATATCAACTCCTAGAACAGGATCTTTTTTGAAGAAGATCATTCCACCTCTTGGACCTCGTAGGGACTGAAGAGAAATGAGAGAATTTATCAGGTCATCTATTTGGAGATCAACATAGCAAGAGTTTGCCATTCAAGTGTCAATTGGCAACACAATTTTGCAGGGCACATTGTCTTCAAATTAAGATCCAAACAAAATGCAGAATGATATATCCCATGCTAGACTAGGAAACATCAAGCAACATTGGACCCAAACTGTTAGTAAATAACAGAAAATTCTTCTCAAGTAGTCATCTGGACTTACCTTGTGTGTTGTAGTTGTCACAATATCACAGTACTCAAAGGGGTCAGCAACAACAGAAGCAGCAACAAGTCCACTTATATGAGCCATATCCATCATGAGAAAAGCACCAACAGCATCTGCAATCTTCCAATGCATATAGATTGTAATCAGTTAGTTGTTAAAGCACGGGAAAATAGGGAGACATAAAAAAAAAAAAAAAAGGCAAAACAAGATTAACCACATGTAACATCTACCTTCCTCATGCGAGGATAATCAAAATCTCGAGGATAAGCACTAGCACCAGCAATAATGAGTTTAGGTCGAAAGAGGATAGCTGTTTTCTCAAGCATGTCATAATCAATCAGGCCTGCAATATATGTTAGGGAAAAGGATCAATACATCACCAAACCAGTATAGTCTACCATTTTCTCCTGATCTGATAACAATGATATATCACCTGTAGATTCGTCAAGTCGATATGGCATAGACTCAAAGTAAATTGATGTCCCAGATACCCTCCTTTTAGGAGTCATGAACCCGTGAGACAAATGTCCCCCATGAGGCAAGTCCAAACCCTAAGTTAATCACATTAAATTTCAATATAAGGATTTTGCATTCTCAAACCGCAAAAGAATTAATCAGAGAGAGAGAGAGAGAGAGAGAGAGAGAGAGAGATTACCATGATTCGGTCATGTGGATTAAGAAGTGCAGTATAAACCTCAAAATTAGCAGGCGAACCAGACAAAGGTTGAACATTAACACCCCACTTCTTTCCATCTAAGTTAAATGCTGCCAAAGCCCTTTTTTGACAAAGGGTTTCAAGCTCATCAATGTACTCATTTCCACCATAGTATCTGCAATATAGAGACAATTATCAGGCGATAAGGTAATTTAAATTTTCAACCAAAAAAAAAAAAGGAAACGCATCTAAATGAAAGAATTTACCTTTTACCAGGAAGTCCTTCAGAATACTTATTTGTCAAGCACGAACCAACTGCTTCCATCACTGCTCGGGATGTGAAATTCTCTGATGCAATAAGTTCGAGGCTTTTGAACTGCCTATCTTTTTCCTTACTAATAATTTCACGCACTTCAGGATCCGCTTCACTAAGTCCATAATCTTTGAAGCTACTTTTGTTAGCTAGACAATTATGACATAAAATTTCATTCACAAAAAGTCAAACTCACCACTCATCACCAATAGATTCATATTAAATATCATTCTGAAAACCAACGCACGAATTTTTTTACTAGAAAACCAACCGTTTCAATAAAATTACAACAAATACGGTATAGATTCACTTATTCGCACTTGGAAGAGAAAAGCAAAACAATAATAAAATCAACAAAAGATATTCTAGTTACCTCCAATTTCAGGGATAGGCACAGAGACAGAAGAGGGAGGTCTACCAGTGACCAAGCTTCCTTCAAGGGAAGAAGCCCTGCATGGCTTCACGAAGTTAAGTTTAACTTGATGTGGAAACCCAATAACACCACTCCTTTGCATTGGAAAGGCTGACCCTTTGTTCAAAACAGGTTGTTGCAGAGAACCCATCAAGGCAGCTCCACTGGTGGCTTGCATTTGTGGCTTTAATCTAATACCTCACAAAAACAATACTTACAAATTCCAATCAAATAATATAAGAATTCAACAACCAAAAGTTTAATTTTCTTTTTTAATGAACTATCAAGTACAGTAATATTAAGTTCATATAAAAAGAAGGGATGAATATGAAAAAAAGATCAAAAGTGAAGGGAATTGGCTTACCTTCGAAATTTCTGTTTACTTTAATCTCTCCCTGGGTTTCTCGAGCTGTGTAAGCAAGTATACAGTAAAGCAAGTTACAGGGAGAAAAAAGGGCTAAAAACCTAGTTTTGCTTGAAAACGGAGAGCCGCGCTTTTTGAGTAGAGAAAATAATATTATTCTATTTATATATGTTATTTTAATTCTAATAGATATTACTGTAATAAATATTACTGTAAAATTTGTGTTGTAGAGTTTGTTCAGGAAAAAAAACAAATAAATAAATAAAATTGGAATTTTTTTTAATTATTTTTCAAAAACTAAAGTGGTGATAAATAAAAATTGAATATTTTTTGTAAAAAAGTTCCGTTTTGCTAAATTAAATTTTAAACAAACTGTAAAAGCTTGTGGTGTACGGAATTTATTATTAAAAAAATTTAATTAAATTAATTTTTTAAAAAAAAGTTTGGAATATCGGAGCGATAAATACCGAAATTGGTCTGAGCTAAATTCATCTTTTTCATGAAAATAAATTCCGTTTTGCGACGTTTCCCAGCAACCAAATACAAAAAAGTTAGGGAATTTTTATTTTAACTTTTAGCATAAAATCAAATAGAAAGTAGGGATTTAAAAGATGAGAGAAGAACCAACCTCTGCTAGCTTTCTGTAGAGAAGAATAGATTGGAGACAGACAATCGGACGGACAGACGGACAAGCAAAGACAGAAGAACTAAAACCCTAGGCGAGAGCAAGCGAGGATTCTGTGGTTTTGTTCCACTCAAGTATACTAGTTTGCATCCAAAATATAATAAAATGTTATTTTTTATAATATCTTTAAATAATTAAAGAATAACGTTTTGCTTTTAAATATTATGTTTTCACTGAACAGTAAATTGGTTAATTTTTTCATGAAATCGATAAAAATTTTAAATTATGATGAAGCTTGATTTATTCTCATAATGATGGAGTTTGAATTCTATACATACATACATACATATATATATATATATATACACACACACATGTATTAAATGAACCTTGAATCCATTTGAGCAATTTGGTTCGTTTTACTACCCCAAATTCGGATAAGACAGGCGTTTTATTCGCGTCCTACTTGGCCTTGATGGACCGATGGTTGCCTATCTCAAAATTTCGTTTTCTTTTGTTTTTCCCCCTATTTTGAAGTTCAATAATTATGATTTATGCAGTGTTTAAAAAGTAAAATTTAATTATTTGCATCACATTGTCAAGATTTTATTCTCTTAAATCTGTGAATTAGCTAAAAGCTGCAGCTGTGGATTATTTTAGTCGAAGCCCTTTGCTAACTCTGCACTGCATTGCTACTTCTCATCCACTAACTGATACTGATACATATTTTGATTGATAAGTAACAAGTCCTGATATATAATGGACAACTAGGAAATGCAAATTCGAATTGACATGGATCCCCAGACATTTAGCAGATCCTGACAAAACCATCCAACTCCTCTCTATCTATATGCAAAATCTTATTACTAGCATGCTCTTCCAATCTTTTTTGCTCACACACGATTCAATTAAATCTCAAGAGACTGGAATTCCTTAAATAAACATAGCACAACAAACAGGCAATTCAAATAGCCGTACATCTCATCACAGGAAGCTTGCATAGTAAAAGCCCGGGTGCCAAGCACCCCACTAGCGGATGGCATGTACAGTTTGAATTTAAAGAGTTCATGGCCCAAAGAGATCAATATCAGTTTAATCCTGCACACCAGGCGCCATTACAATGAAAAGGGAGGACACACAAAGCAACTCGAACATTAGGTTGGGTTTGATTCTTAAGAAGCAACATCCAGCTCTTTTCTTCATTCAACATGTGAAAAACCTCCACCACTTTCAGCCTTCGTCCTGCACAAACCCATTATTTCCATCATGAATGATTAAACAACAAAAGATCACATGCTATATAGGATAAAACATCTTATATAGGCATTACTATCTAATTCTATTTGTTTTCATGCAGGGAGAAAGCAACCGAGATCAGTGAGGTGTCAATATGAGTAACAGAATCAAGCAGCATTTGAGGAAGTAAATTTTGGACTTACAAGTTACAATAATCATGAAATCCTTGAAAGCAACAGAAAAAATAAACTTGTAGTGAATAAGACCACCAATACTCATCACCTTAGAACACACTCCCTAGTCCCTATGTCCAATGCTAATCACTTACTACTACAAAAATTTCCATACAAAAAACACTGAATAGTACAAGCATGTTATGAGTTCATATATCAATCGCACTACCTATTCAAGAAAACAATAGTCTGCATCCTAATTTGTCAGGAATAATAATTTTGCATAAATTTCATAATATGAAATGCAGGTTGCCTTAAATGGACATGCCAACATCAAACCTTTGAATCAAAATCTCATTAATAATGAAGCATGTAATTATCTGAGAAGTGCCCCCATATGCTCGAAGTATTCCGCTGAGGTATGAACACTTACTTGTGGTCAGAAGGATTGGGCGTAAGTTCATAAACAATGGTGGCAACAACATCCCTCTTCAACTGTTCATTGTAGAAAGGAAAGTGTCACTTAAGGTACCGATACTTAGTCCAAACAGATGCACAAAGCCATAAAGCTTGATCCTCAGCAATGCATTTACCTGCGTGGCTTCACCTTTGAAGCCAATGTAGTGTATCTGACTTGTATCACCACCAAAATTATCAGGGAAATGCAATGTGATGCTTGCCACACTTTGAAATTTTGCATATCTATTATCGTGAACAAATATTACATCAGCCAATACAAGATGAATGCTGATGAAACCAAACTTAACTTAAACAACGAAATACAATTGCTTTTGATATGCATGGTCTTCATTCTCGTTCGGAAGAGGTTAAAGTAAAGGATTGCCAGAATTGAGATGGTTTGCAGTTACAGGAACAAAGTATTTGAGTTCAATAAGCTAAGTAACAGATGGTAGGGAATAATTACCTTGTCTGAAACTCCAGCACTCCATTCAAATTTTCAACCAAATCCCACTCCTTAAGACAATAATAATAACCACTTCCAGTAAGTTAAATTGTTGATTTTAGAGATAGTTCACCAAGAACCAAGATGAAACCATACCTGTACAGCTTGCATACTTTGAGCATCGGAGAAGTCAATGCCATCTCGATTGATAAACCTAAATTATTTCAAAGCCCAAATCTAAGCTATTTTGTTACAAAAAGTGATCACAAGAGAGAACACTGAAAGACAATTCACATCATTCAAAACGCTGCTTTAACATCATTTCCCTGTATATTTATTTGAAAAAACTAGCCTAAGTGATCTGGACGGGAAGGTTACACAGCTTAACAATTACTGTACATCCAATGACTCAACAAGGTGAACACACAGTGAGTCAACGTAAAAGCCAAGCATGCTAAGCTGGTCTGGATAATAATGCCACGTTGATGCTGCCCTCTGAGGCTGGGCTCAAAACCTGTCTTTGTAGGGATGCATTAACATAAAAATTATCACGCCGAAAGGTGAGAATGCAACAAAAGGAAAATTTAATTACAAGACAGAATATGGAGTTCAAAGTTTCCCACATATACGATCATGTTATTAGGATCCGAAACACACATGCACACATGAAGAGAGAGAAAGAGAGAGAGGCCTTTCAATGAATTTCATTAAAACTGATTAAGTAAGTTCTATGAAATTGTGTAACTATCATCACATCAGCAGTATCTACCATTTGAGAAGATAAGGAACTGCTGGTTTAGTTACTCTCACTCACAAATTATCAACAACTGCACTGAGGAACTTGCAACACAAAATAGAAGTTGAACTTACGCTCTCATCTTTGAAGGACTTGATCCATCAGTACCTCCAATAATTGAAATACTCTTGATCTTAACATCTGATGTGAATCTACAATAATTAATCCAACAGAAAAAATGAGAAATCCAGAGAGTTGTTTCAGATATAAGGGAAAAAAAATTGCTAAATCAAAGAAATGCAATTAAGGGATTGTTTTGTACCTTTGTGGTTCCGTTTTCTGTTTTTGTTATCAAATTTTAGGAAAAGAAACAAAAAACTTGTTTCTTTTGGATTTTTTTGGTTGAAAAAAAAAAAAAGCAAAACCAACAACTCAACTACTATCACAATTTTCGAAAAGAACTTTGTTAGGCTTAGAAAATCCTGACAGCCAGTTGTCGACTTTTTATGTTTTCAAAAACAAAAACAAACAAGTTTTCTGTTTTTGTGTACAAATTTCTAAAAATAAAAACAGAAAATGGGAATGATACCAAACGACCCCTAAGCAATCAGTAAGAACATTTAAAAACTGAAGCCTCCAAGGCGCCAACATTTTTAGTCATTATAGCATACAGGTCACCGAAGTGGAAAGATGTTACCCATGTTGTTACTTAAATGATCTACAATAGAATTTATTGATAGATGGCAAGCAGCTCTTGATACGAATAAAGTGTTATATTGTTAGAATAACTGCTTATAAATTTTGTTTCGCAACCGATACAGTAAAAATAACATATAAACAATGTTAAATTCTTGTAATCTTCAAGATTCCAGCAAGTAACTCAACAAAAATTCCATAGTCATGCAGATAGGGAAAAGTAGACAACTCGCAGCATAAGTAGATAAACTCAGCTATAAGACAAACGAATTCGCAACTTACGGAATGTAAACAAGTAACTCAGGATCACCCTCATTGCTTTCCAAATGCTCCTATCATTGCACAGGAGGATTAAAAAAAAAAGCTTCAATTACTCTTCGATAATAAGTGAATTCTAGATTAAATAAAATACGCAAAAGAAAAAGGAGCCAAAAAAAAATTACCCCAGAAGAATCGAGACGGTGCTCCCAAGCTTTAAAAACTGATTTAGCACTTCCTGGGACTGCTTCGTTTAAAGCCGATACCTGCACATAAAACAGTAACGTATTTCAATCGATTTCTCGATAGAAGAAGTTGATGCAAGTTTGAATAAAAAGAAGAACAAATTTGACCTTGGGGAGGTCTATGTGTTTGTAGAGAGACCAATTAGAGGAACAATCGTGATCTTCACAGCTATGATCGTGTAAACAAGCCATTTCTCCCTCGCTATTTTTCAATTTCTTCAGCTACAACCAAACGAGAAACGAGACGATGATGAATTCCTTCTGCAATAGTAACCTAGAACCCAGAATAAGATTCATGGTCGTTTCTGACATAAGCGTGTCGTTTTATACTTTTATCGGGTTAGTGGCATTAAAACGCACGTTTACTCTTCTGATTTTTTTAATATAGTTTCTATATTATTTTTCTCATTTATCACCTCTTTTTACTCTTCAATTTTTTTCTTATTTATTTTACAAAAATTTATTCCGATATTCTATATAAAATATGTTTGTTATATTATCTTATATGTTTGGTATTGTCACCACGGTATGAAAAAACAGTTTAAATAGTATAAAAATAATAGTTTTATCTTCGCAAAACTATGAAATGTTTTGCATGAAAAAAATTGTAGAGTGTCAGTATAATCTCGGTAGTTATTAATAGCAAACGTGATTTTTATATTTAACATAATGAGCAAATGTATGCTAGTTAAGTTATTGTTTACATCCTCTTTTTTTTATATAAAAAAAAATAAAGAAAAAAAGAAAAAAACAGAAATTGAACATGAAACCAAACAGGACCTTAATTCAATGTTTTTTCCAAAAAAAAAAAAAAAAACTTTTCAAATAAAGGCAAAACCTGAAAAAATATTTTTTGAAAATAAATACGACCGTGGGCTTTTGTTTTAGGCTTACTCCACGGTTCTACTACTGCTAGGCCAGTCTGTCTTGCATCGTTAATTCGTTGGACTGGAGTTTTCGGCCCTTGGAATAAAAGAGGCTCTTCTATGTATTCCTTGTAAACGACGTGTATCCTCATTCCTTTCTCCCTTTCGAAAATCACAGGAGAGAATACACAGCTCTTCTCGAAAGCAAGAAAATCTGCGAGAAAGAGAGAGACATGGAGATGGTGGAAGCAGACAGCTCTACTAGCAAAACATACAGTCTGAATCCAAGTCGAATAAGCAATGAAGACATTTTATTTTGCATTGATGTAGATCCAGAATCTCTCGTGGAAATGAAATCCACAGGACCCGGTGGTAAACCCCTCACTAGATTGGACTCCATCAAGCAAGCTATTCTTGTCTTTATCAACGCCAAGCTCTCTATCAACCCTGATCACCGCTTCGCTTTTGCCACTCTCGCCAAAACCGCTTCTTGGGTACCTTTCCGCTCTCTGTCTCTTCAAATTTTCAAATTCATTGAATTGTTAAATGTGAAAATGATAAATGAATTTTGATGTTATTATCTCAAAATGGCATGAAAGTAAAAAAGATTGGATTTCCTCTAAATGGGTTTATCTTGTTATTCGTTAAATTTGGTTGCTTGTTAGATGGCATAATAACAAGAACCTTTTCTTTTCTATGTAAGTTATAATTGAAGGGTTGTTGAAAATTATTATTATTATTATTATTTTTTTTTGTAATTTTAGCTAATTTTCTTGATGGATTTCTTTATTTAACTATTTAATGTAATTGAAATAGAGGGTTTTGGCATTTGCCTATTTGGTTGAGAGAAGGTAGTTTGCCTTCATGTTTGTTTAGCTAAGTTTTTATGGTACTTATAAGAGGTTTTGGTTTTGTGGTTGATGTATGGTAGCTGCGGAAAGAGTTCAGCAATGATGTTGAGTCTGCAGCTGCTGCTCTTAGGGGGCTCTCAGCTACATCATCTTCATCTTCTGGTCCACCTGACCTTACTCAATTATTCCGTGTAGCAGCTCATGAAGCAAAGAAATCCCATGCACAAAATCGGATATTGAGAGTGGTGAGTACTGTTTTTAGCTTTATGTTCTGTGTACATGAACAATTGTTGCTGAACATGGACCTTGGTTAGCTTGTTTAGTTGATGATCTTGTGTGAAATTATCACATAATAAATAATGTGGTCGATGCTCTTTCAATATAATTGTATTGCAATGGAAGAAAGAGTTGATTGCCACTTACTTTGTGTAGCTTGTTTTAACTATCATTTTCAAAGATGTTTTCTAGGTCTTGGTGTTATTCTTGAGGTCATGATTCTATTAGTATGAGATTTTATAAAATAATAACTCCAACACTCATTTTCTTTGTATTGGCAGAATTATGAACCGATAAATTGTGCTTTCAAACTCCATTTGACATGGGTTACAAATATTGTGTTGTTTTAGATTCTGATGTACTGCAGATCATCTATACGACCACAACATCAATGGCCTATTAGCCAGAAACTCTTCACATTTGATGTGATGTACCTCCATGACAAACCTGGACCTGACAACTGCCCCCAGGAGGTTTATGATGCACTTGTTGATACTCTCGAACATGTTACTCAGTATGAGGGCTACATCTACGAGACTGGGCAAGGGGTGCGGATCCTCCTCCGTTACATGTCAGTGCTGTTGTCGCACCCTCAGCAGCGTTGCACACAAGATACAATGGACTTGCCCAAGTCGCTTACAAAAAAATCACCTTCGTCCGATCCAGCTAATGGTGAAGATGGTGCTCCAATATCCAGCCAATGAGACCATGAATAATTGAAGTAACAAGTTCGTGCTGCGTTGAAGTATTTGGTTTTTCTTGTAGGCTGCGGGGTTTTCGCTGTAAGTTATGCGAGCCTTCAGTTGAATATAATTTATAGCCAATCTTCTGATTTTCTTTCATCTACACAAGCTGTGGATTTCTCTTCATGTAATTTCAAATGGATCATTGGGAATGTGTCTTTAAAGTCGTATAGTCTTCGTGGTTTGTGTTTGGCAGAGGACATGGCTCTCCCAAGTAGACGGGGTGCCAACTAGTTTTTCATTCGAGCTATGCCGTGAGTGGGGTAGAACATGTGAAGTTATTTTAAAAAATCCTTCCTCGTAATGGTTTGTATTGTATCATGAGTCTACCAAAATGTATAAAATCAAATTTAAAAAATCAATTTTATACTTTTTTTTAAATCAAAATTTTGTAGTTAATTAGTTTTTCATAATTTTTCTGCAAAAAAACCATGATGTTTTTTTTTTATCCATGGATTCTTAACTAAAAATAAAATTAACAATGAATGTAAAAAGCATAAAAATAAACAAATACATAAATTATTTTTTGTTCTTATTTAATGTTGTTGAGAATTAGTTTTTGAAAGTATGTATATTTGATTTTTTTAAAATTTATTCACAAAATAATTAATAATATTATAATAAAAAATTGTGTTCGAATGAAAATAATAATAAAAAATGACAACCAGTAAATGGTTGGTCTTTTGTGTAATTGCATAGTTAATTTTTAATAAAATCAATAATTTATTTTTTTTATACATTATAATTATATCAAGTGGGTTTAGAGTCGTAACATAAAATAAAAAATAATAATTTATAACTAATATAATAAATAAATTTGAAGTTAACAAACTAAAACAAAATCTATTACAAAATTGACTTAAATAAATTTTGATTATATAAAGAAGAAGCAAATGAAACATATGAATTTTTTTTTTTCCTAGACCATATAGAGCTAGTCCTTATGCACATGCTTCATACATAGAGCAATTATATATCTTTTTTTCCCTAAAAATTCGAGACTAGTTAACTAATATATATATATGCTATTATCACTTAAAAATTCTAAAAAATTCATAATATAAATTATATAAATTTATTCTTTTTTAAAAATAATAATTATATTCTAAAATTTTATTCCAAAATTCATGCATAGAGAAACATAAATCATATTTGTCAATAAATAAAATTTTATAGAAAATAAATATAAAAATAAGAAATTAATTGGATTAAATTTTTTTTATAAAAAATGATAAATTGAAGAAATAAATTTAAATAATAAGAGTAATATAATGTGAAATATATTTTCATTTAAAGTATAAAAATATATTATATATATTTCTTTCTAGTCAAATTGGAAAAACCTAAAAAATAATGATCTATCTTCTATAATTTTCTCCTAAAAATCCATAATTAAAAAAATTAAAATAAATTACAAAAAAAAAAAAAAAAGCCAAGTCAGGGCGTAGGCCTACATGTTTGGACTTAGAGAACCAAATCCGCAGATGCCAAACTTTTTTCAAAAACGGGAAGAAGATGGACGACATGTTGTCGGCTATCTATACGACGGATAATATGTCATTCGATTGTAATTTTTAGAGAATCCGAGTTTGTTGAAAAGTTAGGCTTTTAAATTTTGGCCTCTTGAATCCAAATTCAGTGTCTTTTTTTTTTTTTTTTTATCCAAAAACATCTCAAAATCACAAAAAAATGAGGTTATTAAACTCATTTAGAATCTCAAAACTCATTTTAATATAAGCAAAACACATAAAAATCTAAATCAAACTAAAAAAACTCAAAATATTTTGGATCTCTAATTCACCTCATTCAACTATTTCAAGACTTTTGGCTACCATAAACAAACTCGCTTCTCTATGACGAGCAAATTGAAACTAATATTAAGAGGCAAAGTGACTAGATTGAGTCTCATTGTAACTTTTTCTCTTCAATCTTCTTTGCCATTTTTTTTCCTCTCCTTCCTACAACTAGAGACCAAATTGTCATGAATTTCAAAATCGAAACAAAATTGTCTGAAAAAGTTAGCAACCAAAGTGTCACATTAGTCAAAACTTGGATATAAAATGCTTGAAAAAAAAAATTGGAAATCACTAAATGTCATTGCACAATAAATATATAGTTCGTTTGAGTTTATGTCCACAGTGTTGAAAATTGGTGCAAAATAAAATGTACAGTGACTGAAAAGTAAACATATATTGTGCTTTAATTTATTTTGTTAATTTGGCCCTGGACTTCCCCTACTCACTTTTCTAAACCACGGGGATGAAATTGATATGGTGAATAGGTTTTTATCTTGTAACATAAAAGAGAGGCATAGCTCATTTTAGTATTCTTGTTTGTTTATTTCTAGGAAAAAGATGCAAGTTAAGGTATACTTTACAATTTCATTATTTGAGAGGTTAATGGCTGCAAAGGTCTCTTTACTTCTTTTTTTTTTTTTTTTAATGTTCTTCTATTCTTTTTCGTCTTAATTTTTTCTTTTTATTTGGTTTCTGTTTTAATATTGTGAATTTGTTAAATTTTTTTTGCTAATAGTATTAAATCGCACCATTAGCCTCATTGGATTGGATTATGACATGAGTCAACTTGTTTTTTTTTTTTTTCGTCTTAATCTCGTCTCCCTATTCTCTTTTTTTGTCTTAATCTTGTTTTTTTAACTAACATTAAATAAATGAATTTTGAAAAAAAAATGGACAAAATATGAAAATATATTTGGTCATCTCTCTAAAAATTGAAAAACAAAAAACTAAAAAAATTGAAGATAAAAATACTTTTTTATCCAAAATGTTTTTTATGGGTTTAAACTTACTTCTATGATAGCAGGCAAATTTTGAGTATAAAATATAAAACATTTATACTATTTAAAAAATATATATATGAAGTGATTTTTTGTTAAATTTTTAAATTTTTAAACAGTATTTATAATTTTACAATACCTCAAAAGAGAATCTATTATACTTTACTTATTTTAATTTCATAAATCTTTTAATTTGACTCAAAATAAATTTTGTTGCAAATTTAGTCAAATTAAGAAATTCCTTAGTATTAGATGTAACACTAACAAAAATTTATCTCCAAAATTTTTAAAATTCAACTAAAACTCTCTTCACACTGTACAAAAATTTATTTTACACTCCAAATTTATTTGCTATCATAAAGATAAATTTAAACCGACATTTTGGATAAAAAATATTTTTATCATCATCTTTTTTTCCATTTTTTTTCTAAAATTCATTTGTTTAATTTTTTGTTAAAAAACAAGATTAAGATGAAGAAGAAAAAAAGAAGAGAAGATGAACGAGATTAAGACACAAAAAAAGAAAAACAAATTGACATGCATCGCAATCTTGTGAAGCTAAAAATGCAATTTAGTACCGTTGTCCCAAAAATTAATGAAAAACAGAAATTAAATATAGAGGGATTAATTTACGATGAAAAAAGAGTAGAAACACAATAAAGTTTTTTTAAAAAAACTCAAATATTAACCCATCACTTGAGTTTGCTTGAACAATTGTTCCCAATCTTTTAATTGTTGAAATAGCCACTTTCTCAAGTTTTATAGAATCACATTTGTTCAAATTAGTGGCTACGACGTCAGCTAGAGAGAGCTAAAAATTGACAGGAAAATATATTTTTCTTGTGTACATATTGAAGAAACAATTTTCTTTTCCTTCCATGATATAACAGTGTGATATTATTTTGAGGTCGTAAATATAAGCTGCATCATAGGATTTTCTAACCAAAGTGGGGTGAAAGAGAAAGGGAGTTCGGAAAAGACGTGGCTGCTAAAATGAACATGCTGCCTCCCATCTGCCATATAGTGCTTGCAGCAATGAGGCTAATGAACCAACTTCAGAAATGTTTATTCTGATATCTAAAGTGTTAAGTTCTAAAGACTCGTATGGATAAAATTAGTAATATAAAATATTATATAAATTTAGTATGACGAGTCTTACTAGTTAGTTAACGAACGAAAATCAAGAGGAAAGTATCATTTCCTGGAGTTCGGAGGCTGAGTTCTCGAAAGGTCTATAGAATATTATGTCGGATGTATAAAATCTATTAGATTTTTTTTTTAACCTAATTATTCACGTTATAAATAAAAATAACATCATTTATATTTGTAGCCATCACCTGATAAAATCAAATAAATTTTTTTAATACAATCATGGAGTAAATATTATTACTGAATCACATAAAATTGCTAAATTGTATGATATATTCTTTTGTTGAATAAGTTTCTTAACATAATGATAGTGTTTCCTTCAACGAGGAAGAGCATATGGTATCGGCCAGCAAATGGGCTTTCAAGTCTCAAGGATATTGTTTGGCCCCAAAAACAAGATAACACAACTTAGGATTGGTCCAAGTGATCCATAATAGGCCCAGGCTCCGATATTACTGTACCGATACGAATACTCACATGACAATCAACGTATTAATTTGTTACCCCTTAAGTTACCATGCTTTATCACTAGACCGACATGACTGGTCATTACTGTTGGTCCAATTCTTATAACAGTAAAGAATTAAAAAAGAAGGCACCATCTTTCCTTGATGGAAATTAAAGATATAAGCATTTGGATAAAGTTGAAATTCTTGATAAGATGGTATGGTTATCCGAACTACTATTACGCGATAAAGAAAGAAAAGGAATTTGGTTGGACTCAACAAATTATTCATGTTCATTGAACTTGCGAAAAGAAGATACAATATCAAGTGCACTATAAATTGTATGATACAAAAAGGATGATACAGATTTAGATTGCCACCATCATCGTCATCATTTTCCAAAGTAATCTGATGCTTATTTGACTGAAAGAGAGATGGAAGCGACGGGCCCTCTTTCGATAACAAAACAGGTTTTGGTTTGCCGTACTAAAAGGAGGGTGAGGTTAAGCTTTTTGCTTGTTTTTGTAAATTCAGTTTTTTTTTTTTTTTTTACCTGCAAAATGGATCAACTT